TTTTTGACTAAACGCCATTAAAATAAATGTAAAAAAATGCAAAACAGTTTTGTAATGACTGCCCTCGGTATCTTCGAAATGGCTATGACCCGTACTATCTACAATATAACCGCATAAACGACTGAACGTCGGATCGGAATAGTTGCGTGAACGGCTGCTTCGGCTACATTGGCTGTACTGTGCGTTTGCTTGTGTGCGGAGTGCTATTATTGGCAACATGCCTCGTCCTTCGAGCTGGCTACTCCATTGTTCATCGAACAATTCGTATATTCTTTGCAAATTTTATCTTAACTAAACTGTAGCAAGGACTGAGAAGTCCTGTAAAAGTTATTTATCTCGCGTTAATACTCGGCTAGTGACGCTTGTGCCCTTGCATCAAGCACACATTTTGACCTTCCGGTCCATGGGCGCCCATATTACGGCATGCCTTGTAACTTGTAGAAATCAATCTGTGCGACGCTGAGAATATAACGCAGATTTGAAGTGACTTAGAAGTCTTGTCTTCTTTTCTCAATACCGAAATTTGTTGTTTTGTACCTGTGCTGACGCAAGTATATATAACAGGCTTGGCAGAACTTTACTGACCTTGATGTGCTAAATTCCCGTATTTCTCAACAACTGGCCACTTGTAGAACAATTTGAAGAATTGATCACCGGTATATTAACGATGGTGATCATATTCCGGAACCAGCCCGGCTCTTTATCTCTGCTGTCCGGTTCAGTTGTATAGCCGGATATAGCATTGCTTCCACTGCACATGTTACTCAAACTATGATCCACATTAGGGTCGACGACCAGTTGTCCCAAACATAAGCAGAAGTGACCAACTGTTGCGAAATATCCAACTACCACTTATGGAATGGTGCATTTTAATGATTTTTCGTTTTTAAATTTTTCTTGACCACTGGTCATCCCAATGGCCATCACAATGCAGTTGTCGTAAAGTACTCATTGAGATCTTTCGTTTGAGCTATTGACATATTCTATGCGATTTTTTTATCAGTTGTTATAAACGGCAACGGATAACATGTCGGCCCAACATGGTTACCATGCGTGTTAGGCCGACATGGTCATCTCCTGCTTGACCTATGGTCGCTAAAATTTCAAAAAAATTATTTTTTTCTTAATTGAATTTTTCTGTCCCAGATTGCCAATTTTCAAAACTGTAGTGCTATCCCTTCTAGTACCCGGTTTCCCTGGGTTAACTGGAAAAACAGACGCCGGCTAAACCAAGATTTAAGGCTTACACGACAAATTTCTTGAATTTGTCAATTGCTCCACGGTGTACGACTTACGAGACCAAAGGCAGTGCATGCGAGAAACGTGCCGCGCACACGCAGACTTTGGGCTGCACCAGCCGTGGTTAGTTCGATTCCGATGAAAAAGGACGGTTTTTCAGTTTTTTGAAATCGTACCTCTTTCTCGATACATCTGTCAGTCCAGTTTAAATCGAGAAACATTCACAACTTTAAACTGGCAAGATCAGCTTACAACACACAGTTTAGAGTTTGAATCAGAAAATCATGCTTAAAAATTGACTACTCTGCAGGGAACCATAGAGAATTGTAGAAATGGCCGCCCAGAAAATCGTAAACATAGTTCCCCTGCACATTTCGAGGGCCTTTTTGAAAAAAATGTTAAACTTCACAGACTTAAAATAAACACCCCTTATAGGGTTGCCATTGCGCCACCATGAGGCATTGGCAAGGCCGCAAGGGTACATACGGTATCATTAGCAAGGGTCAAGGACCATTAATTCACGAAATCAGCCAAAGTTGGCAAAGGCCCCGAGGTTGTTGGGGAACCAGGGGATGACAAAGGTCAGGGTGTGGCGGTTTCCATAGCGCATCAGGATACTCTGGAGTCTGGATGCTGGAGCTGCCGCGTTTGTGCGTCCTGACGAACATTATATGACGCCTGGGTTGGCACTGTGAATCGGAAGAACTTCTGCTCGTACCGAAACTGATGCTGTAGTTTCGGATATCCTAAAGGAAAAGTGCATAGTGTCACGGGTATGACTGGTTGAAGTATATTTCACAGTTAATCATAGATACTTCTACAGATAATTATGAATTATGTATATATTGGAATAATCGAAGAGAGTGAACATACACAAACGTTTCCAAAACTATTGCTCCCAGTACCAATATCTTTTACCGGGTTCTGGAGCTCGCGAAAGATTACGCTGCTTGGATCAAATGAAATCCGTAAAAACAGGTTTTATAAGGAAGGGATATGAAGATATCGTGTCTTTTAGGCCCGGGACCAAGGTCTAGATTTTCTTGTACGAAAAATTTTTATTCGAAAAATGTATGAGATGCCACATCGAGAACGAACTTACTCGCACAATAACGTGTATGGGAAAACTGTCAATCGACATCCTTTCTAAACATACACCTGCCGGCACGAAAGCAGCACGGATACCTTTCGATGAGAAAAGGTATGTTTCGCCACCGTCGAACATAGTCGAACGCGCAGCGTAGGGTGATTACGGTAATGTTCTCCAGCGCTTCTCAGCAAAGGCTAAGTAAAACGCAGGAAAAGCAACCAGTAAATGACCACATCTGTTTTGCAGACGTAAGGTCCTTAGCGAATAAGACGCATACATAATACGAATTTTTGTCTAAATGGTGTATTTTATTTATTACGGTTAACTGAATTGCGTATACATATCCAAATGCCGCAATGGCAAATCCGCTGTCTTGTCGAATTACACTAACCGTCACGTGATCCCTTATATATAGGTACTAATATGCTTGCAAATAAGCCGGTCATAGAGAAGCTCCAGAAAATTGCAAATACTGGTGTCGAATCTGTCGATTGTAATTACTAAAATACGTGGCGATGTATGACACATATTCCCCGATAGAAGTTGTTCGTCTACCAAGTGACATACTATGATAGGTATTACAAAACAATTGTTCACAGAAAAATTTCACAACAACTTCAGAAACAATCACATTAAGCATCAATCGACAGAGGCGGCCTAATCACAGAGAAAATTTGATCTAAATTTGCCCCAATCGGCGCTGTCCCCAAGATCGATGCCGCATTTCCTCGTTGAATTTCGATGCTAATCCGCTGGCGAAGATATTCTGTGGCTCGTTTTTCGCCGGTTTCCTGTCGTATCATCTGTCCGAATTCCGTTATCGTGCGGGCAGCATCCGGTCCCGGCGGTCCGAGCGTTTCAAAACCAAGAGCGCGAAACACGTAGTCCTGGCCGATATCACGATATTTTTCGATCTTGCCCTGCTCGGCCTGTGCTGCTGCTGCTCCTGCTCGTGCGGATGTCGCAATAATATGCGATATGGCCATTGTGTTGACGCAAGTAGCGTCCCATGCCAGCATTCGTCCTCTCTCCCAAGGTGTTAAGGTAACACCGTCTGGCCGCTTACTGTCTGTTGGAAAGATGCCTTGCGGTTCCAGTTCGCTTTCGAAACCAGCAGATGCGAGGCTGCGCTTCACAATGGCGTTCAGACATTTATGTGTAGGGATTCGTCCGCGGCTTTTCTTGCAGCTTAGGCCATGGTAGCCTCGAGCATCCGCCCACTCACCGCAAACACAGCGGTGTGGGGTAATGACCGGTGCCCCCAGACGCAATCCAACGGCGATTCTTACCGCGGAGTCCGTAAGAAGGTTGCCAAGTGAGGCAACTGGAAGCGCTCCCAACCATGCCCCATTTTCTTTCGTGCTCACACCTCGCAGCCTCGCCTGCTCGGAGATGTCACTCCCGGCTGCCGTTCGTAGTCGATCAGCGGTGTCGTGGATTATGGGATCGTCCCAAACTTTCTGGACTGGTCGCGCGTCCGAGGGTGGGAGGTCGTGTTGGGTTGTTTGGAGCCATTCTGCAATAGCATCACGACAGTAGACGTCCGGTACGAATTCAGTAATTTCCGATGTTAGTAGAGCTACCGAGTAAGCTGAGGCCAGAAAGGCCGGGAGGGCAAGCTTTTCGACGCTTCGAATTCCGAGACCGCCATCTACAATCGGAAGCGATGCCTGCGACCACATGTCATCAGTGATGTTGACGTTGGTAATAGAGGTGAGACTTTGGCGTATCATATCATCAAACTTGCTTAATAACATCCTTTGTTGATAGCATCGGCTTGCGCGCAACTTGTAGCTCAGCCTTACCGTGCCCATGCTGCATCTCAGCAGATACAGGGCCTGATGGGCCGGTATTAGATTTAGGCGCTCCGTCAACCGAGCGATTAGCTCCGTAGCACTGACGAGTGCGCCCGCAACCGCATCATCGTGAAGTGGTGCACCGAGGTAATGCAGATCCTTCAGCTGGGGACACTGCAGGTCTGGATACGCATGGGGAAATGCGTCATACACAGTTTGGCGTTCTTCTTCTGAGCCTCCGATCACCATCAGCTCGCATTTCGCTATATTGAGCGCTAGCCCGCGTTCTCGAAGCGCTTCCTGAAGGGAGCAGAGGTCGTCGAACACATCCTCAGGGTCTCCGCCAAGCGCATCATCATCCAGAAAGCTCTCTTTCAACTTTGACTTAAGGCGTTTGTGTGGTCCGATAGTTGCGAGGCAGTACAGTAGTGGGCCGAGGGGGTCACCCTGCTGGATGCCCGCCTGTGAAGAGATACTGTACTTGCCGTGTAACAGTATCGATGGTTCACCATAACACTGCCACACAAACTTGTAGTACTCCGGCATGAATTCTTCGGCAGATTTCAGTATGTAGTTTCGGTCATATTATTGACATTATGACACATATTATTATGACACATATTATTCTTATAAACTTATGACCTCCTTATGACTCTACTAGCTTTATAACCGTGCACGGCGCGGAGTAAATTATAAAGTACTGCATCGTGCTGCATAAAAGTAGGCATTCCCGCAAACTTAACCGCCGTACCGCAGAGCAGCCTATTAAAATGATCCATTAACTACTGCATATTGGAAAACTTGGTTTAGGAAAAACTTAAATTATTTTTGTTCTGTGTCACAGATTTCTTTTTTTCCAGGATTTGTTACCTTTCAATTTTTATTGTACCGTGACTGTACATTTTCTTCGGTATAAATTAACAGAGATTGTTTTAAGAAAGAAACCAGAAGAACATTGTATTGTGCTCCAAAATCAGGGCGCGGGTGTGGGTGTCGTGGGCGTGTTCCCGGTTAACTGGCCAATGAGACTCCATATCTGCTCCAACGCATTCATCACTGACGTCACCGTGTCCGACAACTTTTGGCTCTTGGGCAGGGCCACACCGTCCGGACTCCAGGATAACGGGAACCCGAAGAGATTCCCGGAGATGTTATTCCCCTGGGTCATCACCGACAGGAGGTTATTGGCCGGCTCGCTGCTGCCGTCTGTCGGGGAGCCAGAAGGTCCCGGGGTCATCGCGCTCCCGTGGCTGGAGGCCGCCAGCGTATGACCGGACGTCCCGTCGGGGTTCCCCTGATTCCGGGACGTCGTGCCGTGATTGCCCATCATCGGCGGGTGGTTGTTGTTGATGGGCGGGACGGGGTTAGGACGCAGCGCGTTGAAGACATTGCGGCGGGGGGTGGAGGGGAGGGTTTGGGGAAGGAAGGGCTCGTCGGTGATGGGTTCGTCGGTAATGTCGGGGTGGGATGTGTCCAGGCTGTCCGTGGTGGCCTCGGCGTCGTAGGGGGCGTCCGCCGAGGGCGTGGTATCCATTTCGGGGTGCGGGGCGGGGTTGCGAGGGTTCTGCAGGGCTTTAGCACTGTCGTGGTTGACGGAGATGGCCGGGAGGGGATGCGCGTGGGAGTCGGCTTGGGGTTCGTTGTGCGAGGAGGGTGTGGCGAAGGAGGATAGGGCAGCGGTGTTGATCGGTCCAGCTGAAATGACGGTGACACTTGTTTACATTTTCTGTCTTCAAAATTCATATAGAAATTGTGCTAAAAATTTACTCTGGTTAAGCGCTGGTTTTCATAATCTGACACTCATAAAATTGCACCATAAATTGCATGAGCAAGCGGTATACATACGGCCGCGTGCAGAGACACGGATGTATCTGTAAACTGCCGGAAAAACTATGTTTGTAAATTGTAATGTACGAATCGGTATTTTTTAAGACGAGAGGTACTCAACATATGGTTAAATTACGTAAAACTGAACAGATAAAGGTTAACATTCGTCATGACCGGTTAGCTATACTGAGCAAAGGGCAATACAAACATGTGGCAACAGTCTTAAAACAATGTTTAATTTGTTGCAGTCGAAGTTGTAAATTTAATCTGTAACTACTACGCGCCTCCACCTGCACCAGATGTGAAATATGGTAGTTCAGTGGCAACGCCTAGAGGCTAGAACAATAACTTAATTTGAAAATTAATCGCTCCGGCTGCTTAAAAGATACACCTGATTTCGATTAATTCAGCGTTTGTTAATTTTTTCTTATAATAAATGTGTAACAAATTAGTTTCATTTTAAGCTTGCTTTGCGTGCAAATGGAATAATATGGGGCAAATAAATAAATTTTACGATCAGTAATATTATAGTTATGCTGATTAAAAAGTAATTCTGTGTCTATGTTACAAGAATTCGGACTTAATACAGCAGTGTGTACACTGTACAATAGTGTTGTTGACATACCGTCAATGTAAGAAGCTTCAAATTTAACAAAAAATCTTTACGTTTAAAATTCTAACTAAGCTTTACACAACGTATGCTATGTGGTAGATTAAGTACCTATATGACGAGTTTTTATCATTATTGTAGACGCATAGTTATTGTATTGCAGATCTACATTGTTGTTATAAATGCCCATTATACAAAAGTACATGCAGAACGAAAGATGGGCAGTACAAAACTAATAGTGTAACTGGAGAATGACAAGTAACCATTCTCCCTAGCGTAATGTTTATATTCTGGTACTCTTCCAGAGAAACTGCTTACAAAGCCGTTAAACGCATTTACATGCCATTCTGAAGTTACACAATGGCTAATGTCAATATTGGTGAGAAACAGAATACTGTGTACACTATACAGTAACCATATCTTCTGTGCCAGTACGAGCAGCGTTACGCAGCACATGCTGTTGTCGCTGCTGCTGGTGACACTTACGCGTCATCTGCGTGAATCCCGCGAACATCCGTGTGCCGCGTGATGAGTGCATCTTAATCTCGCCGGTACGCCGATCCGGTGGCGTATCGCCGATGGAATACACCAGATGGAAGTTGTCCTGTGAAAAAAAAATCAAGAGATTCTTCGTGAATGTGTTGGTAAGGAAATCGCGCTGATAATGTCGTACGGTGAAAGGATAGTCGCTGGGATCAGGGGATACCAGTTTGCGCATGGCGCGGATAACAGTGTGTGTTCCGTTCTGTTTCCCGGCGAGTAACGCCCAGTTCTGCTGTTTGTCCAACGTTAGGTTAACCGTCATCGTGTTCTGGTCGGCCACGATAAAGCGATCCTGAAACGGTCAAGGGTTAACAACATATTCTGTTCCGCAAATTCCTTCTGCTCGAGTTTCGCGGTTGTAAACAACCCAGGAAATTGCAATTACCCAGTGCTTTACTGCTTGGCTAATGCGAATTATAGCGATTGCTGCGAAGGCTAAAAATTACATCTAAAAATTAATTTCAATTGACTGATTAATACGGTAACACATATGTACAATATATTTATTGTAATATTCTACAAAGAGCAATAGAAAAAAGGATTAACGCATGCAGCTGGTCAAATGCCAATACTTATAGCCTATAGGTGTGTAATCAAAAAAATTCAATGCTGTGCTCGATATACACTGTTTTGGCTAGACTGAACACGAATATTCAGTCATGGCTGTCTGACTTTGGAAAAAGTTAGCAGCAGTATGTAACTTTTGTGTGCAACAAAACATGGAGCGGCTTCGTGGCGATTATCGTATGCAAATGCTCATGTTGTGCAATGCACACACCGTCTCTGCCTGCACAATATTGCCGAGGAGAGATATGGTAGTGCAGTGGCGCCGAATGGCGAAATTACACGCTTATGAAAATTTGGCACACTATTCCTTACGACTTTGACGGCTTATAATTAATTTTCGCTAGTATCAGCGTTGATGATTTTTTTTCCATTAATCTTTTAGCAGTAAATTAATCTTCATTTCAAGCGTAGTGTTTAAAAGTATAACAGGCACAAGGCACACCACGGATTGCCTCGCTTGTCAGCCGATTTTTAGATTTTGCGTAACATGCTTAATCACGTTAGAGCTGATAGCGATTAACCGCGATAAGATCTACGGCTTTAACGGATATACTCGTACCTGCGCGTAAACCGTGCCGCTGGCGTCCACCCAGGCAAAGAGGATATCCGATTTGTCCATACGGCCGTCGGGTGAGCGGCCAATGGCCAGCCAGCCGCGCGTCATCCCCTCCAGCTCAATGGCCACATCCGTCGCGTTGGCCCGCCAGCGCAGCACCAGCAACCCGGCATCCGGCCGGCCCAGCAGCACCATCTGGTGCGGCAGTAACTCCTGCCCGTGGATTAATCCAATCCCCGCTAAACAAATCAACACCATCCATATTCCCATGATAGCTGATTAAACCGTGTACGTGTACGATAGAGAAAAGAATATAGAAGCAATTAGAAAAAAACAGCGGCATTAAACCGTACCCGGGGTCCCAGACGGGTAAGGCGCTTATCTAAATACGCGGCGACGACGGTGGTGTATTGTCCGTTGTGCTGAGTGGACGTGTTTGTATTAGCGTTTTTCCATCACCATCAACAGGTAAGCTGAGAAAGTGGAGATGCGTCGCGGTGAGTCATTATAATTTATTTACAGTTACCGCTGCGGATTGGTGGATTGGAGCGGTCTGCGCTGGCAGATCGGATGTGTACCGATCGGATCATATCAAAGCGATAACACTGCGTATGTGTGTTTTTATCGCGGTGTCGGTGATGCAATATATACCGGGACAGATTAATCCGACACTCGACGTGCACACAAACAGTCGTGCCATCCTTCCGGTACACGAGTATACAGTACTATACACGCAACACATAGATGCTCTATAAAGCGTGAGAAACGATGGAGAAAATCTCGCGCGACTGATCAGCTTTGGGTGATGGCGGATTTAAGCTGTTGACAGGACAGCTTTGATCAAGTTTATGCGACACTTAAAGTAGCAGTTTAATTAATTTTAACAAGCATTTCAAATGTCAGCCAAAAACCACGCGCACGGCATGAGTTGGCAGTTACTTGAAAACCACGGAGATTTCGAGGTTTTCTATTCAAAGTTTTTGACAATTTTCCGTGACCTCGCAAATGTTTTTTATATTATGACAAATAGAACTTACCAGTTTTTATTTCATTATGATAATTAATAATATTAATAATCATCAACAATTCATTCATAATTTATATCATTTCTGTCACGTGTTTCATTTTAGCCAGCTCGTCATAAATCGAAGCATAACCTTATTGTCTGGAATGCCGAAAATCGGCAGGTTCGAGTTCTACGACATTTTTTGCCACTTTGAAAACGCGATTTTCTACAAAACACGTTGACAGTTTAGAGTGTCTAGCTGCGCGCTCGTTCTTAGTAAAATAATGAAATGAAAAAATAGGTATCCCTATATTAACGCTTATTAACGATTTCTTACGTTGCGAAGTACATAGGTTTATTTTGAGTCACCAGAATAATTCGGATTGCAGGTAATTTTAATACATTTTTGTTAGCGTTGTGACAATTTCCGCTGACGCCGGAATACAAACACGGAAATCACGTGGATCACAGACACCTTTACGAGTAATCAAAAAGGTCAAAAGATAGAGCTGCCTAAATTAACAGAAACACCGTAATTAACACGTTACAACACCGCGTCGACACAACGAAACCGAGAACATCGAAAGGACGGCTGATGCAGCCAACAGAAATGTCAAAGCAGTACACTACCACAGACAACATGTTCGACAAAAACAAAATAATACCCGTACGCCACTAAACCAACCGAAAAAAAACAAACACAAATGTTGTGTTACAATACGCAACCACCGGACTTGAGAAAGGTCACTCTCCCAAGTCAATAATTAATAAAATTCGCTCACCGAGGAAATAAAGAATAAACTCTTGAAAAATATCTGTATCAAAAAAATGTCCTTGGTTACTTCCTTGACAAAAATGCCGGTCGGGGGGTGTGTCCGAGCGCGCCTACCTCCCGGTGGGCGGGGGACAGCGGGGTGTCCCCGGTTGAGTTGAGGGAGAGATATACAAATCTGGGTATAATTATCAATAACATAATTATAGGAACATCACCGAATCATGGCTGGCTGCCATGGCCTGTATCAGAGAGGGTTTTGGCAAACGAACAGAAAAAAAAACACAACGAAGTAACACATCGTCCACGTGAGAGACACACCAGGGTTCGCCGAAGAAAAGATCCGTCGCTTTGAAAATTTGTATCAAAAAAACAGTACAGTGACAAGGAGAGCTGCTGCGCCGTCCGCCCGTTGGGGGGCTGCGGTGTGAGTTCAGTGTATGTGAAAGACGAGAAGCGAGTCACTGCCGTCCCGACCGCCCGGTGCGGTGGTCGGGGGACTAGAGGATCCCGCGGGGTGCTTCGGGTCATCGTTTGACCGGGAGATGCTCCGAGGAGGCTTTACTGGATGGGACGGGGATGGAGATGACGGTGGTGGCCGGGGCGGCGGTGTCCAGGGCCGGGGCGGCCATCAGAGCGGTGGATTTGTCGCGGGATTTGAAGATGTTGAGGAAACTCATCTTGCTGCTGGGTGGCGGCCCGATCAGCATGGGAACTTGGTTCTTATGCGTTATATTAATCTGTAAGGAAAGCAAAGAAGTTATTTTTAGTATACTCACTAACACCATAAAGTATTTAAAAACCTAATTAATTACATGTTGATCAGAGTACTTAATAAAAAGTTAAAAGTAGCGGACGTACTGTGCAAGGTGGCTGCATCCAAGGTTCCCCATCAATCTGCATAGGAAAGCGTTTCCTTGTCCTGCAAAAATAAATTGCAGTGAAATAAACTTCTTTAAGAATATACTGTATGCGATACATTGCTTAATTTAAGTGATTTTGCTATCGAAATGTAGATGTACAGTAGTAGAACAAAATTTAATTGGTAAAATAAACGATTGCTGTACCTGATGACCACCGAGGAACACTGCGACAATCGCCGCCCGGAGGAACGCAGACCAGCGCGCACCTGCCCGGCATGCATGGCGCTCTCCATGCCCACAACTTCGATCATCTTATCCCCGATATCTGCAAGCAAAAGGTCACCGTTAAAATAATGCCGGTAATACGTGAGCTTAATGGAGATGCCTATGGATACTGCAGGTGTATGATAATACGAGTATGTAATTTAAACATACAGTAGTTCTCGTATTATGTACGAGTATGCAGTTGTACACAGTATCTATACACACCTTGAATGGCAAAATGGAGATCCATGGAGGAAAGACTTAACGATGAGCCCTGCTCATTAACGCCCAGCTTCCCTTTGCGGTTGGCCATGGGGGATTTCTTGAGGGATTTCTTAACGGGCGTATTCTCGCCCCATAAATTCGAGCCACCGTGGATGGAGGGAATGTTGAGGAGTGCGATGCCTTCGAGCGGCGGCCCATTGGCCAGATCCAGAGCCACACCATCGCACTGCAAATGTCGGTCGCTTTTATACGCTTCTACTAATACCTAATACTTAATACATAATATGCGAAACAACAACATTCTAAAAACGATTGCTCAGCTCTGCATCGCTAGCCTAAGTACTTTCTTCAACAGAATATTTTAAATAAAATTTATATTAAACGAATAGTTAAATGTATCTACACGATTCTACAGTTGCTCTGTTTGTTTAGCTTTAGCAAAAAAATGGTTGGTTATGGGCAGAGTAGTCTGAATTGAGTTACGGTACATTGCTATACCGCCTTGTCGATTGTGCTACGTTAGCCGGTCACAGCCTTTCCCACCTTATCAACAACCGGTATCATGGCCAAAACGGCCAATCGCTTACCAAGTGGTTGTGTGATAATGAATTTCTGGTCAGCTGCTGCTTCTCTCGAAGCATTTCCGTCGAGGAAATGTAGCGACCCTAGTCTCAGACCTTCCCGAAGGCGAGTAGATCAAAATATGATCCGTTTTAGCCTTCGCCGACAAGCATTGCTCTTAACCAATACGTAAAATACCGCTGCACCTTATATAGCACTGTCACTGCCATTTTATAGAAACTATGTTATTTTAAAAAAGGCGTACAACGTTCCAACGACCGTTGATAGAATTTCGTATGTTCATCTTCATAGCAATCTGTACGGAATATTGGTACGTATTATCAAATCACCGTTTTTACCATAATATCGATATCCTCATGGAGATGCTTGCAGGTGGCGCTGAAGGTCTCCGACGTGCCGAACTCAAAATACCACAGCTTATTCTTCATCCGGCTGTTAAACCGCTCCGGATGTTTCTCCCGCATCATGTGGAAGCGGTGGGCAATAGAGGCGTCCACCCCAATGGAGAAATAATTGTTGATGATGTTATAGGGTATGGGGTCTCCGGGTTCCTCATCCGTGCTGTCACTCGGCGGGCTGAACTCAATATGCCAGCGATCCATGGCCACCACGTTGCTCTTCTCAATCTTATGCAGGATCTTCAATAAACTCTCCCCCTCGTACCCACCACCCCACCGCAGACACCGCGCCAGATCATTGCCGGTCCCCAACGGGAGGACCGCCAGCGGGGGTTTGTAGTTCAGGTGGAGTTTGTCGATGGCGTCTAATAGCCAGCCGACGGTACCGTCGCCTCCGCAGCAGAGCACCCGGAAGTTGGGGACGTCCCGGAAGAACTGAAGGCCGGCAGTGGGGCCGCCGCGACCCAGGTCGTACACTTGGCGGGGATTGAGCAGGTACTGGAATTTGCGCAGGATCCGTTCGCCCTGTTTCCCGCCGGATTTCCGGTTGACAAAGACCAGCAGGGGGTGGGTGCCGGGCAGGGGGCTGATCTGGAAGGAGGTCGGGGCGCCGGTTGAGCCGTTGTGAGCGGAAGTTTCGTTGTGGGATGCTGCAAAACCCCATACCGTTAATTAAGGCTGCCGCTAACTTATTTTTAATATTGCTGTTTACATTTATATTTATTGTATGCTCATCTGATGTCTCATTTTTATGTTCTATATTTTCTAAAATTACATCATTTATATTTTTTTATTTAAATCTGTTTTGTATAATTATTCCTGACTTATTATTTCTGGTATTTGTTAATGAGTCGAGCATTTATAATTATGCAACCCGATTTATTTTCTATTTTTAAGCTGCATATATAGATAATTACAAAGTATTTACGAAATAAAAAAAATCGTGCACGAATTCTTTCGCAGAACGATCGAGATCTTCAAGCAGCTGTAATCTTACGAACGGTAGTGTACATACTCTGTACATATTGTACATAGCAATTTAGTGAATTTACATAGCCATTTAGTACATAGCAATTTCTATGCTTTCTAAGTTCGGTATTTCTCCGCCAAGAAATCCGTGATAATAATAATACGGTCGCGGTCATTGACTACGCTAATAACAGCCCTAATGTCTTTCGCAATGACGACAGACATGGCGGTAATGAGGGGCTTATCGTTTATCATGGGAGAAAAATATCCGGGATGAACGGTCCACACTGCCAAACCTTTGACCGGTTTACTATCCGGTACAAACACGCGACACAGACCTAGATCGCTCCTGTTGTCAGCGTGTTGACTCAAAGTCAACACTGATAACGTTTGCCTCAAACCTGATTAAGCATTCTGCAACCGCATGGATCGAGTACTTAGTAGCTACCTGGTCGGCTGCCCCATGTCGCCAAGCGGCGTATCCTGTACGTGAATTCCATCAGCATGCGTCGATGTACGCGTATAAGTTACCCCTCGTACAGAAAAACAGATAATTGGACAATACAACAAGACAGGCGGATTTCCGTTGAGAAAATATGTGGATAAAGTGCAGCGTATTAAGAGGTCACGCGCGAAGTTAATAAAATATTTTCTACACAGTCACGAGTCAAAATAAACATCGGTGTTTTCCGTGCGGCGGAGAATTTGGGGGGTGGTGTTTACCGCGGTATTACAATGCTGTCGTTGGTGTAAGAATTATTATTTCGGAGAATGTTTTAGTGCTTATTATGGCGCTGCGGCCGGTGCGAGCGAAACAGAGTCAAAACGCTGATTATAGTGGGGAGAGTGCTCGTTATAAAAAAATTTATCAACGAGATTTTGCACCGGTGAATGAAGAAGGTTTTGGTGTGCGTTGTGAACATGTCGGCCTGGAGCTGTTTTTTGAACGACAACGTAAACAGCGTCGCCGGCAGCGCAAATTCTCTTTCACAACTCGCGCGCGCGAAATCTCGCCCAAACGAAGCAAAATACAAGAAATATATCCATCCAGCTGATTTTACAAGAAATTTTAGAATTTTCTTATGATGTTTATTTTACACGGTGCATCGTAAAAAAAACCGAAATAGTGCTCAAATAAAATTGTAAATTGAATTGTGAAAATTCTGCCGAATTACTAAACTTTAATTTGCAGTTTCCTGAATTTCTACGAGTATTTTCATAAAATGTCTCGAAATTTAACAACGTTTTTTTATAAAGTTCAGTTTTTAAAAAAAAAGATTTCTATTTATTTTTTCAATATACTACAAAAACTCCATATTAAATTTTTATAAGGCGTTCTCCAAAGATGACTGATAAAAAATAGAATAAAATCCATAAAATAAAAACGTATAAGTTCGCATAAAGACGACGCTTGTTGGAGCGTATACATATTTAATTCAGCAGCGACTGCGAATGGCCACTGCTGCGGGAGACATGCTTTGAATACCGGAAGGGAATTAGCTGTCAATTATCATGTTGTGAAATGCAATCCTTCTGACAGACCGTTGGCTAATTGGCTGTCGCGGTTGATCAAGATCGAACGCGCCGGGACTGATTTGTATGGCGTTATTTGCGTACCACACGCAGTGCGGCAGTGATTAGTTGCGTGCGGAAGTTGATGCACTTTTCTCTCGCGCTGCGGTACATCTTAAACATGTCGCAGTTGCAACTGATCTGCCGCCCGGCGACGCAACAAACATCTCACATAACGCGCCCGTATAAACTAATTGCATAACGTGTAAATAACCGGGGAAATTATACTATAATCAGCATAATCTTACATAAGGTTGCGGGTGCGTTATTGCGCTGTAAACAGTAATTATCGGCACCGGATACATGCGTACGTGTAGCCGATAAAACGACGCATTCAGACAAGAAAGTACTTATTACGGCGGTTGACGCTTCACTATATCTGCTAATTCTAAATCTAACCAGCCACAGAAATTAAAACTCCGATTCAATAACGCAATGAAAACACGAAAAAATGCACTGGTTAAAAAATTTTAAACAGAACCTAGAAGCCAAGCCTAGAAATAAATTATAAAAACTAGTTAGAATTAATTAAATTATTTAGAAATAAAATTGGAACAAACCGGAAGCTGTTTCACGTGTGCGCACAATTTGCCGGTAAATTATTAAATCCTAAATTCTTCTCAAAACGTTGTTGAATAATGCTTTATATAACGGCACATAATAAAAACACAAAATTTCATAATTATTCACTGTACTGTAAATGTTGTTATTCAGTATTGCATTCTGTTCGATCTTACGAATTACGATTAAAGCCCGCCTGCTGTTACTTGACAAATTGCAGTCACTGCACTACGATCTCACACAACCTACACAATAACTTAGTGTGAAGTTCGGTGAAATTAACCGGGTAAATTTTCCCATTCCCACTTTCAACACTTAACTTTAAATCCTTAAGGATTATAAAAAACAGAAAAATATTTGGAAATAATTTTAAAACATAGCTAAAAATACTTTTGATATTTTATGACTTGAAAAATATTTTAGCGCGCTCACCTTGAGATCCGTGCGTTGAGCCGGTGTGCACTCCTCCCGCGCCGCCACTCCCGTGCAGCAGCACCGAATCCGAGCGGACCGAGTGCAATTTCTTATCCTTAATGGGCGCGGGCGGGACCGAGCGCTGCCGCTCCAGCACCGCCGGACAGATGGCCACCGGCGGCAGCACATGATCATACAGATTGCCCAGATCGCACTCCGTCTTGTAGTGTGCCGCGCACTTATTATGCAGGGTGATCTGGCACCAGCGACAGTGCAGTCCGGTGATGCCGTTGTAGGTCTTGACGTTCTTGCGACAGCGGGCACACTTGTCCGGACAATTGCCCTCCACCCAGTGGTGCAGCATCTCGTTGGCCATCTTCTTGCTCTTGACGTAGGTGGAGATGCAGTTGGTGGGGGCCCGTGCGGCGCAGCGCTCGTGGACGGTGTACTTGCAGAATGTACAGCACAGTCCCTGCTTGCCTAATCCCACCAGCATCGTCAGGCACAGATTGCAGTAGGCGGGTTTGCTAAAGTGCTTCAGCCGCCACCCATGCACACCGTCCTCCTTCACATTCTGCAAAAATAAACGACATGCTAGCCATCCACTTTTCTGTACTATACTACGGAACGGGCGTTTCGACTACAGTTTTTTAACCCAATCCGCGAAATTTATTGAAATTGCAGATCTAATAGCGACATAGTACAGTATTTCCCTGTAGCTTATAATGCAATACCCTGAGCTCGTACAGGGAAACAATATGCTATTAGGATTTATCTTACAAAACGCTTTGCACGTCAAAGCGCGCTAATTTTGGTCACATTAAAACCAAACACATAATTCCCTGTATAGTTTAATACGATTGCACGCAGATCATACAGGAAATCGTCAATGTTGTCTGGGTTTAATTTGAAAAATGCTCTGCGTGTTAAAACGCGCGCGCATGACAGAGTTTTTCTGTGACGCCTCCCCGTCCGGTCGCCAGATTTTTACAGGGAACTTTTCGAAGCAGCATTAATTTCCCCGTGTGGCACATGTGTGGCGGGTTGAAGGTCAAGGTTTGCTAACGTAATCAGGCTGTCAGAGTGGCGGACGCATGTGCCTGTGTGATGTGGCTTTTAGCTGCAAATGTCGCTGGGCATTTACATAAGTGAGTGGATGGGCGGGGCACGCGCCGTGATGTGACGTGCGTGGAGTGGCGACGGCGGCACAGAAATGCTAAAATGTTTCTGAATAAACTGGTGGAGCAGGTGGAAGATTTCCGAAACCAATTACTACACAGGACGGCGCATGTTTCTGTCGCACTCTGTGTGTGTGTGTCATAATGTGTCAACATTGGAGAATTCGCCAAGGTAGCCCGGAAAAAACGCGCTGGCGTGTGCAAATTACGCTGTCACGGGAAAAACGTGAAACCTGATTTGCGCGCGCGAGTAAGTTCTGATCGAATCGGCGCGTATACGGCGAAGTGCGCGAGGGTGCTGGGAAACATGATCCCCGGACCAAAATATAAACGGATATAGTGGTGGGAAATGGCAGGCTGGATTATGGGTAAAAATAGACAGGGAGACCAATATTTGTTGATGCGATAATTTATCCGGATGGAAACCTTTCTCCACACTTCCGGGCGGTTGGCAAAAGTGTTGAACTTAAACTGGCTTACCAAATATATTGAGAAAAAAAACGGTCATTTATTTCCGAAAACAAGTAATGCTGTCTCTTTATCCAATTCTCAATACAGTCCACAACACAAGGAAATTGTAATTAGAAACAGAAATTTTATCATCTTTTTAGTTGCTTTTAATACCCATTTATTATCAATTTATTATTTTATTCATTTGTTGTCTATTTATCAAACTGATTTATTTTTATTGGTATCTTTTTTTAATTTTTATTACATTCTATTTATTTTCCAGACTCTCAATAATTTACCACTACAGACATACATATTTAAAATCGATAGCAATTCAAAAATTCAAAATTAAAAGGATTTACCGATGTTGAATATAAATTAATCGCAATCAATGAAAAATCACGGAATTATTTAGTTTCTAGGCGGTTTGGTTTGACATTGAAAATTAGTAAATTATTGCCAAACGGTTATAAAATTAAATTTATAGACAAATTCGATATTGCACAGTGTGCGTGCACTGCCAGCAGAAATAAAAAAAATATAGTAATTTAAGTCCTCGCAATTTACAGTAATTATCTGTACAGAAGCAGGAACAATACGAGAAAATCGGACGAAGAACTATTAGGAGGAATTTTTAAACACTAAAAATAATTTTGTTTCCGGTACATACTTCGCGCGGACCGTCCTCGACATCAACATCAGCATCATGCAGAATGTACGCCGGTAAATTCTGATTACTGGACGTACTGGAGGCGCGTGCACTGCAGCACAGCGAATTCCCCATATTTAATATTCCCCTCGCGCGTTGTCAACAATTCTTTGGTAGTAAAAATGTGCTTTTCTGAATGAAGTCCGCACCGACAAAAATCACCCCAACCTCACCAAAAAGCTGACGAACGTCCGCGTCACACACGCGAACAGAAAAATATTTCTCTGTGGTAAAGACCAGTCAGCGCGCGGTGGCCGGCCACTCCAACGCGCCTTGTGTAGATGACAAACCGGTTTTCGCGAATTATTAATCAAGAGAATTTTGTGCGTATTTGCAAAGAAAATCAGCTGGTACTGATTGTACCGATACGTACATATATATAAACCTGGATTTTTCACTGTCAAACGCGAATGCACGGTTAATGACGGCTATTTGCACTGATGGGACGGTATTATAGGTACTCTTGTACAGATGGGTATTTTCGTCAGGTGGTCGGGGTGTTTAACTTATCTGTATTGACGCTGATTAGATATTATTTATGGCCTAGTTAAATGCGTTATCTATTCATTGTTAAAACACACTGGAGACTGTTCTTCATGCGCGTAATTTTGATCAATGCCAGAGCCAGTTATTGTACGTAAATCGATTGAAAAAATCATTAAAAGATAATCGCAATAATGAATGCTGGCGTATAATATCGACAGTGACTTATGTCAGCGCGTAATTACGAATACTGAGCGCAGTACAAAAACATTGACGTCAATTTTTAAAAAAAACAAAATAATATGCTTTTTTAAAAAAATATTTAATTGATTTTCTCGCAGAACAAAACCTTGAAAAATGATAAATCCGGAAAAGTAAACATTAAAAATTTAAAAATATTAAGTACAGTATATACTATATAAAATACATAAATATCATATATGCATGACAAATATATAATAAATTATTTATTATTTATTTTTAACGTTCGAAAAAAGAGTGATAAAAACTGCAATGCACGATTATAAATTCTAATAACAATTAAAAATTCTAGCAAATATTAAAAAACCTTTCTGTATTTTTCGTCAGTTGCTTAAGATGACGTCTCAAAAATTTGTTAAATAAACATACCTTTTTGCGCATAATGGCAACCATAAATGCGAATGTGTAGTCCGACATGCATAAAAAAATTAGAAATGTTCTGATGCTTAAACTTCCACAACGCTTAAAAATTTACTAAAAAAACTCGCGCAGAAACCGGACTGAACCGGATACAGAAGGAATTACTGCGCGCGTGGATAATAAAGATTAGCCGGGTATTTATAAAAAAACCCGCCCGGCATACAGAGATCCACCCTGCGGCCACTCTACAGCGTAAAGCCTTCCGATAAAATCACTCTCTTGTGTTTTTCCGGCGTCACCGACTTTTTGGAAGTCGCACGACTGCTTCGTAAAATTTGCCGGCTAAATGACGCCGGCGACGCGAATATTAGTCTACCGCTTAAAACCGCACAGTGTATAATTTTCTGCTACATGTGCGTTACGAGGAAATATTCATGCTTTCCAGGTGGTTGGCGAATTTCTTCGAGTACCCAGTCTGCCTCGATTACTGCGGACAATTACCGGGTTTCATAATGTGCCGTATTGGTTTATTTTCTGTAGAATATCGTGCATGGTGTATTGTTTATGTTGTACTTGGGAAAAATGTCCGCCAATTCATGCCGGCTGGATGACTGACGTTACCGCCGCGTTACGACATGCCGGTTTGCGTACATCCCCGACCGCCGTGACGTCCAGCCGCGATTACCCAGCGCGCTGACTGGCAGCCGTGGATATTTTTCTAAGATGCTCCGCTTTTATCGGGCTCGTCAATATCAATACAGGGAATTCCTTGTTTTGAAATATTGCCCCACATTTACTATTAATTTTGAATTATATTACATATAACAAAAAATCTAATAAAATTAAATTTAATAATAATTTATTAATAATAAATTTTATTAATAATAAATTATTACATTTTTCTAAGATGAACTGCTTTCATGATCGGGCTCTTTAATATCAATATAGGAAATTCCTATTCGAAATATTGCTCTAGACTTGTCATTAACTTTTATCGAACATGCAAGTGATGCAACAGTAATAAAAAGGTATTTGGAAATGCTAAAGTATGTTACAAATAGAATATCAAAAATATATGCATACAAAATGCTTTGTTTACCCAGTATACGTGTATACGTGTACGTATACGTGTACATAATCTAATAATTAATAGTACGTACGTGTTGTATAGTACATTGTAGTTTATACTCGTACTGTATATACTTTGTTGTAAATTTTAATCTTTATTTGACTGTATACATATTAAAGTAATGGTTTTGAGAGGAATCTGCTTTGATTGCGTTGACCCACATACGCGAACCACAGGAAATTCTTGTTTGTATATAATTTTTAGCCTAATGCTGCTATAATACGATCGTAATAATAGTAAATAATACGTTGCAAAACAGTGTTTTCCGGTTCTCCTTACCGTGTCCAGTCCGAGCAACACCAGGAGCGGAATGGTCGTCAGGCCGCCGCGTTTCCATTCATCCAGCGAGACCGACCCATCCCCATCGTAGTCGATTTCCACCATCATTTCTTTCAGAATCTGAAATAATATTACAATATATCCATCGATGTAGCTGAACGTAATACTAAGTACTAATAGAGCAAACGGTCAATTTCGTCCTACCGGTCGTAATTCGGTGACGTCCCAGCCCAGGTATTCGGCGACGGTCATCATCTGGTTGACGATGCATTCCAGCTCGTGATTGTCCAGTACACCGTTGCCGTCGCTGTCGTACAGGCGGAACATGAACTCCAGTTTGTCTTCCGGTCGTCCGCCTTCCAGCAGCGACAGGTAGCACACGATATCTTTTAGTGAGACCTGAAATACAATTGTTCAACTAATTAACTCCGGAAAACAAAGCGTATTCAAATCAGAATATTATGAACATTCGACCGGCAATGCAAAATTCAAAATTAATAAAGAATAATTCGACCGGCCCAAAAAAATTGTTAAATTATATTCTGGTGACTGGTATGTATGTAAATCAAAAATAGGCAAAATTGCCTACAGTATATTACTTGATTCGTATAATAAAAAAAACATACACGCAGAAAACTACATAAAACATATAATATACTGTACATATGTACAAGTAAATCGTATACATATATATAGATATACGTATAAAAGACACATTCTGAACAGCTTATGTATACGTATAAAATTTAAACATAAAATAAATATAATAAAATAATAAAAATAAAATATATACGTACATAATTATAAAAGACGTACATAAAATAATATAGTTACAAAAAACAACATGTACAAAATATAAAACAAATGTACCGTTCACATACGTACATGCATTCTTACGTACATGTTGTGAAAAAATAATAAAAAATTACGGTACAGATAAACATTTACTGCAATAAATACGAACGACTCCCGAAAGCAACGAATTAGTGCGCCTAAATACAAAAAAGCATACTTCGCCTCGACCGGAAACCGCTACCATTCTGGTCAACAATCCTGTATGTATCCGGTCCAAAAATAAAATCTCTGAATAAATCTACTATATAAAAGTTATATATAGCATACAGAAAATTTTAATGGAAAAAGAGAGAATAAATTTTCACAACAACATCCTTGAAAAGCGCGTATAGCGCTTGGGTTGAATCAGCACTTGGGCACGTCTGCCACGGTCCGACAAGCACTCGTTGTCACCCACCGTTCCCCGTTAAAATACACCGGTACTGTATATATCGATACACTCGCGGTGTCTAACAATAGTTGCTACTTTTAGACTTGCCGGCTGATTAATATAATTTTCGGAATAACACGGGGATGACAACCGGTATTTTCTTACTGCGCCTGTGCAAATAATCATGCGTCCTCCCGTTTCGACCACTCCATTAAGCGCCCGTTTACATAAAACGTTTTACGAACCACTTATCGGCCAGTTTGCCCGGCGATTGTAGCGTTGTAGTCGCACTGGAGAATTTGCGCTAATTTGTTGACAGATAGAAAGCGATATATACGGCGCATATGCTAGTTACGAAATTATTTCTCATGGACTGTACCAGCGGGACGGGGCGGTGAGTGGCCACCGGAAGTGGATAGGAAAACACTGATATAGTCATCGCGCGTTTTTGCTGGCGTGTGATTTTGATCGGGTTGTATCGCTGATCAAACGTGTTGCATGTGATTCATCACATGACCCATCACCGTGGGCGATTAATAGATAAGATTTTAATTTTTTGTTAATCGTTTTCTGATTCTTTAGTAACGGATACCTGCTTGTTTAATTCATGCACTGGTTTAGAAAATATTTTAAAAAATTTCCCGGATTTGAAAATGCCGAATGCTGATTTAAAACGTTCGTAAGAAGGAATATTTTTTTCAAATTTAGTATTTAGTAAATGAATACTGATTCTAATTTTAAAATAGTAATTCCTTTATACATTTTATTTTTCTACAGTATTTTTAATCAAAGTCAATTTATAACCGTTGTTAATGTTATGAATCACTAGCTAGAAAAAGCGACAGAAGAAGTTTTATACGAAATTACGAATGCATTGCTAATTTAATATTATTATTTTTAACTATGTTTTAATTTTTAAAGCATGTATAACAAAATATTAAATTAGCAACTAAATATATTTTTTCCCACTGTACCTTGACGGAATGTATATCGATCGTCTGCTGGAAGCTGGAGATGGACAGCCGACTGCCTTGTACGGCATGGGATTTGAAGAGGAGCCCCGTTATGGACTGGCGGACTTGACTCAGCCGGGGATGCTCCAGCATCAGTTTATCGTGGTCCAGACCTTTACAATACGAGTATCTAATTAGCAGACATGTAACAAACATATTTTAACGCGTCCAGGGTGACAAAATGTCCCGTAAACCGACTGCAAAGCGCTGCAAAGGTTTTACGCAATAAAGCCCGGTTGACCTTTAACGCTCAACCTTTAACATGATTACCTGACCTTTTGACGTCAATACGTCAGAGGTCAGCGGATGTGGTGTTAACTTACAAATGATTTTTTTTATTAAAGAGACAATGACACAGAAAATGATCATTAAATAAAACTTATACAGTAATCCATTCGGTACTACAGTATATAGTACCTGTACAGCATTGGATTGATTGCATTGGAAAACAATTCAACGCAAAAAATATAACGCAAACCTTTTACAGAAATGCAAGTTATCGGCATTCCAATTTTAATGAAACTGCTTTCAGCGGTATTACAGTGTCATTTGTTAGAACAAAATACTATTGAAATATCCGTTTTAAATCCGTATTACTATAGAAAACTTCCTCTTTCATAATCGTAATTTTTATTATTTTTTTGTTAGGGTTTTTTGTGTTTTGATCTGTTCAAAGTTTTTTATTTATAATCTTAAGTCATTCTGTTCAATGATTATTTTTCATTTATATTTTATTTCATCTGCTTGTAGATGTTGATTTATGTATATATATCTTCACATATTCAATATTCTCAGTCGTTACTTTTATTTGTTTTAATTTATGCAAGCTGTGTATCTGTATTAGTTCCTTAGAAGTTTATCACTGCAGATACTGTACATTAATTTTCGTAAAAGCAGTCTTTATTAGTGTCTGTACAGTTACAGCAGGTATCAACTAAAGGTCAACACATACTGTTCTGTCGTGAGCCGGTCTTCTTATTGAGCGGATGCGCATTCCTCGTCGGACTCTGCGCACCGGACGTCCGACTATCCGCCTCGTTCTCCGGCAGGGTAATCGTCACCGAGGGATGCGACCCGACACTGCCCGCCCGGATCCGCGCATCATCCGAGGCGCTCTGCACCGAGCCCCGGTGGAAGTTGCTCTGCAGTCGCTCCGCCAACCCGTGCATCTTACTGGCCAGATCGTGCCACTTCCCGCTGCCTCCCGCACTAGTCCCGGCGGCCTCCTCCTGCCCCGGGGACTGCACGGAGATGGAGCCCTGCGAGGAGCGCTGGGCGGAGTTGGCGCCGCCGCTGGAGCCAGCGGGCAGGGAGTAGGCTTCCTTGATGAGCTTCTGTTCGGGGGTGATGGAGAGGGATTTTGGTTTGATGAAGGGGAAGGTGTAGGAGGGGGTCTGTAGGCTACTCTGGGAGGGGAGTACCGGCATGGGCCGCCGGACGAAGGAGAGGAAGAGGTGCCGGCATAGCTCCTCTGGGACCTCAATGTCCAGGTAGGTGTTCATGAACAGCTGGAAGCCGTCGTAGTCGATGGTCTGTTAAGTGCCGGCACGTGAAATATATATGATTTGACTCGTAGCGCATAGATAGTTTAAAAACGAGGAAGTGGAATTTTATTTATTTTGCAGGTTTCGGTAAATTTGTAGTGGAAACGCTTTTGCCACGCGAATTTCGGCACGAAATTTATATTTATTCGAAACATTACAGCTTTCAAAAAAAAGTTGTACCCCGATAAAATGTTAAACCAGTTCACAGAGTACAGCAAAAACAGTAAATTTATTTTTAAGTAAAAAGGTTGTAAATGCAGCTGTCATTTGAGTTTCTGAAGAATGCGTGCTAGAACAGTGTAATGTTTCTTATATACCAACGTGAAGCAGAAGCGTTTCTAATGAAAATACATACGTATATCGAAAGTAGCTTTTTCAACAGCATTTTTTGGCCTTTTCGGCTGACCAGTGCATAGTCGAATAATATGTATCAAGGTTCTTTTGCAAACATTTTCGGTTTTGTCCGACTTGTGCTTACAGCGTACAGTAAACCTTCGCTGATTGAATGCTATACAGTAATCGCGCATACACCGGCCCATGCGGTCATGTTTACCATGCACACTCTTCCGGCCAAGTAGCATATAATCACCATGACATTCACGTGCAAAAGGTCAACCGCATTCCGTTTCAGGCCTGCTGATAGACAGACGTCAGCGGATACGGCGAAATTGCCATTGGTTGGCGTGATTGAATTACGTGTTTTCCTCATTTTCGGGTTTAATGTACAAATCTTGACGGTCATGATGCCAGTGTAATATACATGGAATTCAATAACACGCTCAACGTAGGTACGAAAATATCATTATTCATTTTAATTATGCCTCGATTCCTGATTAATCCTTAGGTTTGTATCCTGTGCTTAGAAAAGGTCATCATGGCATACTTAACAAGAATCTGAGCGAGCCCGGCGAACATTTTGCAACAAATTATGAGGTGACCGGCGGTGCCATTGAGTTGTAGCTCGTACACAAGACTCTGGTTCTCTGCAAGTTATAAACTCCACTCTATAAGTCAAAAGAATCGATAGGTCACGCTTTTGCGGTATGTATTAGTACTGAAAATCAAATTCTATCAAGTTTTTGCCTCTTTGCTCTACGCGCAGTCTCGGTTCTCGTTGTAGGTTTGCCTGTACCGTATATACCAGGTTGCATCCCACCGGTTCTTACTCTAGAAGTCTAAGGAATCGATAGGTCACGTTTTCACGGCCTGTATTCGTACTGAAAATCAAAATCAAGCAAGCTTCTGCCCTTTTGCTCTATCCGAAGTGTTCAGCACAGTTCTGTATATGCCAGATTGAAACTTGAATCCAACCGAACCTCGCTCAGATTCTTGTGTTTAACAGCACAGTAACGTGGTGTCATATGATATGAGATTGTATATTGTCTTAACTCTTAGAGAAAACCGATTGCTGTTGGAACGGAAACACAAACACACACCACGTAGCACAAGAAAACGGGGAAAAGAACGAAGCCATACATACGATCTCATTGAGGAAGTCGATGGTGTCAGTGATGGGGATACTGCTGTGGGACGGTGTACGGGCGTATCGTGAGGGTGCTGTTGACAGTGTAGCAGCATGCGTCTCACTGTCAGCCGCCTCGCAGCCGCCAGTCACAGTACTGCAGCTCATATCATGCTCATCCGTATGCAGGCCATTTATCACATTCTCCTTCAGCACCGGAAGTAGTGAGCCGCTGGCCAGAGGATCAAGGCGCTAGAAAATACACATGACAAGGCGCGCGAGAAGAGAGAATTAGGCACAACAACACACAAACCCCAGTCAACACATTCAACACACTGTCATATCACATTAACAACCATTATTCACCCATAACCGAAAAGAAAATTAACGGGGGGAAACGGCAGAGAGTGCAAACAAGCCAAGAGTTATAGATATCGGCTGATTGATCGGGCATTAGTGGGGGCACACAAGCGCAGGGTTTTTTTCTGTGATAGATATCGCGACGATTTATCCAGTCAATCAGCCATAGATCAAGCCATAATCACTCTCAATACTAACGTTAATAACCCAGGCAATCATCACAGCGCATAAGTGCAAGGATTCGTTTTTTTACAAGGGGGTGGTGTGCAGCGTGCAGTGGGGGATTTATTTAACGCAAAATCCACAGGCTGACCAATCATTCCGCGGCTTTACGTACGCGCGTGCCCATGTATATCCGGGTGCTGACCAATCACCCAGCGTGATGACGTACAAAGATATCCGGCTGCTTGACCACTCATTAGGCACGGTATTGTATTGGCCCAATGAGACTCTTAATGAAGAGTGTGTGGTGTGTGATTAAGTGCGTATTGGACGTAAATGGTGCAGGTGCTCTTCACATCAGGTGATTTCACGGATATTTGACATTTATCAAATTATGATAACACACACCGACCACCACAGCGGGGCTTACCTCATCGACGTTCTTGTATTTGGCAAGGACGCCGTTTTCGTTGAATTCCTCTAGAACATCTTTGAGCTTTTTGGGGGAGTCTGCGGAGAATAACGGTTACTGGATTCATCAGTACATATTTCATTAAACGCATTAAACTGGCTGAAATTAGGTAATGTTTGCGGGAAATTACGCCGGTGTTTATGAGGAATTCGATGCAGCAGAATATAACTGATATTGTATAAAAATAGACACCATCGGAATTGGTCTTCCCCGTGCAGTTTCGTGATTGGTAATGACTATGCTGGCTCTGTTATCATGTTATTCAAATAATAATTTTGATACGCGACAAAATCAAATTTGCTTTTCAATTAAATTGTACCAGTTATTAATGCTTATAATTTTGAAAACGAACAAGACATAGACAACTTTGTATCGTTTATGTAACAAAATCACACATAATATTATTGCTACAGTAATAAAATAAAACTGACGCGGCCGGGTTTTCTTTTTTATTCGATTGATCTGATAGATTATACGAGTATTTCAGTTGGCGAATTTAATTTGCAAGACGTTATCAAGAAGCAAATGTACATCTATATCTGTGTACTGTAATACGAGTTTTTTACCGATCGATATCTGCAGAATTCTAACAAACAATCAGTTTTCAAACGAAAAATATTGCTTGAAACTAAAATACGTAAAACGACGCCACTGCCAGTTGCAAAAGATAGTTTCGAAGCTGGCTTCACTTACATGATTGATACTCTTGGAGCTGTTGAAACTCGGCCTGGAAGAAAATGTTAATGTAGTTCTGTGCACAAACACGGTGGGCAATAATTTACCGGCGAGAGTTTCTGCCAGCGCAGCGAGCCGAGCGCCGACGAGGACTGGGCGCTGACGGCAGTGGCGGAGGTGGGCGTCACCGAGCCGCCGGTCTCCGGGACGAGGGCGGGCGCGCCGGATGTCGGTGTGGTGAGAGATTTGCGGCTCTTCATAGCAGCAGGGGGATGCGAAGGGCAGCGCACAACGACAACAACAACAACATCGCACGGAACCAACACCCTCGCCGGTTACGTCCCGCATATGGACTTTGCGCGTATCCCGCGACTGCTATCCAATGAATGGCTGCAAAAGCGGGAATTGTCCAGTCCTTCCGCGTTTCAAAAATTGATTAATAAGTTCACCGGTTATTAAGAAACATAAGAAAACATAAGAAAACTGTGCGTAACAAGCACTTTGATGTTTTTACTTATACGCAAATTCGTATCGTGAAAATGTCCGGAATGAGAAAAACGTCAAATTAAGCGCTAAACTGCAGTATCACAGTTTTTTACTGTACCCTGCACGTCGCTACGTCCGCCAGCGGATGTCCATATCCGGGATCAGTTGGCATAAATCCCCCATAAATATATATCCGTCTCCCAGTCGCTCTCTGCAACGGCCAGCACAGATTATAACCATCTACGCACGTTTACCGGAAAATCTACTCAGCCGGCGGGAAATCGCTGGGGTTGTCTAATTAATTCCGATAACGAACACAAGACTACTTCACCATACACACTATACGTTTATAGGAAGAATGCTGGCGCACGCGAACGGCTGGCGGGGAAAAAACTCGAGTGGGAGCTGTTTGCCGATAAATATTACTCTATAGCTCAATCCGCCGGTATTGTGCGCGCCGGCTCCACGTGTCGGGCGTGCGCGCTATGTCCCCGAAACGCCGAAAGAGACAATCAGCCGGCACACAGAGAACGAGAGAGAGAAAGAGAAGAAACGCGGCATTCACACACACAGCGCACGAGAGAGCGATTTCGGCCGACCGTGTGACGTCGGGTGGGCCGGGTCGGACGTCACCCAACCCGGGGAGCCGACGCCCAAGTTTTTTACTGTCACGCTGCTCACGTTACACACTGTCACACATGCACGCGCGCTCCCCCAAGACAATATAATATTATCTATAGAAAATCCTGCAACACGATCCTCACACACAGTTTTCCGGGAATTTCCCCGTTTTAGGATTTTCTGGTCTTTCGCATGGAGACCCCGTGAGCGCCGGGAACAGAAACTAAAAAGCGTTTTTCTCTCGTGCATAACTCACGCTCGGTTACCGACGCAAAATTCCGGATGATTAAGACAGGCAAAAATAACCACAGAATGCTATTGACATTGCCAGTCACCCACGCGTCGCGCCGCACACTTATACACACCGGTACCGGCACGACTTGGCAGCACCGTGAGCCAACGACCCTTCCCACGGATTAATCTCTGACGCGGAGAATATCTCCGCGCTCTGGCATTTTCTCGAATATATTTATACCACCCCGGCAATTACAATCCACAGCGCGTATAAATATCCCAACAGGACATTGCTGCGATCCCGGAGAATAATTACGCGTATTTGAATAAACACCAACCTGGGAAAATGTCACATACCGGCAACCGTTGATATTACACAATTACACATGATCGATGCATAATACAATTAACAGTTCCGGCAAAACACGCGCGCGTCGCGGAAACACCGCATACAGCGGCAATTATGCCGGAAAGGTCATGCAGCTATTGTTCCAACGGTGCAGCGGGTGACGCGCGGCCGTGTAAATATAGAGCGCGGGCCTGGATGGGCGCACGTGACCGCGTGTATCGACTGTATGTGCCGGTTGATTAGGACAGCAAGTTGGTCTAATGAAAACCTAAGCAGAAAAATTTCCCAATAATCAGTAAACACTTGGTCTCCCTCCCGCACACACAGGCTATGCATTATCCGGCTGACGTCAGTCCGCATCTCCCGGCGGACGCGGGCATCACGTGTGCTGCCGCAACGGGAAATTGCGACAAGTGCCGGAGCGTGCAGCTATCCCTGGTTGAGATAGTGCAGCGCGCGATTGACGAAAGCGTAGCCTATACACTAATAATGCGCCATAACCAATATGATGCATAATTCAGTAGCCATTAGCCAGCCGTTGGACCGGGACTGCTATCGACCTGTCAAGGGCTACCCGGGTCCGGGGTTAAACTGCTAATCAAGCGTACTGTCCCCGATCGTCTTCGTTACGCGGCGCGCGCGCACACGGCGGCGGAAATGAAAAGCCCGGTTGGAAAGGTCAGGGTATTTTACAGGTTTCCCGTGCGAAACAGTTTAATATAATCGCCGCGAGCCAGTGATATATCAGACCCGGGCGAAAAACACTTAGGGGATAATCATTTTTCTACGAGGTTTCTCTCTGCGCGTCAGGGTTGCTCGTATGTGTTTTATCCTAAAGCGGGTACTTCTCCCGGTCGGTCTGATCCGTTAAAAGCGGATTAATGACGAATTGAGATGGGGAAGAGAGAGAGCGAGCGATGGGAGAATAGCACGGAGCGTGCGCGCTCTTAAGAAGGCACCGATCAAGTGACAAACAGAGACAGGGTACTTAAAATCAAATGCTTTTTACCCGGTAAAAATGACCAACCCCGCGGAGAATAGAATGTAGGAATACAAAAATAAACGCTTCATTTTAATGCATTTGGCGCAAACAAGCGCTTTTCTGTTCGAACCCAGTAAAGGCTATTTATACGCAATGGACGTGATCTTTTGCGAACTTCGTTAATTTTATTATTCATTTTGTCAAACGCGAACCGACTGGTCGATTTGCTTTTTTCCATTCCAACCTTATGTAGTTACCTCACGATGTACAGTTCGACATTTTTCGTATTCCGAACATTTAAACATTTTCTTAGTATGGAATCGCGTATCGGGACACTGGAAATGCGTACGGTATTCTCCGCGTAGTCCACATGACAGAAACTTTTTCGGAAATCGATTCCATGGTAATTTGTGTTTTTATATCAGTTTATACACGAGATTAATAAAGAATTAAATATCCAATTTTCTCAGGTGGAACAGTGCTTAGAATGGCGTGTTTCTGGTGTCCGGTACGCGACACGATATTGTCAAAGTTTCCGGAAGGCGAAAAACGTATACTTCTGTACTATACGAATGTATAGTTCTATGCAAATAATACAATATTCGCGTATACACCGTGGTACGAAAAAGTTAGACGTCTCTTTTTAATGTATATTGCACAAACAGGCACTTCTCTGTTCGTGCTGGCAATTTATGCGCATCGGATGCGTTTGTACGAGTACGAATGCGTTTGCATCGTATAAATTTTATTATAAAATTTCTGAGCCTTGTCCGATTCCTGTTTTGTATCCCTTCATGTACGTCGCCTAACGGACGAACTTAACCAAGACTACACCAACCATTTGCCAACAGTAATGAGCCGTGTACGGGACACGCCGTGGCGTCTCTTAGTGCCGCTCCACAGCACAACTATTAAACCTCCACCAATTCTTTCTCAGACGTGACCGGCTCAATAGCCGTTCGGGACTCCACAACAGGACTGAATACGGGCATAAACCCTCCTCGTCCACGTTTAATTTGCGCAAGGCAACACACTTGCCGGTACTTCAACCGCGCGCTTCGTCAGCACCCGGCTTTGTACTATCCCCACCACACGGGCAGACAAAAGCCGGGTCGTTGGTTTAGCCTTAACACTTATAGCGCTGTGGCAAAGGGGGATTTAATTAAGAGCGCAATTTGCCGGTGATTTGTTTCTCTTCACACACTCGCGCGCGCAAAGACGCACACACACAGCTCGTCAAGAATTAATTAGCCGCGGCCGCGTGACGTCAGCGCGACGGGGGGCGCGCATGTGGGGCCCATAAAACCCGCGTTGCCGCGGGTGTAATTATTGCGCGATCCCCGGAAAATATGCTAAATACGCTGGATGTTAATGGAGCGTGTATTGCGTAACGCCGCGTAATGGCACCACGGCGGCCGTAATATCGGGGATCCTGCGCACCGTAAATGGTCCGCGCTGGAATAATGGCCGCGCCGTTTCCTTCAGCGCGCGCGGCCATGTGTGCGGCCTACATCGCAGGATCATTAAAAAAACGGCCTTTTTTACATGTTTTCCTCCTCTTCCCGTTCCCTTTTTATGGCCGCGCATCAAACAGCACGAGAGCGCGTTCGATAATGAGAAACGGCAGAGTGTCCTAAATTTACCCAACTACCAATTTCCTCATTACACATCGCGCGCTGCACGAGACAGTGCGCATGTCGCTGCAATCGATGCGCGGATCCATAAAGCCCATTTGCCGTTTTTGTCCGTTTATGGAGTTTTTCGGGGGAGACACACGGGCCATCTCCATATATCGGTGGTATGAATTGCGTCATTTGTAGTGCATACACACGCAAGTGGCGGTTTGTCAGGGAATTGCGTTTAAGTCGGGAACAACGAGGCCGCGTTTGACATGCTGCACAGCGTTACTGGAACGCGCCAATTCCCCAGACTACGGGACTTTTCAGGCGCTTGTACGTTTGTACTTTGTACCATACCTTAATTATTCGCTTGTTGGTGTCGCTGTGTGCGTCGTGCATGCCGAAAAGGCTTAATTTATTTCTATAGTAACACATAAAGCTCCTTAAACTGCAATATTTGAAACAAAACGCTAAACCGCTTAAAAATCCGTCAAGATAGGGAAATCAGCGGAATCGATGGGCTTCGAGTAGTATCGATTTCCGGCCGTGATTTTCTTTTTACAGATACAATTCCCCGCTGTGTTCTGATTTATGGAGATTTGTTGCCGTTTTCTACAACAGTTTACATGTTTTTAAAAAAAGAAAATAAATTAGCAGGTGAGTGTGTGAAAGTAAGCGGTGATACAACGTACGACAATTTTTGCACGAGTATTTCGTTTCTGATTGGTCCGCACTGCACACGGCTGTACCACAAAGCACAACCGCTTTTTGTCATTTGCTCAGAACGGAACTTTTAAATCAGAGCTTAATTTAGAGTTTAGAAAAACGTAGCGTACAATTTCATGCATGCAACTGCCACCGTGAGAGGTCGAGCTAGGATACAATGTAAAAACTGGAAATCGAGCAGTTGATCCGCAGATCAAAAATTTAATAACAACGTCCTCAAACGCTCATAAATCTCTAGCACTGGTTTGAACAGAGAATTGCTGTTTTGCGTTAAACCGTTAAAACGAGGCATCTTTGTCAGTCCTACAATGTACAAGCGAATTTCTTCTATCGATAGGAAACGCAGACGTGCACGCCGGGAAAACAGTACACACTGGCGGAGTCCAGTGTCCCGGTGGCAATCAAAGGGATGATCCAGCTGTCGATTCATATCGGTTGCAGTGGCAGCCGGGCGTGCTGCATTATGTATAGCTCCATCGGCTATAAATGCAACGCGCCACCGATATATATATCCAGCACACAATATAGTCAGTCTAAACTCTAAACCCGATCGGCTATATGTTTTTTCCTCTCTGGCCGCTCTCTCCTCTTTCACAGCTCCAGCCTAATGAGCTGATTTCCGCGCTGATCGGCGACATTTTTCACTGGGATGGCACAACGTGTACGATACCGCCCGCGAGGAGAAAATGACGCCAAGGCTTTTTTTTGTGTCAAAGCTGTATATGTTTCTGTATATAGCCGTAACGTTCTATGTGCGAGTTAACCGTGTGGAAACATACCAATAATTTCTCGTCCCTTTTGTCAATCGTTCCCTCAAAATCGCCCAACCAATCAATATATCGGCGCATCAATATTTTAAACTCGGGTAAAACTTGCCGCGCTTGTCCGAAAATAAACCGACAGATTTTTAGAAAAAATATTTTTCAATAGAAAAAACATTTTTGTAAGGAAAGAAACTTTTTCTTATAAGAACTTTTTTAAATTGTCACGGCACTATTTTAAACTCGGTAAAAACTTGCCGCGTTTGCTGAAAAATAAATCTGCGGTGTTTTTAGAAAATTATTTTCTAGTAAATAAATTTTTTTTGTCGAAAAAATATTGTTTCTACAAAATATTTTTTTGAAATTATTGCGGTTTAAATTGGACGTTTATAGGATGCGGCGGATGCGGATGTGTATGCTACTCTTGTGGCTGGTGTGTTATTATGGCTTTTCACTCTGGGCGCAATTTCGCGTCCTTCCTTGCCGCGGTGCACTCACTCTTTGCATAATGGCTGTGAGACTGCTGTCAAGAAAATCGTGCATAAACAAACAGTCTTTTCAATGCAAACACTGTCGAAATTAAGCAAACTCCAGCCTTACACGCTGGAGAGTGGAGAGTGTGTGTTGAAATGCAACACAACGCTATTCCTCGTTTTGTGTGCGTTGCAATGCCGGTCATTGCTGAGCGCGTTTTCCCAGCGGTCCTTGACAGAATCGCCTCCTAATGTTCCCTACAAAGCTTCGTACGGAACCGGAGTGTTGCATGAAAAATTGGGAGAACGGTTTCAGCAAACCGATTTTTTTATACACACAATATTTTATTTTGAGACAGAAACATTTAATTAAAAAGAGACCAAGTGTTGGTTTTTTTAGTTAAAAAATGGTAAAAATACGAGAGAATAAGTATGGCGAGCGAATTGTTTTGTACCACAGACGATTAATTTAAGATATTAAAAAATTTTTATTTCTTTAGAAAAACAATGGTTGTTGAAAAGATTATTAGCATTGCTTATCAAGCGTAATATTGCATCTGTTAGCGCGCAAGTTAGCTGCATGCAATGCCACCATACTACAATTTGTTGATAATTTAATTCCATCCTTAATATGTTTTTATACACCGAAAAAAATCGGGACTTGCATGTAAAACAAATTCTCTGTATATGTACGAAAAAAACTGGCAAACGATTTCCAAAATATTTTGGAAGATGCCGCTAAAATTGCAATTATTGTTTATCGTCAGTTTGGTAAGCAAAAACCGTTTATGAAATTAAAAATTTGAAAAAACACGAGGACCAAATAACATAACCAGGAAACGGCCAAAAGGCGCCGCCCACTAAACTGCAATCCCATGGAAATCGCCGGCGCGAACGGGCTGCGAAATCCCCTGGTAGAATCGAGGGGAAAATTGCATGAGATTTATGTCGGCGTATAGATACGATATATCTGTATGTACCGATATGCAGCGGCGTTTGTACAGGAGGATGGGAACTGTACATGGGGGAATTAAGTCGCATGACAAAGGTCATGCGCACTACATTTGCCCCGTGTTGCCGGTGTAATGCAACATTGCTTGTGCGGTGGGATTTCTCCAGAGAAATCACCGCCACGCCAGTCATTTGGCTGGCGCGCGTCTATTATGCATTCTTCCTCAGCTGGCTTAAGTGGGCAAGCGTGTGCTACACAAACCGGAGCGAAATCTTTCTTGGTAAAATTTCGTATAATTTTTCTGTAATTAGCGCAGTTAAAAAAATAATAGCCACGTCTAGTGACTGTTAAAACATTTTAATGTTAAAAAAAGTTGTCAAGAAAATTTAATGTTTTTTTTAGCGTGTAACAATTTATTTGCCGCGCTCACGGTTTCGTACTGAAAACAATCCGCCACCACACTACAATTTTTTCGATAAACCAATTCGACACTCAGATCGTTCTTATGCACCAATAACTCTGAGTTAATTTTAAAATTACAGAATACTGTAAAAAGAGCCAACTATATTACTTTTGTGGCCTTACAATAATTTTCGATAGAAAAAATCAACAACTTGTAATTAATCTCATGCAATGTTTCCTTGTTTATTTTTAACAGGAATCGGGTTGGAAGTCGCTCATACTGTGCCACCGTTCTACAATTTTCTTGATAAATCAGTTGCTGTCTTAATCCCTCTTAAACACCGACAAATCTGGATTGATGTTTTTTTCCGTAAAAAATCGGAAGATGATCCAGCTGCATATATTTCTGAAATTCAATGCTTTTCCAGCAAAATTTAATAGGAATATACTAAAAAACTGAACTAGGAAAGAAGCAAAATATTTGGCATACATCCACGATTGCGCTGTCATGCCGTGGTGAAAAATGACTACAAAACGTGAGTAATGTCCTTAAACGAGAAAACGTTCCAGCGCCAACGAGCACAAAGTCGTCGGGACAAGCGGAAAGAAAGTCACGCGTGAGAAATGATAGTTTGCGGTCAGCTGTGTATTACGCCGACGTGCTCCTGACATTTCCGATGGAAATATTTTCTATACATTTATCTATATGTGTGTTACGCGGGCCACGTCAACATTTTGGCCGTTTTCACCCCGCATTCACCCTGGCCGAGTTTTCATGGCACTCGACCAAACAACGCGGAGAAAAGAAATATATGTATGCTAATATGCTACAATTTATCCCCAATCGATAATGACACAAATGACTATGGACACCCTGCCAAAACGCATTTTCCACCGTGCCAATATCGCACTGCACATATACTTTGCATAGACAATTCCGGTACAGTACAGTACATCTCCCGGATGATTTGTGGCGCGTCGGCGTTTGTATTGAGCGGTGCTACTCGCAAAAAAACTCGCACAAATTGTGTGCTAATAGAGCGTTTGTTTTCTGCTGTTGAAGGCCTAACGAGAAAGGTCACGTGCAAATGCACGCATGCAATAACGGCGTAAAGAATTATTTGTTTGTTGTGCGGCAAAAAAAATGCAAATTTATTGAAAAATTTCGCCGGTAGCGACCATCACTGGAGATACAGCTGTGAAGATACGCGTTGTAGCATTTCGATTGCATTGTACTGGTTGAGATGATACACAAAAAACCTAATTTAGAAAATCGGTAGATCGTAGTACAGTGGCCATGTCATCGACAAACAAATGGAAGTTCGTAAATGTTTAACATTCCTGTGTGAAAACATGTTACCGTACTTATCATTTATTGTATATATTCCAACTTTTTTGTTCGGCTAGTCAGCCAGCACACAATGACAATAAGCCTGCGCCGATTTACACTAAATAAATTGATTATTCATTGTAAATTATATAACATTGAACAACAAATTTTTCCTCAAATTGAATTTACTTGGTTATAGAACGGAAAAATAAGAGATAAAAATGTGAGATAAAGGGACCTTTCAAGAAATTTCTGTTTGTACTCCGCTAATTTTAACCTGTCGGCGTTGCATATATTATTTTAATTTGAAAATATATTATTTACGTTGAAAGTCTGCCAACCGAAGAAATTTCGAGAGGACATCACTAAATGAGGCAGCCTTTATCACTTTACAAAATAAAATGCAAAACTGTAAAATAAACTTTCAATGTACAACATCTTGTAAACTGCCAACCTTTCCTGTCGTTTTTGAGAAAGAGCTGTCGCAGTCTACAACTGACTAAATGAGCATCAATAGCGTTGGAAATTTGCCCTTATTATTATTATCATCATTATTATTATTATTATTACATCAATCCGATTAACGGGACTCCAACTTCTGTGCGGTATATTATCTGTCCACACAATTAACACCGTTCCTCTTAAAGTATCCCGGGTATTCCGGGGATCGGTTGTGGCAGCTGAGGAGCCCCAGCTGATGATAATAGAACGGAAGGGCATCTATGACAGGACGATAGTCGGTGTGCGCCGCTAAAGAGCTCCCCCCTCTCTTTCCCTCGGCATACACAGGCGGATGGGAATGCCCACTCGACGCGGACAATTGCGGAGTAAGTTTGTCCCAATAAATTCCCGGGGAAACGCGACATATACGCAATGTGCTATATATATATATACAACACGCTATATATTCGACTGGCACTCATCATTCACCGTGGCCCGGCTTAATGCACCCGCCAGTTTAAACTGTCAACAATAGCCTCCATCACACAAGTAGAGAGAGAAGAGGAGAAAATAGACGGGAGAGAGAGAGCACACCGGAAAAAACACAGATAGTCAAGAGTGTTTTCATGGGAGCTGCGACAGATGAGACCCGGGCCCGCGTTTATAATACTACTAACACACACTAATCACGGATACATATATCTGCGCAATATAATATCCATTAATGTTTTTTTCAACAGGCGATCAGCGTTTTTCCCTGACCCGTCAACACCGTGATTTTTTCTGCTGGTGTGCGACATTTCGCGGGAGGTTAATGCGGTTCTATCAACACCGTACGGAAATAGACGCATATGACCTAATATACCTGGTGGATCGTGCCAGCAGTTTATGAATGAACACACCGTTACGTACACATACACACACCGCTTTAAAAGTCATTCAGGCGTGGATTTGTATCGCTTCCCATATTTCTATATATACACCCTGCGCCTCACATTACCGAAAATAGTCACTCACAATAAAATGTATATCACACGCTCCACGAATTGTATCCCGTGGTGATGGCGGATTAAAGACACATAGGATCGAACAGGCAGACAATACACTGGCGCGCGTGGTGACAAAGATGTCAGGGAGAATAATTGGATTACATGTCGGTTGGCGCGCGAATGGGAGATGACAGTGTCTCCGCCAGCATTAACATCATCATCATCATCATCCTCATCAACAACATCATCGAGCAAAAACACAACAAGTGCGGTAGAAATATGCCGGGTGGTGATTTTTTTAAAGCGGTCCTTGCTGGATTCAAAGCGGGGATGAATGTGGAGAGATATCAGGAGACAGTCAGTCGAGACGTTGCGCGTTCTCCCTCTCTGTCAAGTCCCAAATAAATCGGATGCAGTCGACGCGCGCGCGCACTAGTGTACAAGACGACAAGCTCCGATTAATACATTGTACAGACGCCCCGAATTTGCCCCACGGTGATAGCACATTACGGACAATATATCGTGCTGGAACACAGAGATACTGATACACACACCAGCCTCATCCGTCCGTCCCCGGCTTCATTACCAATCTAATTAGGCATGGCAGGGCTCGCGACGCGCGCGCGCAAGAGCTTGCACACTTCCGGTCAACTGTATATACGTTCCTTAATGAAACGCTGCCACGTGTGTAGTGTACGTACGCGACGCGCGCGGGTTCTGGCACGTCCAATCGATGGGAGTTTACAAGTTCGCGGCAAGTATGTTGTAAGTTTAATTGGTTTCCCTTTCTCTCTCTCTCTCTCCCTCTCTCTGACATCCGATACATTGGGGATATATATGTTAGGAGATGTTTGAAAGCTTTTCCGCTTCTCTTTCGACGGTTTGGCAACTCGTACAGATATGCGCTGGAATGCTGTAGAGTGTGTACGCGCCATGTGGACGCTTGGTTCAGCGATGGGAAAAAGTAGCCGAGTGTATAGACACAACCGGCTACTTGTCATGCACCGCGGTGGGTGGGGCCGGCTGGATCTATTTTCAGCCGGAAACGAGATACCCCACCGATATACCCACCCGACCCGGGTGCGTACAGTGTAGACGGATGTGCAATTGGCCCGAACGGCCTATCACGCGGGCACCGGCCGAGTTTTTTTCAGATACCGAAGTACTTATACATCGGTATCTTTATATATGTATATACTTTTTTACGTTTTTTCATTTATTTATTTTTATATGTATTTCTGTTTATATACAGATTTTATTTGCAGATTTTATATATTTTTTATGTTTATATATGTATAATGTAGATAAAAGTTCATAATGTATGATAAAGTTTATTATAGGTATATTGAAATAACACAAACGCGGTGAGCGCACCATATCCGGGGGCGAGGTACAACCGGAATAATTAACATGTTATTCTGGTATTTGTGCTTTTTTCCATGTCCTGTATAATTTAATCATGTACTGCTCGACGATGGTGCGCGTATTTTTGGACGTAATTTCCTGTGGAAAAGTAGGTAACGGCTACTTTTCCGGAAATTCAGGGCATTTTAATTAGACGATATCAGCGTTGAAGATTACGCAGGATCTTTCTTAATTATAAAACTGGAAATGCGATCCATTCGGCACAGCACGGCACCCGCAGCATCCCGGCAAACAATCCCATCGTGAGGCAATAATTAAAGTGTTGACCATAGTACGACATACATATATATAGTACGACATACACAACATACATACATATATATTTCAGCCAAAATACAAGCACATTCAACTATAATTTTAAATAATTTTAAATTCTAAATTAAAATATGTCTTTTCTTGATATTTATTAGCAGTATTATTCCAAATAATTTCTACTACAGTGGAAAACACGCGTATAATACGCTTAAGTTACCATCATATATGCACAGAACGTCCCATACGTTGCTATTGCCCGTTGCGCGTTCTTCATTATTTTAATTTCCTTATCACTGGCGCACAATCTCCGGGCTGATGAATATATGTGTGACGTGCGTCGATTTTTTCTTCTACATTCGGGCGCTGACAAATACGCGTACAGTGCCAGGCATCGCGGCGGATGCCGCGTAGATATTGCCGGCGTGTGCGCTGTGCCGACCGGCAATAGCTAACGGCCAGCCGGAAATGATATTCCTCAAGTAAAACATCTTAATCTCACGATACACTCAATCGGCCCGATCAGCCCCCCGTGTGTGCCACAAACAAGGACGACATGCCGATAGATTCCACCAGCGGCGTATACATCGCCGAATGTAAGCACAACTCACTGGCTATACGCATTAAGCCCGGGATACACATACACGACAGCGTATTAAGACATCGGGTGTATTACATGGTGCTGGTTCGATTAGAGCGGTTGTGGCTGCTCGGCAGGGAGATATGCGTTATAAATGTGTGGATCCAATTCCGTTCTACGCGTCTGTTATTTTTTATAAAGCAATCTACACGTAGGAATCCAGGAAAATTCCATAATTATTAAATATGTGCGCATCTTTAGCGTATGCAAGCGTGCAGGACACCGTGTAAAAAGGCTGAAACATGGTTTTTAAAAAAAATATAAATACTTAGGAATTGATCGTAAGCAATTCAAAAATAATCAAGAAAATAATCAAAAGAAAGATAATAAAAAATAATTGGAAAATAACCATAGAAGAGCCCGGTGAGTGTAAAAGTTGGTACAACGCGGAGTCAATTCTAAAAAGTCCGAAAAACTGTTAAAATATTAGCACGAAATTGAAAATATTATTCCGAAAAACTGTTAAAATATTACAGTAAAAAATATTACTACGAAATGCCGGCACCGGATTTATCCACAGTATAATATAACATCGCCTCATTGAAATATCTTACACTTCCAGCGCGCAGCTACGTGAATAACAACAGCTGACGGAAGTCAACGCTCAGCAGCTGCATTTGAAAATGATATTTTTATTAAAAAAAAAATTTAGTGTGTCAGTTTTTACTGTACAAGTATGCTTGTGGTCACTGTTCGGGAATTAAGCTCGTACAAATATTATTTGTATCTGTATTATTTGTACTTTCACAAATCATAATCATAGAAAATTAATTAATTTTTCAGATATGGACCAGTGCGGGAAAATGTGTTTGTATTTTGTCAAGGCACATATACTCGTATACGGGTAGGAAAAAAATGTTTCTAATGCAGAAAATTCTAATAAGAATAAATATAAATTCCTCCGTGGCTCTGTTTCCTCCGCGCACAAGCCAATTTTCGGTGAATTTAATTTACAGCCTCCAAAATGTCAAATGCCGGCACGGTCCCGCATGCGCGCACGAACAATTAATAATTCATAATTAACAAAATAAAAGCAGGAAATACCGGGCCCCCAGATAATGAGATTATCCCCGACCGACTGTACAGAGAGCCACGGTGAGCGCGTCGCCGGCCGGGCCCAGTAATGGCATGTACCGCGGCAGCGCGTGAAGGAAATGGTTAAATGGTCAATTTCGTTATATAGCAGCGGCCCGGGCGCAGTTGCACAAATGGCTTCCTGTATTATCGTTCCCACAGGACGTGCATGTGCGTCATTGCGCCGGGTAAGCCTGCTGCCAACTATACTTCTATCTGACAATCAGTAATGATTTTTTTTCCCGGGTACCGGCTGCATACATGGTTTTTTCTCCACAGGCAATTTTTCCCGGCCAAGGTATAAATCAGTAGTTTTACATATATGCAAAGGGCGTTCTACAAGGACGCTCATTCTCTGTTTTCCTGTGATCCGCTTGCTGGTTTAATCTTTTTTATACAGCTAGCGCTTACTTTTTGTATCGAAATAAGTTCAAGAAAGAGACGGGTCAGGATTTATATGATGTATTTTCGATAAAAAAAATTATATGTTAACAAAATGTTATGCGACTTTTTCCATGTGCAAGATTGAATCTGTTTTGACAATATGAGCGCTGCTCTAGATGTGGTTGAGCACACGCCACCACACTACAACTTTTTCCTCAAACCAGTCTTGCGGTTATATAGAGTTGAGTGAATTTATTTAGAGTTAAGTTAATTTAGCGAGTTAGGTGAATTTTGATCTGGTGTGCTGAAGATTTTCACACTTCGATATAGTTTTTGGGACAACCCTTGATTTTAAGGCTACCCAAGGGCAACAAAAATTGGAATAAAATGGGAAGTACTCTGCTCTGTATTAATAACTGTTATACTACGTAATATTTGTTACTTGTATCGACCTACTGCAACCAAACCCCGTTAACGGAAATATCCAACCAGGGATCAGGGTATTGAAAGTTTTTCGGTTAAATTTGGTAAGGTAATACTTTTTGTGCAACGGTATCCTTGGTATAAGATAAAGTTTACACAAAATAAGAAATTTATTTGAAAAATCATATATAAAATGATATAGACATTTTATATAAATATATAAAATAAATATAAAATTATATAGAGATATAAAATATATAAAGAAAATTCATATAAAATATGAAACCATTTACAATGTTAACGGTGAAACTATATATACTAATATTTATTTTGGATATTTGGACTTACATATATTAATATATATTTCGGATGACTTGCTTATTCTAAATATAAACATACAGTCGTTGCACGTATGTACGAAGGAATAAGCGGCGGTTGTCCAAATATAAAAATTAGCATAAATATTTTATGGAAAAAAATCAATCAATAGAAACCGGGCATTATTGTTTGTACACTGGGCGGACCGGAAATCAATATATCCCGGCATTTTGTATATTGTTGTCAAGCCCCGACCGGTAGATCGATCCGGTGATGCCCGGGTTTTTTTATGACCGGTGCCGCTGGATAATTGGAAACTTTTATTTACTAGCGGATGCACGCGGCGCCAATCTGTTTGCCGGTACAGCGACACACCGCGGGAAGACTGTCAGGGACGTTGTAAAAAGACCGGTGGCGGATTGTAAAAGTATTGGTTAGCCGACGCTTTAATACGGGGGAATACGATCTACCGCGCCCCGGTTACAAATGTTTACGGCCAATTAAAAAACGGAATGTGAGATGAAGTTGCGTCATGGCGTTCGTGATAAATAACGGGTTGATAAATAATCGAACGATACAAAAGTATTTTAACGCGGGACAAAAATGTGCCGATAAAGTACAGTAAAATAATAAAACCGGCATTAAACTCTCGTGAAAAATAAATACAAAGCAAATAAAAATGTATCGAGGAAAGAATGTCATAGACGATCATGCAATGTCGCCCGGAACATCAAGAGCAACATACATGAGAATATTAAAATACTGCATACGCAAATAGTTTTATTAAAATTTGCGGTACAGAATAGATATCCGTAGGAAATAAATACAAAAGTATGAAAAATATATTGAATAATTATATAAGAGACGTACAAATTGTCGACAAAAATATACATATCTCAAAATTTTTTAAAAAATCTAAATTTTAAATTAAAGAAACATACACATATAAAAATAAATAAATATGTATGGAAAAAAAATATATGTATATATAAATATATATTTCGCGAAAAAGATAGCTCAGACGATCGGATTATTCATCAACATATTTTTGTACATATTGCCGTGTAATCGTGCCTGCTTGACCGGAATATCGCCGGGAGCGCTGGATAATGCGGCTGAGCAAAAATAACAAGATAGCAGTCCCGGAAATCGGGCTCTTTATCCCCTTTTGCTAACATGCTCTTCTAATCAATTAGAAAGCAATGAACGGTGAAAACGTATTTAATCCTGTATTAAGACGAATACACTTCCGGCTGGGATCATGCCGGCGCCGCGCTCGGTCCACAAGGTATCGTTTACTGTACAGTGTACATTGCGCATAACAGAAAGACACCCACATACATTACAATAAAAAATTAGGAAATTATGGTCATCCATTATACTGTACCGATATACATATGCGGTACAGATATGCATTTAGAGAGTACATGAAATTAGAATAATTTCTCAAATAGGCCCACATGTGTACACAGTACAAGTGTACGATCGTCGCTCACTGAATTAAGTACATATACGTATATATACAACCAGATTTTAATAGTGACAAAATCAGTCAGTTTGTAGTGCAGTGGCTGTTCCCAGCGTGCGAAGATCGATCAACGGCCAGTACTACATGTATATCGGTAAAAAAAATGCAAAATTTAGCATTATTCATTTTTTTTCATTGTCAACGTGTACGCAATTGGTAACAAAGAAGTGCTAAATTTCTCTGGATACAGACTACAGAGTTATTAGAAAACATTTCTACTAGTAAGAATATTAATAAAACCAGCTGTGAAAAATTTATTTCTCGTAATGTGTTCTGTTTAATTCTTATAAAATACCCGCTTATTATTAAATACGATATTTTATTATTTTATTAAAAAGAAAAAAATATTATAATTATATTTTTTCATTTTTTTTGTTACGTTAATACTTTTAAAGCATAGCAGAAAGCAGAATATTCTTATGTGATCTGTAGATTGTATGATTTTACAATGACATATACAGTAAATTTGAGGCGGGGCGTGACGACAAGCATCACTGCGGGATTTAATTACGTATGCTGGCGCAGGTTGCTGATTATTCACGCTTTTACAGATACAGATAGTTGGCAGGGCATGCGAATTTATTTTCATAAAATCAGATTAATTTGGTCTTTAGTTTACGGGCATTTATTTATATGGAAGGTTAAGCATTTTCCATTTTTTTTTTGTATTCGAAAATCAAAGCAGAAATAAACACGCTGTTGCAAAGCATAAACAACATGACTCAGTGTTAAACTGCGCAGGAATTGCTCGTTAGTTTCCGGAAGTGCTTTATGCGATCTTTTACATCAAAATTAACGTTCCATGAATATAGCGATAATTAATTCGCCATAGAGGTTTTTTTTGAAAAATTTCGAACGAACAATATGCATCGTACATGGTGCCAAATTGCCAATCAGAAATACACAGACACATATAAAACCCACACCACTGTGCAAAGCAATTTCGAAAATTGCAGAAACCACGTATGTCTTAAATGGTTTATATTGCAACACTTACCGGCGGCTAAAATTCCGGGACAACGGGGATTAAATGTATCAAGCAATAATATATCCAAATATCCACGCAATATCGAACGATGGATGCGAGAAAAAATCAGCAGGTCTCGTTGAGCGCTGAGTCTTCGAATTCGCGGCGTAAATACACAGTTAAATTTCAAAAATAAATACAGCGAAAAATCTGGGTAGCATCATTATAAAACGCAGGAAAGTAATTTTAATATATCTCCGGTATTTCGGGTTCCAGTGAATTAAATGTGTGACGGCGAAAATTTAATGGAATTTTTTCTGTTGAAATAAAGCAAGCTGGTACTTCATAAAAATTACTGCTGTAGATGCACGCTTTCAGCAACAGTATACAACGCAAAAACCAACGCGACGGAAGTCAGTGTGATTTTCTCAACAATACGTCCGGTTTGGCGGCGGTTGTCGCCGGCGTTGCGGTTGTCAATCAAGGAACGCAGTGATTTCCGGTGGCCCGGCAAAACGACGAAACAGGTATATGTATGTACACTACACGCACGAGATACTACGGGGTGGTTTTTTTTCTTTGCACCTGCGCGGAATTACACAGGTACTTAATACGTATATATGCGTGTATTTGCCGGTGTACATATGCAGGAGACCGGTTTGGCCACTTGATCGCAACACGCACCGGTATTGTGCGCACTTTACGGGAACACCGGTAAACTATCGCAGAGCATTGTTGTCGTACTTCCGGTGCGGTTAAATTCGTGCTGATTCGGCAGTCTTTTGTCTCCAATAAAATAAAATCCAGTAAGTAAAATGGACCAAATATAAACAGCCCAATAAATGTAAAAATAATTACAGAAATAAAACCGAATAAATAAAAAAAAATAAATAAAATTAAACCAGCAAATGAGACTCAAATATATACAGAAATCCCATACATAAATAAAATAAATAAACACACAGTAAACAAAACGAACTAAATGTAGATAAATCAACCAGACATGGATAAATATACAGTAAATAAATGTGTTAAAAAATATAAATAAAATAATCCCATACATGATACCGGATACGTATAAGTAATTAAACATAAAAAAATACACAATATAAAATGGACTAATTATAAATAAAAATCGGATAAATAAAATTAAGCGGGAAAACTGCGACTTACTGTCTGCAAGAAGCGCTGTACTTTTTGTTGGCCAGAGCGTTGGACAAATTTCTAATTGGGTATATTCATATATACGAGTACATAATTAATGGTCATGAAATTCGCAGCGGGAATGTTATGAGCTACGCCGACAGACTAACAGATAGTAGAAGAATTAATAATGATTAATAATATCAGAGACACTTTGGAATCGGTATCGCTTAACAAACAATAATGCCGCACTGATTGCGGCATAAAAATGCAAACTGATTGCATATTGTTGTGGCTGCTTAAGTGACTATTACGGAGCCATACGGTGCAAAGTATATAAAGTGCTGCACTATTAATGTAATCCGTGCCAGTGTAATGGAGTCGTAAGAAAATATTAACGTAAAATATTAAATTACTTATGGCACACATTTCGGTTTCATTTTATGTTTTGCTGTGTACGTGTGATGAATTTTTGACAAGTTTGAAAATGACATTTCAGTCAGAAGTTGTCGGTAATATCGTAGTATAGTGGCGACGTGCAGACTGTTTGTATGTACGTACTGCGAGATCCTTGGCCACAGCCACACTATAGTGGGGTATCAAATAAAACGCAAAACTTTAACAGCATCATTTTTTTGGATCCTCGGGGCTCCCAATAATGATGGAAATCCAGTATTTTCTTGAACAAATTGATTAAAATCTAGTGGTGGTTGTTTAACCACATCATTGCACGAGCGCGAACTCCAGTACCACTGGGTAATGGTATTGGATTTGTGGAATTGGAAAAGCGTGACGTACGCTCTTCGTGGCGTCAGACAAATTTTGTGCTCTTGACGAAGGCTTAATAGTAGCATCTCGCTGCGCTCGATGCAAACAATTTGTTTTTAATTCAGTTTTTACAAAGAAGCAGAATTACTGGTCTAAAATACCGGACGAAGCCTGGAAACATGCCACAGTTTCTGCAGGGTGAACCGAAAACTATTTAATTTAAAAAATTTATAACATTCTTAAAAAGATAATAAAATTAATTTAATTAAAAAATAATTTTATTAGGATTAATTAATCTTTGCTTCACCCGGAGCCGGAGGCACTCAGTTATTAAGCCAGTTGTGTTTTAACTGAATTTAATAAACTAATTAATAATGGATTGAAGAATTATTAGCACCAGCACTAAAAAAAAGTCGATGGATGCGGTGAGTTATTTTAATATCACGGTAATATAATATACGAGCATAATGCAAAAACATATTTCTTAAATTTGATTCTGGGCATTTTTGCTAACTACATAACTGATGCCAGTACATAATATTATGTACTATTATGATGCCAGTACATAATAATAATAATATTATAATAATTTTAAATATATCCACGGTTGCTGCTGATTTGTGTAAAACGTGACAAAACTGCTCATGTCATTTTAACATGGCTGATTAGTGAATTATCCTGCTGTATCATTCATCTAAAAATGACACCAAAAAATTATTCATCAAAAATCCGCGTGTTGTATCCACTGTATGACAAAATACATGACAACATGTAATTGTTGTTTACATTGTCAGTGCGCTTCCTGATTGTGTAATGGACCAATCAGGCCGGTTGAGGCAGTTACCAAACGCCGGGTAGTTTCCACAGCTGCCACACCGCCTCATAAACACCGCTCCAGCCCCCGGGCGTCGGTCGGCACACGGTGCCCCCGGGGCAGTATGACCGCGTGCAAAAAGCGCAGCGCTACTGCAGTTAATCCCTGTACGCGCCCATAGACATACTATAGCTTGCACCGGGAATTTAGCCGTTGCGCCGGATTTAAGGTCGATTAAGAAGGACCCGCCCCGTCTTGGTTTTCACCGTTTTTACCGTGTTTCCAGCGGAGTCGAGAAAATCCGTGGCTTTGCGTGGATTTTCAATCGGTGTAAACAAGACTATATAAGCGCCATCGTAAACACTTCAACAGCAACTCAATTCGCAAATTGCAAACTTTAAAAATCTCTCTCAAATTTCCTTGATCTTTCAAGTGTTTTGGATTATTCCTGTTAACTGTGTGTTAAGTTAGTTATTTCGGAAATAAAAATGTCGTCCAGCCAGAGCCAACGCAGCGAAGCCCATATCGAGCATCATCAGGAGGTGCGCAAGGAGGGCTCCGGCGCCACCCAGACCCAGCATGCCGAGAAGGAGCACACCGTCCACACCGGCTATACCCACACCCAGGTCACCGCGCCCCTCGTCGCCCCGGCCCCGCCCATCATCCAGACGCCCAGTAAGTCCATTTATTAATAGTTTTTTGGTATTATACAGCTTTTTTCTTATATATGCATATGAAAATTAAATACATACACCGTGACCTTTGCAAAAAATCTCAAATTTCGAATGATGTTTCTGTTATATCGGTACATTCGCTGTCCATCTATAAATCCGATAGTTTTACATACTACTAATGCACCACCGACATATATATTACAAAATATTCTACAGTACATGGGCAAAAAAAATTCCCCAGCGAACTGCGTACACTGATGTTGGAAATTTATTCGGAATTTTATAATACCGACTTACGAATTTTTAAAGCATTATAGAGAAAAACTGAAACGATAGATTTCACCAAAAAATTAAAATGACTGAATTTTTAAAGAAAAAATCTATATAAAGTATTTTATTCTAAAGTTTCTAACTTTTATAAGAATTTACCGGTTTAAAAACTTCAGAAAATTCAAATAAAAAGCCTTTTATGTTCCGGGAATTTTTATACGGGATTTTCCCTACAGGAATGGCCGAAGAATTAGTGGGCGGGTTCACCGGGAGCGCGGCCCGCTACACGGCCACCACTGGCGAGCTGAACATCCAGCCCAGTGAGCGCCTCCTGCAGGAGGCCGCCCGCGACTCCGCCGCGCACAGCCGCGAATCCGAAGCCATCGCCAAAGCGCACGAGCGCGAACTGGAGAAGAAGACCGAGCAGTACCGCAAGGAGGCCGAGGCCGAGGCGGAGAAGATCCGCAAGGAGCTGGAGAAGCAGCACGAACGGGATATTGAATTCCGCAAGGGTCTCATTGACAGCGCCATCGAACGCCAGAAACGCGAAGTGGAACTGGAAGCCAAAATGGCTAAGCGCGAGCTGGAGCGGGAGGCCCAGCTGGCCAAGGAGGCCCTCGAGCGCTCCAAGCTGGCCACCAACGTCGAGGTCAACTTCGACAGTGCCGGTACGAAGAAATACAGAAATCACCATTGATTCCTTAATTAACTATATATTAATTTCCAATCAATTTTATATATGTAACATGATCTGTTTACTATGTAATTAAATTAACTAATTCTAATTATTTATTTAAATAATCAAATAATTTTTTAAAATTTTATTGTTTTAATTAATTGAATCTGTTTTTATTTAACATTCTTATTTTAATTAAGTCTTATTCAAATTTATTGAGGAAATAAATTTGTTTTTCGTGGTAAATATGTTGATAAATAATTATATTTTCGCCGCTGTTTTGAGAAATAATAGTTTTAATGAAAGTGGTATTTTTCTTGCAGTGGGCCACACCGCTTCCGTGGGAACGACCGTGTCGGAATCCGAGTCAGTAACACGGGACGTCCGCAAAACCGGCCACTAATCCCTCTATATAAACGCCCGATTGTATAGATGCAGCTTTTTTTTGAATGCGCTTCAGTTTCTCATCGGGATTTTTCGCCGCTGAACGCCAAAAATGTCGATTCTCCGCTGTTCTCTTCTGATCATTATGCTTAATAAACCGTAAATATTTTATGCTAAAATTAAAATTGCATCGCGATGTCAAATACTCCTCCAATATTTGGTGATTAAAAAGCGCGCTTTGATATTCGACTAGCAAAATTGAAATCAAACAATAGAAAATCCAAAATAAAAATAATACGTACAAATCACATTTCAACAAAAATATATAAAGCAAATTAACAAGCGCTAAAATAAAATAATAATAAATTTCTATTATGTACTAATTAACTAAATAATATGAGTAATAATTGAAATAATTCAAGTTTAAAAAATAAGATTTAATAACGATTTATTAGTATTAATGAAATTCTAATAGATTTAAAGATATTTAACATAAATACTATTTTTTCCATTTTTGCTGGATAATCCAGACGCATCCGCTTTATTACAACAGTTCAACATCAGACCGAAGAAAAATACTCTAATGATGAAAAAGAGAAACAAATAACCTGGAAAAACATCCAACCGGCAGTCTCCCAGCAGAAATTCGGCGAAAATCACACACCAATGTTAACGAAGTAATGGGCAGCAACAAACGGATGAAAAATGCGTTAATAAACACAGGCGACATCCAGTAACCTTTCCGCCGTGAGATACACAACCAGAAAACAGAAACAATCAGAAAACAGAGCACAACATCGCACAAACAGAAAAACAACGTTATCTAGTAAATTCTTGAACATCTTCGCAACGAATACCCAGAAAAACATCAGACCAAATTAACATCAAAATTTATCTTCGCCAAAATGCCGGCCGTCCGCGAAAAAAAATGCTTTGTGTAGACTACGGGAAGATCATTCGTGGAGCTCCGCTTAAAACGTCATCGCCACACCTGCAAAGACGGTTAAATCGTAAAATCCGCATAAACAACCTGGTATTAATCAACGCGATCCAGCTGAAACTTTTATTAATCAGAAAAATTAAATGATCAAAAAATATCCAGCTATTATTAATTTAAACTTTAAAAAAGTTATAAATTACATTAGAAATATTAATGTACAAAAATATCAAACTAAGAAAAAAAATTATAAGATTTACATACATACTACGAACGCCAAGAATGCACAAATATTAACATGCTGCGCCTAATAGGAATTGTGGACAAGCGCAATTCTCTTGGGCGCCACATCTCTACATCAGCGTCCGCGTTTTGAACATACAACTGGATGCTATCGGGCGGGAAAAACCCCGACTATTCACTACCCACAGAAAACCTACAATTCCGACAATTAAACGACAACGTTCACGACAAACAGAAGGATTCATTCAAAAAAACTGCCATGTGGCATTTTCGTATCGGGAAGTATTTATTACAGACCGTATTTGACCGGCAACAATTGAAGAACGACACATTTCCAAATAAAACTAACAGCTGTATGTCGCCGATACGGAATCGCATACGTATTAGGTCGCGGAGAAACGGAAAACAGCAATTAACACACTAAGAATTAAGCGACTAACAATTAAAATAAGAACTGAGACCATTACCCAAATAAATAAAATTATCAGAATTAAAACCAAATGATCAGCAATTAAACGGAAATTTAAAGAAGAAATTCCACCTTAAAAAAGCTAAAATTATCAATAAACCAATTAAAAAATAAATGGAATTTCGATTAAACGAATCACCAAATCGACATCAGCATTGATCCGATGAAATCGGAAATAACAAAAATTGGGAAACTCGAAAACAGGGAACGTTTTATTTCCAAGGTCGCAATTCACAATAAACGTATTTACCTATTAACAATTTGAACAAAAAGTCGAAAATCAGCAATGATTTAAACTAGTACTAACCAATCGATTCCCAGTCCATCTTAATTAACAAAATTTGCAATTCATCTCTCACCGGCGCTCAGGTGCACTCCACGGCGCTAATACTCAGAATCCCCGTCTCCGTCTCCACCGTGCTCAACGTGGCCGTCTCCGGGAGAGGCGCCAGGGCGGGCGCGGCCATGAAGGTGTTCATGTCGGGGGGCAGGGGGGCCGCCGAGACCTCCATGTAGTACTTGGACTTGAGGCACACCGGGGAGCCGCTGTGCAGGGCCGCCACCTGCGCGGATTGCGCCTCCGGGACGGCCTCCTCCGGGGCCGCCGCCCCCTCGGGCGCCGCACTGGGAGCCGGGGCGATAGGGGCCGGGACGACCGTGGCGGCGCGCAGCAGTGACCCGGACGCGGAGGGCGCCGCTGCCAGGGCCAGGAAGGAGTTGGACGGCGGCGGGACGGTGGTGGCGGCGCGCAACAACGCTTGACGCCGGCGCTCCGCCTCGTGACGGGCGCGCTCCGCTTCCGCCGCGGCTTTTATGGCCAGCTAAATAAACCGCCAATTATTTTCACTGGACATTTACTGGAGTTACCGGTATTTTTCGAACTGAAAATTTTATTTTGGTTTTTTTAAATCGATGGCCAAGTTTTTACAAGCGCGATAACAACTGATAAACAATGAGTAAATGTTCATAATTCTGTACGAATGTATGTAAATTATGCAGCCCCGTCTCTCGTTAACTGGGACAAATTTTTTATTTGATTGTTTTTGCAAAACGGATATTGTCTACGAAATCAAACATAGTTTATCAAAGAATACCGTTTTAAAATCATCATTATGACGGAAACGTTAAGTATACGCTAACAACCGTAAATTACTGTAGAACTGTGGCATCAACTCCTTGAATCCAATCGAGATGCGCAAATACATAAAAAAAAATCATCCAGCGAAAAAGATCCATCCGAATTTACCGTAAATTAAAATTGTATTAATTTTTATAAGAAATAAATTATTTGTTATTACGTTTAGTAGTTTACCGAGACCTAAACGATTAAAAAGTACGTAAACCTACTGTTGTATAATTATTCATGGCGGAACGAGAACGAACCAAAATACGGATCAAGTGAAACACCGTATACAATTCCAAATATAAAATCAAAATAAAATTCGGCTTGAAACACCACACCCCGCCATTTTTCCTGTTCCGTTAGAATCACTGTACCTGAGCCTTCTTCGTGTCCTCTAGCTTCCGCACCCGCTCGCGATGCTCAGATAAAAGCGCGGCGAAGCGCGGGCGCATAAACTCGGGCAGCTGTTCGATGGTGTGCTGCAGTTGTGCCGCGTTGTGCGTGCCGCTGTCAACGGCCTTGATCAGAGGCGAATGACGGATAATCTCGGCGTCCTCGATAATCTGGAAGGGCTCGGAGAAGCGCAGCTCGTACTCCTTGGCGTCCCCGCTCACCGAGCACTCAATGTCGCATTTCGAGCCGCACGTCAGGAAGAGGAACGGCAGCTCGATGCGCTGCGTGGGATCCTCCAGCGCCAGCAGCTCAGGCGTCACGGCCAGGCGCCGGTTATTCGGCTGCGCCTGCAAAATAAAATCGGAATTTTCAGATTTCTTTTTGCGTAACGCACAGCGAAATCCCTAACAGTAAAAAATAACGTGGATTTTACAGCGTTATATATATTTCGACAATAATCAAAACAGAGCGCATTAAAAAAAATTAAAAGATGTTTCCAAGTACCCTTAATGAAGCACAGCTTAAGCAACAAATTTTTGAAAACAAGCGAAGCTAAAGCATGAAAGCATTTACAATAATTTTTCTTTAATTTGAAATCTTAATTCAGAAAAACGAAAATGAGCCAAAGCAAAGCAAAATTAATTCGGCAATAATGTTAACGAACGAACACCCAAAACTACAAAACAGTGTCATGACGATATTATCCAAGCACTACAATTAAGTTACAAATCATAAAAAATAAGCAAAAATTATACGCATACCAAGAAATAATAAAAACAATCATTAAACTAAGAAAAACTGACGGTAATAACAAAAATTAACACAAACAGACAAATCTGGAAAGCTATACGTTCTACAAATTAACAAAAACAATAATTCGAATACCAACAAATAGCTAACTCATAATAAGACTAAAAAAATCGATAAAAATATATCGCAAAGATAAAAATTTCAGAGAAATAGCCGAAAAGTTGGGAAAAATCCCATATCTTACAAAACACACATAAACAATAAAAAATTAATACGAATATCAATACAGTATATCAGTAAAATTAATAATAGTAAAAAGGTATAGACAAAGAAAAGAATGAAAAAATAAAAGAATGAAATATACGGTATTATAGACCGCGATAATAAAAACGGAAATAAAATCGCCGAAAAGATCCTACCTTCTGTTCCTGGATGAGCCGGGCCAGTTTCTCCTCCTTCTGGCGTTTATTGGACTCGGCCAGCTCCTTCAACGCCACATACTGCAGGGAGGACTGGAAGAGACGCTGTCGCAAATGTCCCAGCTGCCGGCGCCGCTCCGTCAGACTGTCCTTCTTCAGCACCCCGGCCTCACTCAACGAGCGCGGCAAGCCCACCCAGCGGATCTGCTTGCGCTCCTTCTGGATGACGTTGATGGCCATCAGGACGTTCAGGGCGTCGTACACCCGCCGGCGAATGTTCTTCTGCTCGCAGGCGATCTCGTCGCGCGACTTCGATGTCGGATTGGGATCCGAATACTCCTGCACGAGATCCTCCGCCACGGAATTGTACGTGGTCAGCTGTCATTTTTAAAAAAAAATCTTGTCAGAATAAAATCTTCTGTTGTCTTAGGGAAAAACTGAAATGATTTAAAACGGTCAGTCAGCAATCAAAGTTATATTTCATTTCTACTCGTACCATCAACAGCGGTGTTTCCTGGATATGGGCACTAGCCACTACACTATGTACCACAGCATTAATACATTAGCCGTGCATTCGACGGGCGCAAAGCAAGGTACACTAACTTTTCGCCCCAGATTTCTTTTGGCCATGCATTTTAATATAATAAATCAATAAAAAAAGTTCGCTTCCTTTTATTAAAGCTCAGCATGTCGTCCTGAACTCTCTCGGACACAACCAATAATTTGCTTTGCTAGTAAGAGGTGTCAAAAATTACGAAAAAAATCTCACATGCAAAAACAAATAAAAACTTTAAGAGCATGAGATTTGTAATTTTTTACAGCAATGAATATCAAATCAAGGCCAAAATGTTTTACAAATAAATCCCTAAAAAAGCGATTTCATGTACCACAGCAAATTTAAGAAAAATCAGCAACGAAAATAATACAAACCAAAAACAGAGTGATTAAGTAAGTACTTATTTAAAACTTTTCCGTCAACAATTATTACAATTACACTGTTAGAAGCATTTTCAATTTTGTTCAAGTCTATGTACACTTCCTATAAATTAAACGAAGAAAACTCGTTTTAAAGGCCACAAACCACTTCATTGGTAGCTATTTTAAATACGAGGCCGCAAAATACTGGACTTGACAAATTGTTCCAACAAAAAAGCGACAAAGTTGCTCTCTACATTTTAAAACAGATACTTACCAATTTTTAATCTTTTTTAATTTTTATTTCTTTTATTTTTCCCCTAAATTTTCTCCCTACATTTTTTCCCTACACATTAGTCCCACAAAAAGCGAAAGATTTTCTCCTTACATTTTTCTCGCGGACTTTATCACAGACTTTGGTGGCAAAATACCGCAGCCCTTTGACGCCGTCCTCGGTGGTGCGCCGTCGGCGTTTGGCCGCCGCACTATTGGGATCGGGCGCCTTGCCCACCGTCCCGCCGGCGGTCGTGCGCAGCGTGGCGATGGGGCCTTCCAGACGCGGCCGCTTTTTCGCTGGCTCATCGCCCGCCGCGGTTAAGGCGGCGGCACTCCCCGCGGGGACCAGGGAGACGGTGTTCCCGGAGGAGGAGGTGGCCAGGACCAGCGGGACCACGCCGCTCTTCCCGTTGGCGCTAGTGGCGATATTGAAGGTCAGGGGGGACAGCTTGTAGCCAGCGGGGAAGGTGGCGCCGGATAAATTCAAAACCTGGACACAGGGGCAAAATGTACAACGAAAAACGGAAAAAATGGACGAAAACGAGGAAGTTTTCAGCATTTTGTTTTTAAAAAATATGAATGAGGAAGTTTTCAGCATTTTGTTTTTAAGAAATATGAAAAAAACAATGAATGAGAAACTGCACTGGAAAATGTAAATCGCGTTCTTGCTTTTTAGGAGTTGTAAGGGAAATTATTACCTTACTTAGGAAAACGTTAACGCAGTAGGTATGGTCAAAATCAAGAGAAAATCGAATTTAATTACTGAATAATTATTATGGAATTATTATTTCTTCGTCATAAATGTCGCGCTTTTTAAAACGCAAGATTTGGGATCAATAAATTTTGATTTAGCGTACAGATGTCATTAACGAACATTAACACTAAATCAGCATCGAGAGAAAACCAAAGCATCGAAACAAAAAGGGAATACTGCACCAGCAGGAATAATCACGATAAAAATTGGATATAATTACCGAAAAAATTTTTGTCGCTAGAACTGCCGTACTTTTCTTTCAAAACCAACTTTCACAAAGACTGACTTAATTCTAATTCAGCTTACATAAGCCAATAACTGAACATTAATTATAAATTTCATGGAGAAGAAAATTAATGCATCGAGATAAAAGGAAAAATCAGCAGCAAAAAATAGGAAAAATCACGCGAAAAATCCATAAAAAATTCCGCACAACCTGCGCACCGTACCTTTTGCGGGAACTGGACCTTGGTGGTGATCCCCGGCCGGATCTGTCCCCCCGTGGGCCCTACTATGCCGTGAGGCGTCGTGACGCGCGCCACGCCCGCGCCTGTTTTCGTGACGAAGGCCGTCAGCGGGCTGACTTGGCCGCCGGGGTTCCTGGGCCGTTCCGCGCTCAGCGTCACCACCGAGACGCCCTTGCTGCCCACCGGGGCATTGCCCACCGTGCTGATAATCGGTTTCAGCGGGGTGACCACCGGGCCAGGCGGCGGCGGGGTGGGGATGGCCGCGGATGTCGACGGCGTCGTCACCGGTCCTCCGGCCGCCACCGGACCATTGCTCACCTGCAAAGCACCATCTCATCAGCCAAAAGTTTGGTTTTTGTTCATAGTGTAAATCTGGACTGTAATGGGGACGGTATAAGAAAAATATTTTTTCGAGATGACATAGGGAAAAAACAAAGAAACGATGCATAATCACGAACTAGGCGTGAAAAGTCAAAAGTGAGTGTAATTTCCCTGTACACGGTTCTGGTAGTGCTAAAGGCGCATACGGACACGCCGCGCAGTACAGCCGAGAAATTCTTTATTTTCACTGCATCACAGCGAGGATCTGCGAAAAGCCTTTCTATTTGACTAAAATCATGTTTTCAATTACGGATACCATTCTAAATCACACCCCATAGTTTCACAATTTATAGAGGATAAAATTTTATCATTTTTGATTTTCTTATAAGCAGTGCTTTGGGATTAAACTAGACAACATGAAATACGAAATTTAACATTTTTCTGATTTTCTACATCTGCAGCAGAACGAACCTGTGGTTTGGCCTGAATAGGCTGGCTAGCCTGCATCTTCTTCAATTAACAGCAGGACAGATTATTGAAGAATATCATTCAAAACAAATATTAGGAAGGGATGGAAGATTTGCTTATCAGTAAATCACAGAATACCAAGAACTCGCTGCAGCGTGTCTGCCACAGTGTGGAACGCGGTTAGAAATCAGCGTGGATTGTTTTGAATGAGAGAACCGACCCAGCGCGCTTTCTTGTCTGTATGCTGTTTGATTGCCACCAAGCGATTAGGCCAAAATTGGCCTGATTGGTCCATGCGCCTGGGCAGCCAATCAGAATTGGAATAAATTATAGCGCCGCTGAATGGCGGGATAATCTCGCAGCGATGATGCGGGTGGGGCCAGTTAGCGGAAGTGGGCGGGTAACTTTTATTACTGTTCTGTCTCAGACTTACCGCGTTTCCGGCGATGTGTGAAAAAGTTTATTCGGCGCTTATTGAAATTGTGATCTACTCTTCTCCGTGAAAAGGCATATTAGGAATGCATAATTTCTTAAATTATTTCTGTTATTTAAATTATTGCTGTTATAATGTTATTCTGCTCAAAACTGTGTTTATTTACTTATAAAGCACATGCACAGTACTGGATGATTTTTTGTGTTATTTACATGTCTACGAGTACTGATTTTCTCCAGTACGGTAAATAATTCATTAAAAATTGCCGGTTCGTTACCAGTTATTATATCTTTCGTAGCTCTCAACTTGTGAAGCAAACGCTGGCAGTTAATCGTAACGTATTGTAAGTACAACCACGCCATTCAATTATTTATCACCGTATTTAATGATTTAACGATTTTTATTTAATGATTTGTAACCGTTGAGAAAGTTGTTATTCCAGTTCAAGAACAACGGAATAAATAGAAAAATTTGTGTAAAATTGTAAATATTGACGATATTGATTGCTAGCTGACTTCCGTCAGCTGTCGTTGTTCACGTAACGGCGCGCTAGAGGGGTTGCTTATGCTGGAGGTGGAGAGCGTTGCGCACGCGATAAATATCCTACAAATATGTACGTGCGTAGAATTTATACGTATTTGTTAATGACGTGTTAAGTTCAGCGGGCGTTTAATTGTGCGCTAAATTTTTTATTATTGACACATTGCACATTGGGCAGTTACTCTACAGCGTAGAACGGAATGTATAGCGTAATCGTAGTGTGGTGGCTTCAGTTAGCTGACGCGGTTGTTGCTATATGGCAGAAGTAACAGGTATCGCACAAAGTTTAATAAAAATATAGTTTGTCATTTTTTACGAATCAATGCATTCGTTTTGATTTTATATTAACATTTTTATTCGTATCAAAGTAAAAGAAAAGTTTGCCGGCTCCAGCACAAACAGTAGCAAATATTAATATTATTATATTTGCCAATTGCCAAATAATAATCTTAAATAATTAACCAGCACCAAGAGGAACAAATCCAAGTTAATAAACTGCACATTAAAATCCACTGACAACATGAAAGGAATAAATCGCATCACCCAGACCAATTAAAAATAATTTTCGGCCGACCGGTCGATCAGTTCACGCAGCACACCGGTCGCGTCCCGGTCCAGCAGCCCTCCGCAGCGCGGCCCTTCTGGAACTCCCCGGCGGCACACTCCGCCATGCAGAACGGGACACTACCCACGGTGCGGCAGCGGCGTGAATGCAGGAGCTTGCCGGCGTCCACCTCCCGGCAGCACTTCTGCTTGTAGCCCGTCCAGCACACCTTCCCGTCGCCCGCCGCATCCCGCTCCGCCTCGTACTCGCCCTCCTGGCAGGCGGCGGTCAGATCGCAGAAGGGGGCATCCCCGCGCCAATGGCACTGTTTCTGCAGGGGCGATGTTGCCGGTGTTGGAAGGTCACTGCCGCCTCCGGGAGGGAAGTCGTCCAGACCCTGGACACCGGCGAAGAGCAGCACGACAACCGGAAGGAAAGGAATGAAGTGCATGGTGGTAAAATGAATAAATAGAAATAAATAGAAAAGTACAAATAAATAAATAGTAAAAAAATATTTATAGTACTGAAATAAAATGCCGGGTGCAATAGCCGAACGCTGGATCCGCTGGATATTCCACACCGGATATGGATGGCATATATAACTGGCGTGCGGCAAGCTTCGCCAGTGCGGTTTAAATACGCCGTAAATTCTTACAGTGAACGGCGCATTAAACGTGAGCGCATCGTTTAACGTAGCTAAAATTTTTTATATTGTAACGGATGAAAATTTAAATTGTGCATTGTCTATCATTTCAATATGCAAGCATTGCTTTATAAACTGTATTTGCGCAAATGCAGCGCAATTGTATGGATTATGCCATTGTTGCGATGCGCTCCAGTGGCGGCTTTACGTGCAAAAATACGCGTGATGTTGCATTACGTAATTAATTTTCAGTGTACAATACATTGGACGTGGCTACATACTGGACGTACAAACCCGTTTACTGATATTATTAAAAGAATTAAATCGGAATCCAAAGTAAAAATGAGATGTGCACATGACTATTGCGAGTTTTTAGATTACGGCTTACGCATACAGTATAGGAAATTTTGCACTTTTGCGTCACGCCGATATGCGATTATTTTACTTTTTAAATATTTTTGCAATAGTGCAAACCCACATTTTTCGTTTCTTTATTCTGCCACTACACTACGGTACAATCACACGGTGCGTGCTGGTGGTTATACCTCAGCAGTCAGGAAATTATGTACTTACTGTAACTATTAGCTAATGATGTTGTATTGCACATATTGTATAAGAAGCAGCGCGTCCATAATGTCTCCAAATACAGATACATAACTGAACGATATCATCGTTTTATTCTGTTATAACTTACTGTTTATTAAATATAAAATTAATAAAATGCGTATTTGTACATAAGTATACTTAATGAAAAAAATATCTGCCGGTCCGATATGTGAATACGAAGACGCTAGTATTGAATTCGTGCGATGACCTTAACCTCATGTAATAATATATATTTTGCAATATAATTTGCAATATATTTCTTTATTTAAGAACTTAAGTACTTATTTGTGAAGTTCTTGTAACGGCATCGGTGTTTATATGCGAAATTTGTTATAGTTACATATATGTAATTTCACTGCCTGGTGATTTCTGTATCATTGGCAAACCGTGCGGTATGTTCACAAAAATATAGGTGACTTTTCTTACAATTTTTTGAAAAATTGGAAATTAGTTCAGTTTTCGGTGTATGAGAGCGAACGGAGTGACGCATTACTTACTTTATCGAAAAACTGAAGTGTGATGGCGAATTAAAAATTAGCACGTGCAAGGTTGCAGGTAATAAACGTTCTTTAAGAATTATTTTAAAATTGAAAAATATATAGCCATTCCGCGAAATAGGTCTTTTTATTTAACTACACTGTAATTATAGAAAGATTATATGAAATTGTTACAAAGACGATTTTGCTCCAATTCGGATCGCACACGCAGAGCCGTGCATTGTGCAATCGTACTGTTTTATTTCCAATTTTTTTATTTGTGTTCTTAAATTTTTGTCAACGTTTAAAGAACCCCAGTCAGTGGTGCCCGGCTAGGTTTAAAGCGAAGCAAAATTTATCGCTGATTTATAGTGCGAAAAGTAAGTAACGTTAAATGGGTTAATGTTGGTAATGTAACGTTAATGTCACGCGAAATTGTCATTTAAAATTTTAAGCGTAAGTCAATGTATTCTTTAAAGTTTAAACCTTCAGAAAAATGTTTTAGGATGATATCGTGCGCCCGTCTAAATACAGGGTACATTGCTTCCTACTGCACAAATTGCACGTATCACGGGAAGATAGGGTAGAGTAGTGGCAGTGTAGTGTACGCGCCTATAAGTATTCACAGTGATAATCAATGCACCCTGTTAGAAATTAAAACGTTTCACTGTGTAATAACGTTGTCGTTTTCTAATAGTTTCCCTAATTTTTCAGTAATAAATTATCCAAAAATTAGCGGACACGTTCAGGAATAAATAAGATTTCATTGTGCAGTTTTTTATCATCAGGAGTTCGGGCTTGTTTCTATATACGGTATTCTCACGAAATTAAAAGACGATTTTGAGACCGAACCAGCGAAAAAGGGACATGTGGACGGCGTCTTAATCCGGCTCAATTTTAAGGTCATCAACGGCCCACCGAGTTTAAAAGTCGTCGGATAATTTCTGGACAACACAAGTAAATAAAAGATCAATACAAGTAATTTTATTTATACACCATCGGCCATCGCCTAATTTCTTTATAGCTAAAACGTGACTGAGAAAAAGCTAAAACTAGCAAAATGGACTTGTACAGATACGCGTAATTCATTATTTACGAAAAAAGCCAAACTGTCTTGGTATGTGAGCAAAATGGTCAAAACCGTTCTACACATAAAAACATATAGTAAAGTAGATAGCAGCAATCATCGCAATTTGAACAGGAATTTTAACAGCCAACTGAACTACGTATTACAATAATTATTAATTATTGACTCGCTGAGAATGCAGTTGTAATATAGAGCTAATCCAGCACCACATCCGCACTGACGCTTTCCGGCCTCATTACGAGGGTCATGGAGCTCTTGACACCGGCAATGGGATCTTTTTGTAGGCTGGCGTCGAACTGACTAACGGCATCTTTGGCGTTGAATTTGCCGGCATCACTGACGGTGTACGTGACGTCGTAGTTGATCGTATGGGATGCTTTACTGGCGGTATCCTTGGTTATTTTAATACCCGTTGCGCCGCCACCGAGGTCACCTACAACACCACGCAACACGCGTTTCCACAGACTGCTAAACTGCAAATTTGTGTTCAGCTTTCTTACTATATGGTTTAATTTAAGATTAGAGTCAATTTTGAACGAGAACTAAAACTCAAACTGCGTAGAGTATTTGCAGATCTATGTGTGCTCTTGATTGCAATTGCCCTGTGCTTGCTCTATTGCACTTGATATATTGCAACGCAGGACAAAATCTACGGCGTTTTCGTAGAGTGGTGGCTTCGATCGTTCACGTGACTCATATAGCTGGCTAAATACTCGTAAGTACCGGATAAAGCGTTCGTTCGTTTAGTATCATTTTCAAGTGTTTCTCAATTTTTTATTCCTAATAAACATGTTTTTTTTAAACACAATAAAATTAAAACCATAAAATTTACCGAACCTGGTTTCTTTTATGTATCTCTAAAAGCGACACTCTAATCGGTTTTCGCCAGGCTGACTAAAATGGTTGACCTGTATCGTTGTTTCCAGTAGACTCAGTCGGTACCAACCGGAAACAAATACGGGATGATTGTACTTGTAGACGTCTTGAAGTGTGACAGCAGTCCAGTATTTCACCGATTTGCACTCATTAAAAATACGGGTGACTAATGCCTATATCATTATTAACTGGTCCGAAAAGGGGTGCCTATAATAAACGGGGGTGCGAGGGGCGCCTGTAACGGTTTCCTTCTTTTATACTCGTACTGTCGAACATTTTGGCAACCATTAGCTAGAAAAATTATGGACCAGAGGCCCAAAGCTGCTTGACGTACACTGCTTATCGAAATTATGTACCTGATTTCAAGCACTGGAGTTTGGAGGTTATTATTTTGAAGTCATGCAAAAATTGTACCTATGGCCTGCTGATGTACGAGTACTATAAAAATAATAAATAAGTTTACATACTCTTAAAAATTTATACAACATCGAAGTACAAAAGTTATTAACCACCATAAAAATGCTTCTGTTAGCAATATACAGTATCGGCAGCAAACGCATCTGCAATATTTACCTGTATGTTAAATCATATTCGTACATTCAGAAAATTCTAACAATTGCGATATATATGTGCATATCTGTTATCTATATACCGTAATTATCGAATTTGTGGCCCTGGGGTGCAAATAGTTCGAATGCCATGGCGGAGGGGGGCTTATTTCGGGGAGGGGGCGCAATTTCGGGGGGTGGCATTATTTTTCAAACGGTACATTTTGGAAAGGGGCATTATTTTTCAAACAACTGCGCATCGTGTTTTAGCGAAACTGAACGCAGTAGTTACCGGTATTATCGGCGGTATATGCAACTGCACTACCTTAGGAGCAACATTTTGGAGTGTATACCTCTTTATACATCTGTTTGCCAACGAACACCGCATTATATTGATGTCCGTTAACTGTTTCTCATTAAATTACAACAACTTTTGCGGCTAAATTTTGCGGTATACCAATCATTTTGCGGCGCTCGACATTTATTAACGGCCCCCTGGGGTGTAATTTCGGGGGGTGGTCTTATTTTTCAAACAGGGTCGGGGAGGGGGGTTTATTACGGGGGGGGGCTCTTATTGCGGGGGGGGGGCCCAAATCCGATAATTACGGTATACGATATATTAAAATAATATTGATTTTATAGAGCTACTATCTGCCGTTGCTTTACCCATGACTTTCTTCCATCGTTGCAGAACTGCTTGCTTTCTTTGATCCAGCACCTGGGCATTTTCATAAGTTATTTCCAAGGGATTCGCAGTGAGTTGTTTTTCTTTAGCATCTACACGAAAATGGCACGTACTGGAAATACTTAGCTTCCCCAACAAAAATAGCTTTACAAATTTGCAGGCTATTTCATATCAGCTGCATTAATGAGTTAGGTGCCACTTGTATCTGAATATTCCGTACTACATGTGCTTGAATCTGCACTACGTTTACCTTTTGCCGGTTTTGTCGTGGCTCCGCTGGCGCCGAGGATGAGGAGGGATACACCCAATAATATGGAAATTAACATAGTTATTCGTGGTGTAAATTATTAAAATATTAATATTACCACGTGTACACATATTACCACGTCTTCACAAGATATAGGCCGCTCACATAAACTGCTCTCGAGACTGAATGCAGCTACGCGGTAGTGAGGTAAGCGGTAAGTCGGTAACTACCGCAGTTACTGCTGTTATTTCCAGAATCTCCTTAACCGCGGCTGCAAAATATTTACCTCGTAACCGATAATTGCATTTGAAACTCAGTTCTGCAAAGCTAATTGTGAATTTCGATCAGAGACATACCCAAAGGAAATCAAAAACCAAAACCGGCTGGTATAACCGGTATTCTGATACAGTCAGGCGACGGCACTTTATGTAGAAGTACTGTACAATGTACATCCATAATACACATTAGAAATTACTGTACCTAATTAGTAATCTTTCAAAGTACATCAAGAGAAATTCTTAGGCATTATTAATGCGAAAGAATTTCGTAAAATGAATTCTAAGCGTAATAAACACGCTTCCTCAATAATACAAGCACAATGTAAAAAAACTGGAAACACTTTTGAAGTCGACGTACAACGGTACAAGTATCAACTGTACTTCAGAAGTACAGAGTACTCATATATATTTGTGCAATGATATACGTGACTCAATGAGATTGGCAAAATGGTTTACTTAGAGTAAAAATCCTCTACATGGAACGAATTAAAAAACGTTTAAAAATAAAATTATGTGCCACTGCATTTTTACCGCTAAATTAATGTTTAATTAATGTTTTGTGTATTGTTTCATTACGTACTACGATAATTTGGCGCATAATTTTGTGTTTAATTAATGCTAAATTAACCCAATAAAAATGGGCTTACTGTGTTTATAATAAGTATTACGGGTACTTATTTATTACAAACAGATACGTACGTTACTTAAGTAAGAACGTTTTTGTGCGAGAATGGGTGTACTGATTGATCTTGTTGACTATTGTGATATCTTTTGTTTTTTTTATGTTACATGCTGAAATAACTTTGTGTACTATGCGTTGTGATTACGGTAGCTCGAAGACTTTTTGAAAGGGGCTGTCATTTTTTGTGACAGCTGATCTTGAGCGTTTGTCTGCAACCTCGTGCAGGTGTTTACCTGATGTGGTAGACGTTAAGCTGATTAAACAAACAAACAAACAAACAAGAAGATCATGAACTACAGTATATGTTTTCTGCTGTTGTATTTTTACTGTATTCATTTAATTCATTACGAAATACCCAACGCTACCGATTAGAATAGCTAGATAACCGACAAACTCTGTAAAATTACAGGAACGCCATCGTTAATTTTAGGCGAAAACATGACAGTATTTGAATACAATGGCACGTCCACTACCTTCCAAAATTTACCAGCTTTTGGGTTCATTAAACATCCTTCAATCGATCGCTCTGTTAATCTGTCTTCTTCTGCTTTACCTACGACAGTTACGCGCCAAAACTGACGTCATAATTATATTAAAGAAATAATCCCAATAATTCGGGTTTTAAACGTTAAGAGCCGGCATAGCACTTTTTCCACCGTTCTACAAAGCAATCTTCCACATTTAATTACACGCACTTTCATCTAGCGTAATCCGTCACGTATAATTACTGAAAGTACAGCGCAAATTGGAAAAACGATACCAGAGCCGGCTGACGCTGATTGCGGTACAGTATTCCCGCTCCTCGGATTCAGGATCAAGGTGGCGTTGATTATTACTTATCCGGCACGCTCGACCGTCTTTAATGCTCCCGCGGAGAACACGGGCGCCAACTTAAGGGAGTTGGAGTGCATCATTCATCAAGCGCGCGCGCCAGTTCCGGATTCCTTGTGTGCCGTGTCGTAAAAGTTGTTTTGAATGCTCCCATCATTAACTTACACTACTTGTTGAACACGGAGACCAAGCGTTTCTTGGGAATACGCAGTCCTCTGTACATATACACAAGCGGTGCATTTAACCGGTAATGTTTTGTCAGAGGGATCACTAATGCTGTAGACAGCATACGGGCGGCAATGCAGCAGAGTAAGTACCGGGATACTGTAGCGGGAAGATGGGGGATCAACGCTAACGATGGTCTTTAACCATCACAACAAGCGTCTTGCGCAGATCGCGGGATCGATGCACTTGTTGTGCATTACGCTGGTTGTGCGCGCTTATATACATATATAAACATTTCTGCAGAAACAGCTTGTAATTATGGATTTGAGTGTAATGGATCCACTTAATTTCAGCCGGAAATGGTTATGCAATCTCCATAAGATTTATTATGCGCCCGTTTACTGATGCGTAGATGGACAACATTTTCTCCTTTTATACTAGTATCTTCAGCTAGCGTATGGTTGGAATTTCATAATCTTTGCTCCTTTAACTTCGATTCACGTTCAAAAAAGTTTTGGTGATCCCCTTCCGATTAAACCTTATTTCCCAAAAGTGTGCTATTTATTACCGGCTTATTGTCTTGTAACTTTGATGACATACACATTTGCGAATAGCAAGGATGAATACGAATAATTTCATAAACCAAAGCGCGTTATATGCTTCGGCGCCGATTATCATTAACCAAGCTCTCAATGTAGCGGATGCCGATTCCTGGCGCGCTGCCGTCGCCGGCTCAGGAAGCTACACCAAAGATCAGCTGCGCCTGTCGTATACCTTCTACGTGGTGGCCTATTTCACCCTGCTCATATCCTGCAACGTCGGGAATTTCCTCAACTTGATGGTGATATTCTCTTACAAGCGGAAATCCTCGGTGCACTGCTACATGTTTACTGCCGCCATTGCCAACCTAACCATACTGTAAATACATCAGCGCTACATTTTTTAAAAAAATGGTTTTGCTATACAAGTATATTTTATAAAGTTACAGTACAAACGTAAAATAATTTTTCTTTTTATGGTTCTATCGGATAAACGGTTACACGTATACAGCATAGGTAAAAGTCCACTGTATATTAAAAACGAGTAAACGGTTTTTAGATGGTCTGCCTTCCCGGTATTCCTATGGAACATGAGCTCCACGTTTAAATTACCGTATTATACACCGGAAAACCGTGTCGTTACCCTTAACCTTCGCGGCCCCGCCTTGTGGCTACAAGAGACGAGCATCCATCTTGCCGACTGGTAAAAGCGCAATTATAAACCAAACTACTGTACTTAGACACAGAAGCTGTGGCAGCGTGCGCAGGAACATAAGCAATTAACTGCTTCTGTCATTTTCGAGAATAATCGAGACACTCAATAGTGTTATATATTAGTATACAGTGGCTGTACACTAATTATCTTGGCCATTATGGTATACAGGCTTAAATTGTCGGTTTATGTTAGGATCCTGGTCGTCTTCTCGCTGGAACGTCTCTTAGTCATTATCAGACCCTTCCGCTTCGAACGGCTCCAGCATCTGTGTGTTGCGCGTGTGGTGGTGATTATACTGATTATCTCGTCGGGACTGTTCCGCCTGTATGATCTCGTCTCCAATGTCTACTGCTCCAAGAACGATGCGGCGAAAATTACCTGTCCCCGCCCGCAATGGCTATTGGATTGGAAGTCTTTGCAGGATCCGGCTGATGTAAGGATTAATTCGCTGCTGTAACTACCCACGCCTTATCAAAACCTTATGACCATCACGCGTGGCGTATTATCAGCTTTTCGACAAATACCTTACAGTTAATTAATTTACAATCTTGAAAGCTGCATCAGCACAAAGCAGCAGAATGCTGGCAGCACAAAGCGGTATGTGCTAATAGAGTGGAGCACATCACTGATACCGTTGAGTCGTTGACTGCTGCTTCAAAGCTTTTTGCGTACCGGACACCAGAGACTGCGTTGTTCCGCATTAGAGAACTTGATAATATTTTACTAATATCGTGTACAAGCTTGTATAAAAACAACGGTTATTACATAATCAACTTTTGAGAAGTTTTTGTCATGTGTCGACGTGATTCTAGTGTCCGATACGCCATACGCGAACTTACTGTATATTTTGAAAATATCCGATGCGAAAAGCGTCGAAGTTCTCTTTTTTTATTGTACTCTTTGTCTACCCATACGTAAACTTTCCCTGGCTTGCGAAGTCACCAGACATGAAGATTCCGACTTCCACCTGTCTCCAAAAATTATAACAAAATCTTAAGTTTTTTTTACTAAATTTCCTGTACTTTGTATCAGCACAAGCAGCTGCGCAGCGGCTCTGCTTCCGTGCCGTAGTGCAGTGTTCGGCACAGTCGTCTTAATTGAAAATTTAACGTATATTGTCGCTTGCTGTTACAGGTGTGCATGAGCTTGTTAATCTTCTTCCTGATCACCACGGAGAACATCGTGCTAATGGGCTTCATCAGCCGCAAACAGCACTCCGACATAGCCAAAATGCGGCAGGACCAGTTTGTCCGCTCCGGTTCCAACGCGGCCCGCCACCGCTACAGCAACCTGGTGCTGATCAGCAGCTCCATGTTGTTCCTGGTGACCCGGATCCCTAGCATCGTGTACCATAGCCTGATTATCGCCGATGACCACCACCTGTATGACTTCCAACCATCGGCCCAACAGTTCGCTGCGCCCTTCGTCAATGTGTCGCTGTATGCCAATTACTCCCTGACCTTCCTGCTGTTCTTCACCACCCACAAACAATTTCGTAAACGCTTTCTCGGTCTGGTTCGATCCTGGCGAGAAGCGATGGTGTGGCAGCTCAACGGGCGCCGCGATTCGGATAGCAGCACGACGAGTTGGTATCGCCGGCGGACCAGTACGTTCTCCTCGCATTTCGCGCACTTTGGGAGTAGGAAAATGCGGAAAGACATTGCGGACTTAATTTCCTTACGGCACATAGCATCCTGAATTATAATTTAGTCTGGGTTACCTCGCAATTAATGAACTATCTAACTCAGCATGCAACGCAATTTGTAGGAGATTCTGCACTCTGGTTTCTGTTATTGTACCGTATAAATTATGGGTAATCATTATGGTGTACGTACGCATATGTTTTATTCGACAAAGTAAAGCATGGCGATTGGTTACAGTAAACGTATTATTTTCGTTATTTTCGTAAGCCACGACTTTCAACAAAAGGTCATGAAGAATCCCATATTACTACTACAGTCTGTAAACGACACATATGGATACAGAAAAATGAGAAAAAAGTGCTTTTTCTTACGTATGAAGAAAAAACGGAGCCAGTTATATCGAAGTTTAACTTCATATCGATACCATCACGGTATCACCAGATTATGCAATTGCAAATAATGAAAAACTCGTTGGTCAACTTCTCGACATATTCCGCCACGCTTATTCCACAATCCAGAATACAAGCCTGTCCGGTAATTTCTGTCGTAAAGATACAGCTAGCGCGAAGTTTGCGCTTAAAACGATGGCCACTTCACTACGTTTGGCGTAACACGTAAATTTGTATAATAATTTCGCTGTATGAAACAGGCAGAAATTACCGGACAGGCTTGCAGCACAATCATTCCAACGTGATTCAGGCCGCATCACCATCGTCCTCCTGCAATGCGTAGTGATTGCGTGTAAGTCACGTTAGTAGCTGACATTAATAACCAGCTACGTTACTACGTTAATACGATTGCAAAAACAATAACGCTGACGAACAATCTACTGTACCTCAATCGGATCAATGTTCTTGAAGATCTTGTGCACCGTATCCGGTTTAGGATACACAATGACGTCCGCCAGAATGGTCACCATATCGGCCATCTTGCCACCATCCACGACCAAGTTCGTGTAATAACTTTGCGCTTCACCAACGTTATCGGCGGACTCTTTGGATACTGCCTGCACGTCGGACCATTGTCGGTCCACAGTAATGCCGTACAGAGTGGATTTTGGATCCACACGCGTACCGATGCTGTGGCACATAACATGGAAAAGAACAGAAAACCCGATGGATTTGCGGACAGTCTGTACCTCAACGTTTTTCGCATTTTCGGCATTTTTACATTATGGATTCGCATAGGGGACACCAGACACACGGTACTGGTATTCTCCGCGTTCTTCCACATAAAAAAACTTCTCAAAAACTGATTACGTGATATTCATGTTCTTATACAAGCTTGTACACCCGACTGATAAAAAACCTATCCAAATGTGGCACAACGCAGAGAATACCCGTTGAGTTGTGGCCAGATACGTGAACCCATAAAGTGAAAGTGTCCCGCATGCGATAAACGTCAAAATATATTAAAAGCGTATAAACAATACTGTTAGGGGATGAGCTACCGCCTTGAGAGCCACTAAGGAACACCCGGGGAAAGTGTTCTTGTCAGCGAAGAAGGTACTTACGTCAGCTTGTATTGGACGTCGATTTCTTGTTCTCCGCTGTAGCTGGTGGAATCCAGGTCTTCATCCGTGAAGCACAAAATCACACGCAGTATGCCACCGTAGCCAATCTGAACGAATGGACGCATCTCCAGCGGCACAGCATTGTAGCAGGGATCGATGCGCAGACGACAGCGGCCCTTGAAGGTCTTCACGCCGAGTTCCGTCATCGTGATGCCATGGGTGAAGATCTCCCCGCCTAAGGGCTGCTCTTGTCCACGGTAGACTTGCTCTCTGCCGCGAAAGGTTCGCTCTTGGCCTCGGTAGGCTTGCTCTTTGGGACGGTAGGCCGAGAAGTTCTCGAAGGTCCATTGCAACTGGAATTGAACGGACGGTTGGGGGATGACTTTTTGCGATTCCTGCACGACGGCGCGTACCACGGACGCGTTTATTTGACTCATTGTGGAAGATATTGTGACGGGATCAATAAGGCTTGCAACGACAACCTGAAGAAGTTTTCACAGACGGTTGTGGTTCTCGATGCGCAGACTGCTCGAGTTGAAAACTCACGAAACTGACACAATTGATAAACACGCCATCTGTCCATATGCAGTTTATACGAGTACTTTATGCACTACCATTGCAGGTAGCTTCAGCCTGGCGAGCGCTTTGGCAGTGATAATGTGAACTGTGATGCGCTGAACGGTGCAAACGCAGACACCGACTATGCAAAATTTGGAAATTTATGAATTTATGTTATGAAGTCTTTGCTCACGCATTAATACGACACATTCGAACAAGTGCGATATGATAGGGTAAAAAACGGTGCACTGGTCACCGATCTGAATAAGATACAGTATATTACAGCTTTGCTACATAACAAGATGCGCATCATCTGTGATGGTCAGGAAGACAAGATTGTACTTTAGATAGATATTGCTGTACTTTTATCCAGGTATGATGAGATTTGTTGCGACATCTGCTTTGTATGTCCAAACTGCGTAACAAATGTCATCTTATGAACTTACAGGATGGACCACAGTGTTTCCTCGCGATCCTGCATGGCGCGATTCTGCGTGGTGCGCAGCCCCAACAGACGGTCCAATTTGGCTAAGATTAGTTTACCGTAGAAGTGGGTTTCGGTCTCGAAAACCCGCTTGCGGATAACAGCAATGAATCACCACACCCACAGCGCAATCAGAATGTAGGAACTCATTTTGATTTACCGGCGCATGCGACAGGCAATATACAATTACCCTCGAACAAATTATTTAACGTTTTTGTGACCTTAAGTACAACGCAAAGGCCATTCCCAGTGGGGCACGATGATAGGATCGGGACAATAACTACTATTCCCTCTCCCATATTGTTACTTAAAGTACGTACATTCAACTGTGACCCAAGTATTAATACATTACGCTCATACAAAGCTTGCGCACTGGAGAGTCAGTAGTGCGACACAGTTAATCATGACATTGGAGCTGGTTTCGATTGAATGCTGAAATAGACGGCTTTGTCGTGTGACCTCTTCGCTACAAGAAATTCGAAGTCAGTGCTTTACAAGTGGATCGGGAACCCCGATACAGCGCATCTCCCACAACGTGCACGACAATATTAACCGCGCGTCAAACGTATAAGATTGGTGGTAAAATGGTCATTATGTATATTGCTGCTCATTATGTATTCTGTTACGATAAACGCCAACGTGTTCAACACATTACAAGTAAACAGAACAACTCCATTAGTCATGGTGCGATCGTCAATGTTGTACAGGTTCCATCAGATCGAAATGCGAATGCGAAACGGCCTTGCAATTGCCTACCGTAAAAGCGGGGTTCCGATTCAACTTCCGATGTTAAAGAGCCGTTTCGAAATAAACACACAAAACAAGAAAAAAGGAGTCTTATGCATTCGACTATGGTAGGTACAGTATGGTATGTCTTCTGATCAAGTGACGTTGACACAAACTGATGTCCTGCAATTACATGATTCAATTCTTCGCAGAATTCACATTAGATTACAACAACAACTGATAACTAACTGTGGCGCAAATAGCAAATACGCTTTAAATAAGACTTATGAAGAAAGTTCTTAAGAGAATAATTATTATGACAAATCAAAGTGCGAAATGTACAATACGCCAAGCCAATCCATAAATCGCTAGTTTCTACTGAGGTTAATTTGGCTGAGCCGGTCTCTCAGGCTTTGCGAGCCTTTTGTCCCTTTCCGTCACACCCATCGTAAAGGCCCAACGCCCTTTCCCCCGGCCTGTTATTGTACGATTTGCAGGGTGATTCTGTAACTGGTCTATAAAGACCACCGGCCCGACGTGCGCGCTTTAGGGCTCCAGTCTTCGCCTGGTTTTCGGGGGCGGTGGTGTCGTTGGTGATGGCGGATTGGACTGCAACGGTAGCATTGCTTGCATGCGCGGATACAAGCCTGGTATCCGCGCTGGCCTTGGCCGGATAAGCCTGCAACAGATTACCGGCTTTGGCATATTTCCGCAACTGGAGCCAATTCGCAGATTGAACTCATATACAGTAACATCGCTAACAAAAGATTAATACTAATAATTTTACGGCTGTGAAGATGAGTCAGCATTGCTTAGGAAAAAACGCAAAAGATGGACTTCCAAAGAGCTAAAGTTTCTCCTCCTTAGACTTATGACGAATTTCCCGTTATCTGAAGTCTGAACAGTATAGAATGTCGTCAGAAGTGTCATTTACTGTCATAATGAAAAATGAAAGTTTCTCCTACGTTATACACAACGTAGAATACTGTCGAATCCTGTATTCGTTATTTCGCTCATGACAGATAATCGTTGAGCTCAATCACAACTTCAGCATAGCGCTGAGAAATAAGCATAGAAAAGAGACGCCTTTAGACACAGATCACTAATGTACCTGCAGCTAATATACAGCAATTGCATAAACAGTTAAACATTTGTTTACGCTGGCGAGTGCCACTGTGTACAGTACATGCGTGGCTACCCATCACATAATAGTAACACCTGAATTTGAATCCCAGTACAAAACGGAACAATATTTAATTTTTAGTTTGAAATGTGTCCATTAAACATTATTAGCAGTTCTTAAAATGCTATAAATGCACTGAATCCAAGACTACTGTTAAAATTACGAACTCACCAATGACAGCAAAACCGCTGCGGCGAAAACAATGCGGTAGGACAAAATTTGACTCATGATCTACCGTTCACGAAGTGTTTTCTTGTCGAAGAAAACTGTAGAAAACTTTATGTATACGAAAACTTTTTGTTGCAGAGTACGAAGTTGTTCCTCTTCCGGCATGGTTTTATATACCAAAGCCCAGGCTGTTTCAATATATTTTGCCATATGCGATGCTTCAGCGGTTTTCGAGTGTTCCAGAAAGTATGCAGCTTTTACCGGGGCCGTTTGTGGAAATTTGTTCTGACATACAACAGCCATTCTGTTAACAGGTACCGATCTCTCAAATCATCTTCCGGGTATTAATAGCATCTTGCATTCCTTTATGCTACGCTTCGGAGTATACCTCACAAAATTGTGACATCTGCAAAAAACTGGAGCACATGCATGTAGTCGTAAGCTGACTTAGCGCATAGTTGTACGTACTTTTCACTTGAACGGCGGCCAGAGAGCTGACTCAATTGGTTCCTCCATATTAGTAAGAAATACTAAGAATTAATCTTTGCTTTAACCCACTGGCGGACACTGGTGTCAGGCACAACATGGTGTCTAAAATTTTTGTCCAGTTATCGCGAACATATATCTTTTAGCATAATTAGCAATAACTTCCAATAAGGGACTTTAAAACCGAAATAAAGTGATAATTTAAACTGGCATGTTAGGTTAACTGTTAACGGAAGGTGCGCGAAAATGGCTAATATCGAATATCGATCTTCCTGAACTCGTAGTTTTTGCTAATTAACTATTTATAGGATGAATAATTAAACTGGAGATAAATCAGCGAAGTACCATAGAAAACGCTTTACCCAAAAGCGGTTAACGCAGGTTCTGTAAGTTGAGCACCAGAACTAGAAGACGCGGTTCCGGTTGTCGGAAGCTGGCAACAGCGCTGTTGCTGATCAATATTCTGGGCGGTCGCAAAAAAAGCAAAATCGTTTCAAAAGTTGTCTGCTTTCGGAAAACAAAACGTTTAGGGAAGCCGAACGCGGCCTACCGGTTAGGGCCATTGAAATATAGTGTGAAAGGGCGGCAAAATACTGTGCGCTCTGCAGCGTTTCTACGTACCTGTGATATCGGTGCATGGATTGGGCTAACAAAGCGACGGAGCAGCGCAGTATTGAGAAACATTTAAATTTGGAAATTTGATCAGCCTCTAGCGATTGTAAACTACATTGATTCATTATTATTGCACCTTGATGAGGTTGACCTTTGCGGTAGCCTTACGGATTACTTCCGGCCGCTAATACGCTCCAGAAAGTTCTAGCGGCCACTAATACATTTACCATTTTTTAAATTTTGCTGACTAGTACCAACTTTTTGAAAAAAAAATGTTTTCAGTTTTGTGATACAGTACTTACGTATTGTTTTTACGTAATTCATGTTCGCCTAATTATTACAAAATTGAATATTTTTATGCTTTAGAGCGTCCATGCACATTGGTGTCGGCAAACAGTCTGGTCATCTTGTCATAACCTATAATCAGCACAAGCTCACAAAAATTTCTCTTTTGCTGGTTGTTGTACCGGGAAATCCCGATTTTCAAAAGATACTCACACTCCTTTGGGTACTGCCCGCTGGAGGGTCAACAAGCGTTGTTTTGCTCTCTGCTGTACAGGCGTAACGTAATGAATAGTTAGTTTAAATAGGAAAATGTTACAATCATTTAAATATCCTTCATTGCAGAAGCGCATTTCCCTGTTTTATTTCCGTGCCACTTTAAGCATATAAAAGCCATAATATTTAGCCACACAACTTATTTTTATAAGCTACTGTAATATCAAATATAGATATTAAAAGGTTCAATGGAGAACTACAGAAACGCAAAATTATTGAGCTTGTGTTACTCTTACCATGTTAATCATGTTCGTTTTTTTGTAGAATTCTGATTTATTTCTTGTCTTCGCCCTTCTAAACGTTTTAAGCAGTGCCTTATGATAATAAATGCTGCTGGGGTCCTTGATATTATTACGTAGTCAAAACGCTTGGAAAAGCTGATACAAATACCGATACCGATTATTCTGTGTACAATACGACGTTATTGACCTATTCTGTGTACGACGTTATTCACCTTGTAATCTCTCAACGCAGGATTCTTTCCCTGAATAAAAAGTGTATCGTTGGCCCATTACAGCACACAACAGACATAAGTTAGTTTTTAATCAGACAAAAAACTACAATTTTTAACCCTATTTTTTACATATTTTACGTTTGGAAGCCTCGGGGTTTCCTGGTTTCGGCATTTTGTCCCGAACAAGTTGCATCTGCTTACAATAATACTCTTCGTTACGCTTGGAGAAAGAACCTCAAATCGTAACATTTTCCGCTGTAAAGGTTGCTAACTATTTAGGACGTAATGCCGGCAAGTAGATAGCAAGACAACGCTCGTTGAAGCAAAGAATAATTTTAATCACAATTGTTAGCATTTTTACTATGTATCGTAATATGCAGCATTAAGTGAATCACTCTCAGGCTGACTTTCAAGAAAAAAGTACAACTACGCGCTAAGTCAGCTTACGACTACATGCATGTGCTCCAGTTTTTGCAGATGTCAGAATTTTGCGAGGTATACTCCGAATAGCATAGCATAAAGGACTGCAAGGTGCTATTAATACCCGGAAGATGATTTGAGAGATCGGTACCTGTTAAAAGAATGGCTGTTTTATGACAGAACAAATTTCCACAAACAGCCCCGGTAAAAGCTGCATACCCGTACTTTCTGGAACACTCGAAAACCGCTGAAGCATCGGATATGGCAAATATCGAAACAGCCTGAACTTTCGTATATAAAACCATACCGGAAAAGGAATAAGTTCGTATTCCGCAGCATAACAATTTTCATTTACTAAAAGTTTGCGACAGTTTTCTTCGACAAGTAAAACAAACACTCCGTGAACGTGGGATCATGAGCAAATTTTCTGTTACCCCATTGTTTCCGCTGCAGCGGTTTTGCTGGTGAGCTGGTGAGTTGGTGAGTTCGTAATTTTAAGCAGGAATCTTGGATTCAGTGCACTTATAGCTTTTTAAGGAGGGCGAGTTATGTTTAATGGGCACATTTCTAAATAAAAATTAAATATTGTTTTGTTTTAAATAAAAATTAAATGTTCCGTTTTGTTCTGGAATTCACCTTCAGGTATTACTGTTATGTAACGGGTAGCCACGTACGTCTACAGTAGCACTCATTAGCGTATAACACATGTGTTTATGCAATTGTTGTGAACTATCTTCATGTAGTTATCTGTGTCTAAAGACATCTGTTCTCTGTGATTATTTCTCAGCGCTATGCTGAAGTTGTGATTGAGAAATTAGTATCTGTCATGAGCGTGTACAGTTACTACAGATTCCACAGTATTCTCCGTTGTGTATAGTGTAGGAGAAACTTTCATCTTTCACTGCGACAGTGAACGACACATCTAACGACATTCTATACTGTTTAAACTTCAGATAACGGGAAATTCGTCATAAGTCTAAGGAGGTGTAATTTTTGAAGAACTTTAGATCTTTGGAAGCCCATCTTTTTTGTTGTTTTCTTAAGCAATGCTGACTCATCTTCACAGTCGTAAAATTATTAGTAAGACCGGGTAATTTTGTGTTAACGGAGTTCAACCTGCGAACTGGCTCCAGTTGCGAAAATATGCCAACGCGGGTAATCTGTTGCAGGCTTATCCGGCCAAGGCGAACGCGGATACCGGGCTTGTATCCGCGCATGCAAGCAATGCTACCGTTGCAGTCCAACTCGCCATCACCAACGACACAACCTCCCCCGAAAACCAGGCGAAGACTGGAGCACTGAAGCGCGCACGTCGTGCCGGTGGTCGTTATAGACCAGTTACAGAATCACCCTGCAAATCGTACAATAATAGGCCGGGGGAAAGAGCGTTCGGCCTTTACGATGGGTGTGATGGAAAGGGACAAAAGGCTCGTAAAGCCTGAGAGACCGGGTCGGCCGAATAAACCTCAAATATGCGCTAAAGTACTCGTAGAACTAACGATTTATGATTGGCTTGGCGTATTGTGTGCTTTGGACTTTGATTGGTGATAATTCTCTTAGAAACTTTCTTCATAAGTCTTGATTTTAAAGTGTCATTTGCTATTTGCGTCACAATCAATATCCTTTGCTATTTGTAATTTAACTTACCTTCGTTAATGTGGATTCTTCGAAGTAAAATCAGCACGTGTTGTGTGTCCCGCGGTTCCCGTTTATGTGCATGTTGTTGACATATGTGCCGTGGTTCCAGTTGGAAGTGTTTATTACGGTATACAAGGTTGTGCAACTGCAACACGCACTGTTTTAAGAAATTGCGAACTGAACCTCTAGCACAAATACGGTTTCAGCGCAACGACGAATAACACTTGCACACACTGTTAAAGAAAACTTGGTGTGGTTAAAATCAGTTAGAGTCTTGTCCAAAAGTTCTTCGCATATTCGTGGGCGCATGCGGTGTCTCTTTTGTAATGCAATAGCGGGATTTTCCCGAACGCCGAAAAGAGAATACACTTGAGAACTTCAATGCAGATTTAGGTATTATTCCATCGGCGTCGAAACTGGGCGACCTAGCAGCTACAATGTACACGGAATAAAAAATTTCGCGTTGGTCAAATATCGGGCAAACGTCAGTCACGGTAATATCGTGCTGGTATCGTGCTGGTAGCGTAGGGGCAATTACCTAGAAGCGGCAAATCCATAAAGGTGCCTGTTTCCAGATTGTGGATGGTAGTCGTAAATTGATACTATGTGCTGATACATATAAGGACATTTACTCAATTATGTATTATATGCAACAAGCAGCAAGCATTTAACGTTGTTGAAGTTACTGTGCATGCCGATAAATAATCCTTCTCCTTTCAAATGAAGGTGTCATTATTTCGAAAGCGGCTGAATAAAACCCGCTTCTACGGTAGGTCATTACAAGGCCAATGGGATCTGCTTTGCATCCTGATCAGATTCAGCTTTGCAGCATTAACAATCGCAACCTTACCTATCGGAGGATTTTGGAAAACCGGAAACGAAAATGGATATGCAGGCGTTGGAATGGGCTTTTTGACATCTGTCCGGCAGTTTGGACATGGCTTGATAACAATCTCACTTTACCTGAATAGAAGTAAAGGGAAGAAATATTTTCTTGCCATCGCAGATGATGCGCAACGTGGTACCTAATCTGGCTATAAACCGGCAACCCATCATAGTTCTTTTGTAATTGTTGCATGCACATTCTTCCTGTAAATAACTGAAGCTCCTACAACAGTTGTTGTGTAGATGGTTGCGTTGTGTATTGGTGCAATGTGTCGCTGTACGCCAATCATTCCCGGACCTTTCTGCTGTTTTTCATCACACACAAACAGTTTCGTAAACGCTTTTTCAGTCTGGCTCGCTCCTGGCGGAAAGCGATGATGTGGTAGCGATGGCCGCCACGAGTCGGATAGCAGCGCGACGAGCTGGTATCGCCGGTGAACCAGGGCGATTTCCTCGAATTTTGGGAGCAGCAAAGTGCGGAATACTATTGCGGATTTATTTCGTTACGACATATAGCCGGCTGCTGAATCATACATTATGTTATGCTCTTAGTGGTGCGATTAACTTGCATGCAGTTCGCGTGATATTCTGGCTCGTAAGATATAGCGACTACTTGCTCTGCCACGCACTCTATAGGTACTTCTACTGCACTAACCGTAAATTATTATTTTATTTACTCCATTTTCAAAAAGCACAAAACGCCCATAACAAAATAATTATTTTATTCGGTAAACCACAGCATAGTCACTGATGATCTCGAAAGCCGTAAACGTAAATCAAAACATAGGTAAGAATCCATTAATGAGACAGAAGAAATACAAAATAATGAGAAGAACGAATATAGAAAACAATGAAAGCAACGCATACAGTTTCCAAAGACGCTAACTGATTTTGATATTGGCAAATGCTGATACTGGCTAAGCGGTAATGCAGAACATGATGAGTACTTGTACTGGAAATGTGTCAACGCCTCGACAACTCTTTGTATTCCATATTCCCCAGTCCAGTGGTGCAACCATTCCAACAGAATTCAGGCCGCATGGCCCTGATTGTCCTGTGTGTAAAGCAAAGATTTCGTCAATTGTCGTGTACGAACTAACTGACTGCTTCTTGCACTCATAGTTGATAACCTGATACCATTCGTACCATGCTGGACATTTATTCACGTCCGGGGAATCAACGACGGTGTATTCTCTGTGTTGTTTCACAGGACAAAAACTTTTCGAAAACTTATTATGTAATAGTTTATTCGAGCTTGTACACGAGATTAACAAAACTCCTCTGGCTTTCTAACTTTGAGCAACGCAGAAGACACAGCATTCTCTGGTGCGCTGGAATTCGTGCTGTTAAAGTCTCCGAAACGCGATAAACGTCAAAGGAAGAACAATATGATTAAGTATCAGCTATCAGTATCACAACCTACTCGCTACGGCAAGGATGCAAAAACCTGAATGTCAAGACCTACCCGAATCGAGTCAGTGGTTTTGGAGACCTTATGCACCTTCTCTGGTCTAGGATACACAATGGCATCGGCCACAATAGTCACACAGTCGCCTTTTAATTCCGAATGGTCACAGGCTGCTGCACTAGCCGCACCAGATGAATTAGTCGCGTCATGTTGAGTGTGCTTGGATACTATCTGCATTTCCGACCACTGTCCATTCACATAATGACCGCGCGCAACTGATTGTGTATCCGTGCCAATCCTACACACATAACACGAACAGGTTTAGGATAAACCTGGGTAGAAATGACTAACCAGTGGAAAAACTAACGTCAGTTTGTATTTCACATGGATGGTCTGTTCTCCGGTGTAGCGGGTGGAATGCAGCTCTTCATCCGTGAAGCACACGGTAGCACGTACTACGGGACCGTAAAGTCCGCGATCGGTAGGTGTGATGCGCAGGCGACAGCGTCCCTTGAAGGTCTTCACGCCGAGTTCCGTCATCGTGATGCCATCGGAGAAGGTTGTTTCTCCTTCTCGCATCTCGTCACGGTAGGCTGGAAAGTTTTTGTAGCGCCATCGCAGCTGGAAATGCACTGCTGCCTGAGGAACCAGTTCCTGCGATTCCTCCACGACGGCACGCACTTTTGGCACCAATGCTTCCCTCATCGTCGAAGAGCTTCTGCCGGAATCGAAAAGATGAGCATCACGATTTAAAAATGCCATTTTTATTTTGAAAAGACAATTCTGGGAATCTTTCTCTTTCCGCAAACGAAATTGAAAACTCACAAATCTCAGTAAGTAAACAAAAACCTGTGTAGAGGACTGTCGCGTGACTACGAGATGCGCTTGCTTTCGAATTTCTGAATGCTCAAGCGCTGCATACGAGTATGGCGCGCCAAACGGTGTAAATTGTTTACAGTCTTATTCAGCTGCATTCTACTGATATACTTCTAGTGATATTTGCCCTTGCCCGCATTCACTAACATCTCATTTATTATACGATGTACATCGTGATTCATGAATCCTGATATTCTCCAATGTGATCAACTATCACCAACAAATTCATGGACGATGCGTAAGTAACACTGAAACGGAAAAAGCAAAAGAACGGCAAAGGAATACTGTAGTGGGCCGACCCCGAACCCAGGAGAAAGGGCACTATCTTTATATATGGTACAAAGACAAGGATAACGGGTGCATCTACCCTATTCTGGATTAAATCGAGTTAACCGCAAAGAGCGAGACAGCTCTGCAGTCGATACTGCAGCAGCTTTACTATGCGCTATCACACCACTAACGCCAAAGTGAAACCCGATTAAACATTAAAACAGAGTGGGTGGTATCCCTGCTCCTGTAGACGTTGCTCGATGAAACAAGTACGGACCTGAAAGCGGAAGCGCAGTGGCCACTAGTATATTACCATCAGGACCTTTGCATCAATCGCATGTGATTAGGCAACAGTGAGCAGAATATCGCACCAGCCAAATGCAGTAGCCATGTTTACCTGTTACGAAGGCACGCATCGACGGCATCGTTACTTTCTTCATGCTTCCTTCGAGGAGTAAAAACAGCAACGAAAACGGTGATATTTTAATATTATTGTTGGAACGTACGAGTATTATAACAGTATGAGTGCCGTTTCGTCGTAGAACCCGCTACGTTTTGTGGAAGTACTCGTACAAACCTTTACCAGGGTGTTTCAAGTATTACTTAAAACGTAGATGCGTTATATGAAAAAAGGCCGTAATATTCGAGTGTAGGTAGCCCATATACGAGTTTTCTACGCATTTTTATCGTAATAAACATTAAAAATGACTACAATACTTGGATTGGCATAAGTTTTATTTCTATTAAGGATTACACTGCAATCTGATGCACTGCACTCACGAGTTGAGCGGCCATGAAAGTGTATCAATGACAGGCGTCGTTAGCGACGATGTAACACAATTTGCACTGGAAGCTACCCTGAATCAGTAGCTCTTTCCCGCATTAGATCGAACATAGTATGTTCGATATGATGTAATATCATACAATGTCATTAGTCTCATTACCCTCGGCTGAGTTTCATGTTTGCATAATTCTTCCGCAATTCCGGCATCCAGTCTAATTAAAGCAATGTCGGGCATCGCACAAACACTTCTGTGACTACACTTACAGATACAAAGAAGCAGCTGTCATGACAAAGTAACCGGCAGCAAACCAAATCTGATCTGCTCGACATCCGGCTGCAGTTTAGGGGTACGAAAGATACAACATGTCTACGAGTAAGTTCAGCACATTCTCGATATCGACTGACGACAACAGTAAAAAGAAATTCTATCGCTCTATGACGGTCTGCAGTGATATGTCGCAGTGTTCCGCCAAGATTGACATTGACAGATAATTGCTGCTAATATCGATCATTTTCGATAAGTATTCAATTTCGTGTTATGGACACAGGCGGTCGCATGTACTGATGTACGTCGCACTCGCATAACAGGTATTTAATAATGTATTAAGTACTTAATCTGTTGGCAGCGCGAAGGTTATGGCTTATTGCCGTAGTGAGATGCAGAGTTTTTCACAGGGCTGCTTTGTTGCATTATTAGCAACATACTGAAACCATTCTCAATAGTCAAAGGACACTGTTAGTATGGTACTTGGAGAGATGTCATTCTTGAGGATGCTCTTCCGCTGGATGCAAGTATCCGGTCAGTTTCCATATCTGTTCCTGACCTTCAAAACGGAGATACGATCTGCAAGATCAAGAGAAGTCGCTTTCTGGTTTTCTGGTCCGTTTGCTTGTGTTGCGTGTCAGTGACATGGGTCGTCAGTACAATTTTGGCGTATACCAATAACAATCGCAGCGATCTGCAAAATCTGGAATTCTTCACGTTGATTCGCGTGGTCTTTATGGTTAATGTGTTTCTTCAGCCAGCGCTCCTGATCATTGTGCTGAATCGCAACTCGAAAAAGATGATCAGACTGCATCAGAAACTCCTTCTAATGGCACCTTGTTTATCAGACCGGAAATACAATTTAGAAAGCGTTGTGTTGCTAACCTGGAATGTGCTGTACATAGTGGCGTTTATCGTCACACTTTACATTATAAACATGCACCTTATGCGTTTGAAAGGATTTTTCCACTACAGTCACGCTGTTATCGGTACGTCTCAAGAAATATCAGGTCACTGCCACGATGATCGCCGCTATGGCACTGGCAGCCAATGCGGAAATTGTCCCGCAAAGCCTGTTGTTGGGAATTGTGCTACGCGTTCGACGAATGTTCCATGCACTACGAAAGGAGGTCCGCCAGTTAGCTCAAAGAGCCGATAATTCTGTAGCGAGACTGGATAATATCGAGCAGCAATATCGAAGCCTGCAACTATTAATAAGCGCCACTGATAGGGCGTTTTCCTGGTTCTTGTTGATCACTTTCATTAAAGAACTCATTGGTGTGGCGGCTGTATTTGGCTACTTATTTACGCTTTTGGATGCCGGGAAACGGAATCTGACCGAAATCGTCGATGAAAGTGTCGTGCACATTGTGGGCGGCATCGGGATTGCCAACGCCATTATAAAGTACTGGATCGGGATTTCTTGTAGCGAAGAGGTATGATTTATGGCAATGTGCTAATATTTCTGAATGGTCGCTGCAAAAGCCTAATTTATCGTCTGACCGAAGTAAAGGTGAGGATTTTCCACTCATTTCATGATCAGCCAGATCAGGCGATCTGGTGTACAGGAACTACAGTAATTAATGCCTATCGAAACGGAGGTAGTGTAGTGAATTTTGCAAACTGAAGTGCCAGTGAAATGTACTCGTATTTTGACGATCACCTAATTTTTTTCGAAACGTAGGCACGGTTATTTCGGGAGCACCTTTTCGAAGCTGGAACCCATTTCTACGGCAAACCATTGCAAGTAGGCTGGGAACAGGACGGCTACATTGCCCTGAACCCGTACTTTTTAATTTTTCTCTCCCTGAACCTGTCCTGTCCCTGAAACTCACCGTGTCGATCAACCTGAACCTGTCCTGAACCTCATGCCCTTCACCCTGAGCCTGACCTGGAAACCTGAGCGTGTTGAAATTAAATTTTAGTAATAAAATTTTTTCCGCATTTTCACATTGGAAAGTCGATGAGCAGACAGTAGCGAAACGAGCTAACGCGCGCGTAGCGCGCGCATTTTTACTGTAACGTACTGAGGTAGTGTGTTTTTATGCACTTTTTAGCGCGTGATGCACTTCTTGGGGCCATCACCCGCAAAATTGTCAACTTGCGGGTGCCATGTTTGTCTTCCACAAAACTGAAATTCCGATAACTTTGATTTTCTTTAAAAAATTCAGGTTCCTGCAGGACTGAGTTACGCCCTGTCCCTGAACTTTCAGGAAGTTTAATTGCCCTGAACCTGAACCTGTGGCAGATTTCAGGGCAGCATTTTACCCTGAAACTGTCCTGCAGGGACAGGATCCCTGCCCTGCGCCCAGCTCTAATTATTTAATTTATTATATTTGCAAGCCAAATTCGATCGTCTGCTGGAGCTGTGCAGCATGCACGATCGCGCCGTTACCATCGGCGGATTTCTACGAATCGACAAGCAATTCGTACCCGCGGTAAGTATCGTGCACGACCCTAAAAAAATTAATCAACGTTGTAATTTGGTAATATTATATTATTAGCTGGCTGGAATCGCTTTGGGTTATGGAGTGCTCATCTATCAGAAGCACGATATCAAAGTGGTTATGGATACGCTAATGTTCAAAGTTGAAACTCTGGCATCTACTTCGCAAATTACATATGGTGTCGTAGCAAATCTGACCTTACCTGGATAGAAGCAGAACTGTAATTATGGCAATGCATCTCTTACGGATGCTTCGATTATGGATGGATGGATGATGCGTTGGAACTGTAACTGTTATGTGGTTCTTTATTTAGCCATAGCGGCATAGCGGTTATGCACCATATCTCTAGTTCTACCTTCTTATAATATTTGTGTTTTCAAACGCTGTTCAAAAACTGTAAAATTTACGTTCAAAGAATAGCTTCTGCATCGCTACCACGTTTCTTTCAATGACCGTCAAGTACGTAGTTTACTAGTTAGTGATCTGCAATCTACATGTAGTCAGTTGCTTTTATTTGGATTTGCAGTCTTTGCCATAATACCTATGCCGTTTTAGTATTTTGATTTCGAATGTCCCCGTCAAATAGTGAGGGATCTACTCTGTAGCTAGTTGCTCTCTCATTTAAATTTTCAGACATTCCCATAATGGGTAAGTATGCGTATTGCCTTGACATGCTTGTATTTTCGATTGTATATTTGCCTTGACATGCTTGTATTATTTCAAAGACAAAACGGCAAGATCGCGATTTTCGAAGTACAGATAGCGAATACAAGAAATACTGTTCTGCTTTTGTTTTGCAGTTTTTTGTACGTGTTATTTTGGTGTACTTAGCTGACTTTACCTGGATAATGGATCCATTACTTTGAACGGTAGCACTTCTCTGCAACCTAAATTAGCCGGTTGCTGTCCTTATGCAACCTACGGTTCGGTTATGGTTGGAAGATTTTTTTATTCTTGACAAACATTTTGTGCCGGCGACGGTAGGCGAAACGTATGAATTCGTGTTTACAGTTTTCTTAACAGAAAACGGAATCATTGCATGTGGAAAAATTTACAACGTTAGCCGTAAGATGTTTTCGTTGGGCAGTCGAATAGATTTAATGTATGAGGCATCGTGATGTAATGGACACGATATGAGTATAATCGTGTATGAGGAATTCGTATGTACAGTATGTAATCGCACGGTAATTATGGTAAGTACTTAAAGGGCGTCGACGTCTGGGGCTTCATTTAAACGTACTGAGTTTCGTGGGCCTGTTTTTTGTTTTGTCAGTTTTGCAAAATACTAATGGTTGTTCTGAGACTGCCTTTGTTACCAATATCAAGGAGGTGATGATATCTGTAGTACGCGGTTTCGCCCTTACAACCGTTTATTCCAATTTCCCGGAAAAGTGCTGTTGTGTGAATAACGTATGTACTGCAATCGAGTATACGGGCTGCACCAAGAGGTGGCAGCGTAATACCACTATGTTCGGCATTAGGTGCCTACAGTGCTAAATCCCACCCGTGCGTTCATACAGAGGTATTATCAAATGGCGAACCGGTAGAGTTGTTATTTATCTTACTGCATTTCAGCTGTTAGCTGACGTTACGTTTGACGATTTTCTAACGTTTCTGGTATCCCTAATACAACAAAACTGTATACTTGTGGGACCCTCTCGTCCCGAGCAGCGTATTATTGCGGATATTCGGAATTACCTTGCATTCTACGCGCGTACTACAGCGAAAGAAACTGCAAGACAGTTTTATCCATTTAATGGCGGCAGTTTGACCAAAAACATCCAAAACATGTGTATTTAGTATTGAGCAGCATTGTCTTTACCTGCTGGCTGCTGGCAAACATGCAGGCAAGCAGCACGACAAACCTGCAGCAAAGCTTGCAATTTTTTCTGTTGGTATGGAAAATCTTTGAACTGATCCCGTTAACCGATCATCCAGAAGAAAAAACGGCAGTCAAACAGAAAGCTTTGACTGTAGCTCAGTTTGTGCTTTTACTGCTTTTTCTCGCATCTGTGTCCGTGCTCGTAAATGACGATGTCGCCGCTATGATCAGCCATGTGTCAGCTACCAGAGGTTTATCCAGTATCGCCGTCCTACAGATTATCTATCATCTCCGTTGGATAGTTGAACGCGTTGCGGTCTCTTCACTCGTTTATTTAACCTATCGCAACGGTCCGCGGCTAAAACAGATCATTAGCGATTTCACCAGACAAATCGACAGCAAGAAATGGGCAGAGTTGACAACAGCGCCACTGACCTTTCGGATGCAACGTCCCTTTTACATCAGCATGGCGCTGTTTATTTTCTTCCCTGAATTTTTGATCCGAGTGCGAGGTTGTATTCGCGATAATGAGGATTTAACACGAAATGCCAATCTTACGCTAAAAACATTTCCAACGCCGCAGTGGATGATGCCGGTAAGGACACGGTCTCCATTGGCCTACCATTTTTTCGTCGGATTTCCTTCATACACATCCGGGAAATTTATGCAAACTGTGTCAATGGCTATTATCTGCACTGTGGTATACGCGCTCACTGCCGCTCTTCACTGCTGTGTTGAGCGTGGACAACTGTTGTTGTGCGAACTAGAAAATAAACGTTTACTACCAGCAGCATATGTCGAACAGATTCGGCAGTTTCGTGAGCTGTGCAGCTGGATATGCAGTGTATACAGAGATTACAACAGATACGGTTCCGATTTTGTTCTTGCGTTCCTTGCTTGCGATATCTTGGTGTACTTGGCTGACGTTACGTGGATAATGGATCCTTCGCTTTTAACTTCGGATGAACTTATCCGTACCTGCATGTATGAAGTTCACGGGTTTATATGGGATATCATATTGATTGCAGTGCATTTACGATCGACTAAAGAGGTACATTGTAACGCATATTTGTATTGAATATTATGAACTATTATTTATTTTATAAACTATTGATATGATCATATGAATAACTAAAGATTGTTTCTGCTTATATTAGTTGACACTTAACAAAGCTGACAGCACCCGCGGTTTATTTGGATGTTTTTTCGTGCCAGTACTGCTAATTTCTACGGAAATACTGAACTGTTAAACTTTGCCATTGCGAAACAACTTTTCGTTACAGGCTGACAAACTGCACAGGTGCATGAAAGAATTACTCGTGGCCTATTGCAACGTCCTCGGCAGTGACTGTGTAAGGGCAAAATATTTCACTACTTATATGACCTCAGCCAGTATATACTCGTACTATATCAAACTAGCTGTAAAGTCCTACAAATTCTACTTTAGCAGAAACTTACAGTAGCGTTTAAATCAGCGCAATAGACATACAGCATCAATTTGCAGAGCCGCAGCAAGGCGCTACTGAAGCCAGCAACGAATTCTAAATGGTCGGAAGAGCTGCCTGATACTGACAATAATTTCCTCACGGCTGTTAACAATAACTTTTGCGTACAAAATTGGTTGGACACCAGCTCACTGGAAACGCCGGCTGCTTACGTCGGAAAGTTGGGGGCGATGAGAATGTCGCATTTGATATCGGTATGTATGAAAAAAACAGGTCAGACACCGATTGGCCAACACCAGTAACGGGTTCGTGTGCAGTGTGTAACGGTTATCCTCTTCCAAGCGCGAACTACCGTAGATTTCTAATTGGGTTTTACAAAGTCGTTTAAATTATTGCAGATTCTGCTAAGTTGCACCGGATTTATTGTCTTCCTTTACGAGCTAGAAAGGAATTAGCCGGTTGCTGGCAATTTTTAACATAAGTCTGTATTGTGTTACTTGGCTGCAGTATCTTATTTATAAAAATTAAAAAGGACCACATGCATAAGTAATAAAGTTAGTACGGCACAGAACGATAGACCCCGATATTGAATAAATCGTAAAACGTTTTATTATTACATAAGAGAGCTGGTAGTTCTCAGATGAAGGAACTCTGCTCTAAGGTTCGATCGCAAAAAAACCAATATATTATATCTCTACTTTACCACGTTATGATATTATTATTGTGATGCATCACAGACAGTTGCACAGACAACGGGAATTCCTACTGGAAAACGTGACAAAATTCTAATATTAGCCGTCATAAAATGAATAATATCTCTGCAGTGATCAGAATCCAGAAGAATAAAAATTATGAGCGCTTCCTCGAATTTGTCATCTTTGAAACAGCTGCACGATTAACGTCACGCGGTAACAACATAGCACGCGACCGCTGCACCATATTTCCGCGCTGTCTGCTTCGCTGCAGTGGCGTTTTACCATTGACCAACGATGTCCCTTTGGGCCCGCTCTGGGGCACTCCTGCAGCTATCGCTACAGCTCCCGGAGCGTTAATCGGGCTGGCACAGCCGCATCTCGAAAAGCAGCAATATGCCGGGCAGGCAATAGGAACACGGTCACAACTATACGGCGTGGTCGTTGTTATCGGGTACTTGTTGACGTTGGAATTGACACTGTTGCTAATGCTGACACCGGTGACGTTGCCAAGTGATTTGCGAGTTGCCGTTAACGGTCAACCCCGTTGGAATTATCGGAGTTACAGTGATCGTTATTGTTGAGTGATCCGGTGGCGGCGTTGCCGTTGGAGTTGGCGTTGCTGTTGCCGCTGACCACCTGGTTGCCGGTGTCCTGTTGCTGTGGATCCACGTTGACGCCGCTGTTGGCTTGGCCGCTGATGGAGATGCCGCTGCCACCGACGTTTTTCATCGACTGGCTGTAAGTTGACGGCAGACCGTTGATCCAGGTCGACTGGCTCTGACTGTTCACCTGCGCGTTTCCCACACCAGACGCCGCTCCACTCCCGTACACGTTGCCATTGCTTCCTGGTTGACCCGGTGAGCAATATTTTATACACTGTTTGAAATGCACAAAGAAATAGGAAATCGCACTACGAACCCCGAAGAACGGCGGTTGCGCAGATTAGCAAAAGGACAAAGCAAAAAGACAATTTTACGCTGCATTTTTACAGAGGTACAGATATACGGACATCCTGGGTGTGGTTTCGTCAAAAGTCTGCGATCAGTAACTCGACTTTTAAATAGACAGATGTTTTTACATTGGTTTTTGTCCATCATACGGCATTGGCTTTATACTGCATTCATAACATGCACCGAAGCGGAAGTTTTTAGTGCACCAGTAGGCAGTATAACTAAAAACCACATTCACAATATTAAGTGTCTAATTAAGCACCCATTAATGAGAAGTGTTCTAATTAGAAATGCAACCGGACTGCCAATGCAGTCCATACTTCCTCTGTAAGCTGTGCGGTTATGGTCTGTAAAAACCTGTTTGATGATGGAAACACAGGTAAAAGATCATTAGAAAAAAATAGAGTTCTTTACTTTATTTGGATTCTGAATCTGCGTTTCTTCTATCATTTTCAGCACAAAAAAATTTGTACACTCGAAAAGCTTTACATTTATAACTTCTCAAAGATAAATTAATGAATTTGAATTTTGAAAAGCTTAGAGCGCCAAAAGAACGTGGAAACGAAAAAGTGATACCCGATAGGAACCTGTTGACAAGAGCAACTCCGGCCACACCATGATATCCAGACGGATATCTGGATATACAGACATAATTATGATATATAGACGTCTATACGTCTATAGATATCTGGACAAATTCAATACACATTTAAATACACAATGGAGTGGTCAACGTCAAATAATTTGATCTTGCTATCCCGGCAGATAGCTTGAAGGCAATTGGCGGTAACATAAAAAAATTGAGTCTGTATGTATCTCTCGTTGACAGTTTGTTGTTGTTTACAGCGCAGAACAAGGAAGTGGGCGCAAGGATATGAACTAGAACATTTACACACACATTAGACAGTTTGACAACTACATAATTTATGCGTTAAGTGAAACTGTCGAACACATTTCCGTTTGCATACAAATGAACCCCGGTTGCCCAACAGCGCTACCGAGCGTACCCTGCCCACAATAAGAACAAGCGCAGCAGCGGGTATTCACTTTTCACAACGGTCGCGCTTTTGTTGAGCTTAGCAAGTTGTTACTGCACGGTTGACCATGATGTTAGTCGCCAGTTTGATTGCCGCCCTTCTCGCGTACCCTCATCTAGTCCAAGGTAGATTCGACCAGGAGGAGGGTGTTGTTCTTCGTCTATTTGACTGTAATGATAAACATGCGCTTTTCGAATAGGTCAACCCGGAAGCAACGGTTACGTGTACGGGAATGGAGCGGCTTCCGGTGTGGGAAACGCGCAGGTGAATAGTCAGAGCCAGTCGACGTGGAGCAACGGTCTTCCTTCAACGTACAGCCAGTCGATGAACAACGCCGGTGGCAGCGGCATTTCCATCAGTGGCCAAGCCAACAGCGGCGTCAACGTGGATCCGCAGCAGCAGGACACCAGCAACCAGGTGGTCAGCGGCAACAGCAACGCCAACTCCAACGGCAACGCCGCCACCGGCTCACTCAACAACCTCGACCACAGCAACTCCGACAATTCCAACGGACTGACCGTCAACGGCAACTCGCAAATCACTGGCAACGGCACCGGCGTCAGCATCAGCAACAATGTTAATTCCAATGTCAACAAGTACCCGATAACGACGACCACACCCATGACGTGTGACGTAATTCCGCCTTGTCCGCCTGGGTGTTTTTCTTCGGGTTGCTTATGTGCCTGCCCGCTTGATACTGCGGCATCGAATAGTGCACCGAGTGCGAGTAGTGGACCGAAACTGGCTTCAGTGAAGAGCAGAGCGTCCTCTGTTCAGCGAGCACGTGAGCGGAACATACCGAGAAATTCGCTTCAGCGATCACGGGGACAGCAGAAATCGCAATCTGTTGTGTTGCTATCCGCTTTACCGGCGAATCTGAGAAGACGAGTTTAGGGGTATTCGGTACTTGTATTTTCCAAACTGTGATTTGTGGCACATCCCAAATTTCCACACCTTTCCAGCGATATTCCAGTCTTAATTTCGGATTTCCTGGCAACGTTATTCTCCGACGAAAACCTTGTAGAGCTTTCATCCGCCGGCAAGTTGTTCTGTATCTCACGGTCTTAATTTTAAACCGGAATCGTTTTGAATTTAAATGTCGGAAATAGCAGAATGGAAAGCCTAATTGTCGGAAAATAGCAGTAGCAGTTTTGTTGGTTTTCATCAATGTGTATAATTATAAAATTAAAATTTTTAGTGTCGACTGTCAATAAGCGCAGGGCCCTTTGTTATGTTGTTCGGCCACTGCCCGAATAAAATTAATTAAACAAATTCAAGGCCGGGAAGCCGGCGACGGTGGGTATGCAGTCTGCACTGCTATGCACGTCGCAATGTATCACTCGCAAGAAAACTGGCCTTAAAAATCAGTGTCTGCATACCTATCCATACGTACATGATATAGAAATGCAACGAATTTTACAAATTATTTTGTCACTGTTCTGCACCACCGCAGTTGTTCAAGGTTAGTACAGTAGTGCTTAATAAGATGGTCTCATTGATGAATTCTATCGATTATTTTATTACTGCAACTGTGTGCTTAACTTAAGGGGACCACTATGAGATGACTTTGCGTTTAAATATGTTTCCAATTTTAACATCAGCTTGTAGGAAATTTTTCGGGCTTCCAGAGAGTGTGTCCCGATACGGCACAGTAAACTGTGATCACAAGTTATAAGTAAAAAAACAAGGCTGGGTCAGCAGCGGCGCAGTAAATGCAGTGATGCTATCGGCTAGCCATGGCCAGTCACATGGCAGATATGCCACAGAAGATCTCAGACAGAACACCTGATGCTGTCCTGTGGCCGGAGCATACCCATTCTTCCCTCTCAAGCTATGTCCTGTCTGATCTCTTTCTGCAAGCGCGGGCATGGGTAGCCGGCTCTGGCACACATTGCTGCCGGTCAGTCCACAAGCCCTCCATTCAGCTGCCGTTTTCCAAAAACTAGTTAAAGGGCTTTAAAAATCGATAACTTCATTGTAAAACTTGCTACACTTTCAAAATGGGCATCAGCTAATGTGTTATTTTCTAGAAAGCTTATATACCGACACTCCGCTATAGTCCAACAAAGCATGTTTGAATAAACTCCAAAAAACACTTTTCAAAAGTGTTTTTCTCAGTTTTTTTTTAAGTTAACAACATTTTTTATTAGCATGTTGGAGAATATAAGCTTTTCAGGCTAAAACACATCCAATGATGTGTATTGCATCTAATTCGAGAAAACTTTCTCATTCAACTTTTGATTCCAAAGTTTTTTCTTTGTTTCTTGAATAGCTCTGTCTAGAGAGAGCGCAGACAAGATCGCAGCACACCATTGTATAGCCAAACCCTTTGCGCATGCAGACAGAACAATGGAAACAGTGATCTTTCAGCTGTTTTAAACTTATTCGTGTTTTCCCAGACCTACTTTCATCTCATAGATTAAGGGATTTGGCCCGGTATATAGCACCAAATTCGTGTACATACACGGGAACTTTTGCTGTCGCGCACTCCCAAACACTTTTTTGGGTTGCTTTTTGACATTGTGTAGCCAAATGATTTGTATACATAGGCGTGAAATCCGTTTTTGCGCGCAACATCCGGTTCGGGAGTTATGGCTGTTAGAGAATTCCAAAAAGTTTAAATGCATTCAGGTGTACCAAAAGTTTCATTATGGACCGATCCCTTTCAAATTTTGCAGGTAAATGCGCATGACCATGAAGATCGTTCTTACACCGATCCGATGTTCTAGCATGCTTTTCAAATTTTAAAATGAATTTCAAAAATTTTAAAATTCATTTTAAAATTCGAAAAAAATCGTGGAAGTCTGGATCCGTGTAAGAACGATTTTCATGGTTATGTGCATTTACGTGCAAAATTTGAAACGGAACGGTCCATAATGAGACTTTTGGTACACCTGAATGCATTTAAACTTATTGGAGTTTTCTGACAGCCATAACTCCCAAACCGGATGTTGCGCGCAATTTCACGCCTATGTATACAAATCATTTGGCTACACAATGTCAAAAAGCAACCCAAAAAAGCGTTTGGAAGTGCGCGAAAGCGAATATTCCCGTGTATGTACACGAATTTGGTGCTATGTACCGGGCCAAATCCCTTAAGGCTCTTCGGGTGGCACTTCATTTACGTTAACGGGAATGGTGCAGCGTCCGGTGTGGGAAACGCACAGGTGAGCAGTCAGAGCCAGTCAAACGTACCTCAGCGGTCTGTCATCGACGTACAGCCAGTCGATGAATAACGCGGGCGGCAGCGGCCTCTCCATCAGCGGCCAGGCCAACAGCGGCGTCAACGTGGACCAGCAGTTGCAGCAGCAACAGAAACATGCCAACGGCTTCCAGGTGGTCAACGGCTACAGCACCGCCAGCTCCAACGGTAACGTTGCCACCGGCGACCACAGCAGCTCTGACAACACTTACGGACTGATCGTCAGCGGCAATTCGGAGATCACCGGCAACGGCACCGGTGTCAGCATCAGCAACCACGTCGATTCCAACGCCATCCAATACGAGGTTACAACGTCGATGCAAAGGACATGCGACACACTTCCTCCATGTTCTTCTCCGTGTTTTTATTCGGGTTGCTTTTGTGCGTGCCCGCTTGACACTGAGGCATCAAACAATGCGCCGAGTGTCAGCAGCGGACCAAAACTGGCTGCGGTGAAGAGCCGAATGTCGTCTGTACAGCGAGCACGAGAGCGGAACATTCTTTCGAATACACTGCAACGATCACGTGGGCAGTTGAGATCGCACTCATCGCAGTCTCTTGTTGTGCCATCCCCTTTGCCTGGAAATGTGAGGAGACGAGTGTAGCGTGATTTTGTGGTATGCGTTTTTTGAAACTGTAGTTTGTGGCAACATTGATATTCTGATCTTGCATTACGTGTTACTAACCGCCTTCCCAACAATCACCAAAACTATGCGACTGTGTCCTAATAAAATGGAGTATTACACAAGGGAACGAACTTTGTCGGTGGTTCCACAATGCCGTATAAGTACTTGTAAAGAGGTCAGCGTCGTACCGAAAACTGTTTCTTCGTTATAGTCACTGCACCGTTCGTTTTTAAAGTTAGCCGCAGGCGCAGAGCTTCCGATTGAGCAGGTGTCTAACAACAAATTCGACGACGGGACCGGCCGGGCTTATCATTAATTTGTTTCTAATTGTCCGACTTATTTTCCAAAGCAGTTGATGGAGCAAAGTTGTAACGCCATGTCTTTTATTTCAAAAATTATGGGTACTTAACAGATCAAGCACAGTTAATCACGGACAATAAAATTCATTTAAAACTGTCGCTCCTGAATTTCCATCGATAACCGTTGGCGGAGGAAACCATGAGAACACGGCTCAGCAGTATGCAGGTGAGGTCGCTTACCGATTTCTTTCACTAAGGCGGTAGCTGACTTTTACCGTGGTCCGAGTGTTTCGAAAGTTATGTGCAGAGAAGTACCTGTACCCACCAGGCACGAGTACCGTCGCGCTTTTTTATCTTGGGACTGAGTTGCGGCGGGTCCGACTGTAACTGACGTAGATTTGTACTGAGACAGGGCGACAGCATCTACCTACTGTACACAGGTCCCATGCCAAGCCCAGATCGCGTTTCCAGGCGCAGGTCATACATCAATCGGGGCGACGATCTGATGTGTGGGACGTTCCCCTGGACTCCAACTTAGCAGGGATGCCGGCTGACATTATTAACCGGCACACAATACTGTTCAAGCCGCCATGACGTGGGTGTCTTCCGGCTGCCGGTGGCTGGATGTCATATTTCTGTATTATCATTCCTAATAATATCTGGTGGCTGGTACGTACCCTTCAGAGCGTTAGATTTAGAGGTCATAAGGAACCCCACTCATATATTAAGTACAAGATCTATACTACGCGCCCCATAGTTTTGAGATCTCCATAACCATAAAACTTCTGGAAAAACGGACAACGCCATTAGATCCGGGATAGTTCAGAAGTGGCCGGCATGTGTTTTTTTTTTATGAAAATATCGAGCCGGTATCAAGCCGGCATCAAGACCAGATTGATCAACCCATCATAAAGGTCACCTTGAAACTTAGAAATATTTGCCCAGATACAATACAAAATACCAATTGACATAATTATCACACTAATTAAACCGAAAAATAAATAAATTATTGTACTTATTCAAACACTCGCGTTATTCAAACACTGCTGCCGGTGTTGCCGAGCTCGAAACACGTTTAAAACCAACCGATATAAAATGTAAAAATATCAAATATAAAATCAATACGAAAAATCACTGGACGAGTGAGTGACCGAAACACTATCACCGAATCACTACCACTATCACTATCACCGAGCGGAATCTCTAGATGAGTGGGTGACCGAGCTACCACCACTGACCAGTAAGAAAAATCACTAGACAAGTGAGTGACCGAAACACCTTCACTGCCCACTGAGCGAAATTTCTAGGTGAGTGAGTCATCGAGCGGGCTTTGCTCTTGCTCACCTAACGGGCTCTGTGCACTGGACAGTAGTTGTAGCAGGGTCACATCCTCACCTAGCGATTTTTCTCCTTACTTAGCGATATTTCTTACTGGACAGGTTGAGCTCGGTCAGTCGCTCACCTAGTGATTGAGTGCGTCAAAAAATCGCTAGGTGAGTACGTGACCGAGCTATCACCACTGTCCAGTGCCCAGAACCCGTTAGGTGAAAGAGTACCGAGATACCACTACTGTCCAGTGCACAAACTCCGTTAAGTGATCTAGTGACCGAGCTACCACTACTGTCCAGTGCACAGATCCCGTTAGGTAGATGGGTGACCAAGCTACCAATACTGTCCAGTGCACAGAGACCGTTAGGTGAACGCGTGACCGAGCTACCACTACTGTCCAGTGCACGAACTCCGTTAAGTGATCTAATGAGCGAGCTAGCACTACTGTCCAGCGCATAAACTCCGTTAAGTGATCTAGTGACCGAGTTACCAGTACTGTCCTTTGCATAGATCCCGTTAGGTAGGTGGGTGACCGAGCTACCAAAGCTATCCAGTGCACAGAGCCCGTTAGGTGAACGTATGACCAAACTGCAATATTACTGAGCAAAATAGAGCAGCGCCTGCTAAGTTCTTAATGGGTGACCTATCTAGCACCACTGTCCAGTCTTAGCGTCCTTTTAGTTTGTAATGTGATACTCTCGTGGATGATTAGATTCGGATGGTTTTTCGCTAAGAAAATTTAACAAAAAATGATCTGTAAAGTCAAAGTAATTGCGTTCGACTGCACGAAACCAAAACATCCATTTTTTTATAAAATTTTTGTTATCGGGCTCTTCAGATTTATCCGTTCTAAGTTAACAATCCGTAAACTGGCCAAGGAGTTTAGAACCCAAGAAACGCGGAGGCGAAGCCGAGGCTGTTTTTCGTACACTGTATATGAATGAATTCGGCTTAAACAAATTGATTGCTGGCATGTTTCCCGCGCCAAATAAGTGTTTTATTCACTTCCATTACACAGCTACACTAAATTGTACGTTCAATAAGAAACATCGCGCAAATACAGCAAATAAACTTTGATTAGCATTACTCGCTCCAAGAAAACCGGCATTAAAGGGAGGCAGGTGACATGTTTTGAGCAACTTTTCCTGCGACGTTTGAGCGACTTCATGTAGTTTTCTGTGAGAACTTTATAAGCTTTCTTGAGTGTCCTTTTTCTTACTTAGACTGATTGTGAGAATAATTGAGTAATTGCAAATTCAGAATCCAAAGAAACTAAAGAACTGTAATTTCTTTTCGGATGATTTTTGTGCCTATGCGTCCATGCATCCTCAAACCAGTTTTTACAAAACATAACTGCGCACTTAAATAAGGAAGTATAGAATCTGATTGCCTTGACAGTCCGGTTTATGAGTAGATCACTTCTTATTACTGGGTACTTATGTGACACTTAATGCTGCGATCATTATTTTTTTGGTATACTGGTGCACTATACACTTCCGCTTCAATGCATGTAATGCATATAGCATTGCATGCACAGCCATGCAGTATAAAGATAGTGCCATAAAATGGCTTAACGGATATAAAATTTATGTTTTTACGCATCCAGCTACTGAACGCAGGCTTTTTACGGTACAGTACCAGACTTCCACGTGTTCGCAAACAAAGAAATGCAACGGAGGGTTTTTCTCATTTTGCTAATGAGTATCTCCATCAGCGGCCAAGCCAACAGCGGTGTCAACGTGGATCCGCAGCAGCGGAACACCAGCAACCAGGGGGTCAGCGGCAACCCCGGCATCCCCTTTGTAACGATGTACAGTTGCTTCCCGGAGTTATTCAGGAAGGCCTACACCAGTCTGCAGCAAAATATTAAGAGATGTGATAACAACTGTGATGTTAATGCAACGGAACGGTGCAATAGTGTGGCGGGCCGATGTGATTGTCTGCCGGGTTCAACTCGCACATCTATTACAGAAAAATGTCAAGGTGGGCTTACACTATTACACAAACAAAGTCAAGTCAGCATTTAATTTTCAACGTATATGTTTAGCATCCGTCCAGCAAAGCCTTGGACTAACTATTTCTGGATTGTGCGGGAAACCGTTTTTATTCCAGTCTTACATGTCAAATTTCTCAACCAGTCACTCAAGAGTTAGCGGTTATTGTGTGCAATGAAGTAAGTGCAGAACATTATGGCTGTATATGTATATATACCCGTATATTTACATTCCGTTATTTTATACAATAACATGCATATTAAACAATAAGCCAGACCTTTGCCATCACCTTGCAGAATTATTGGTAACAAAAAAGTCATGCCGAGAAAACAGATAAATGTCGAAATAAAATACTGTAAATGAACAGAATGCAGCTGCACGAGTACTATAGTGTATATGGTACGTGAGCGAAGGTGCCTTGTGATCATCATGTAGCATTTCAGATGGAGCAATTACTGAACAAATCCGGCTTATCAGCAGGCCAGTATAGTCCCGGGTCGTGTAACCCCAGCAGCTTTTCCCCCGAAAATGGTGTGACGAACGTCGGCCTGGCCTTCGTATCTGCTACACGCGACGATGGCGCTTTACCAACCGAACTGGCCACGGCGTTGGAGGAGGCGCTCAGTAGCAATCATGGCGCTGTTGGAGGGGATGCCGGTGGGCTCAGAGTGCGTCTGGCCCTGTCGAGCGGATTGGGGAGAACTACGCCCATTTCTCATTCAACCTCCGCTGGAGGTTGGATACATGGCGATTCTGATTGCGCAGAAAAACGAAATCAATAAAAAAGTTATCTGCATGGTTTTTGGTAATATAAAAACTATTTTTAATCCAGAAACAGCCGTTGCTTCCTCGTTGGCCTGTATGAAAACATAATTTTGGTAGTTACACAATAAAATACATTCATTTAATTTACGGAACACATCTTGTTTGTTGAATGAAGGAAGTATGGAATGCATTGGCAATGGAAGTAGTTCTAGTAGATAGGTATACAAATTATTGTATAATTGTAATATCTCACAGCGCGCAAAAAAGGTTGAAGAATTACAGAGTTGTACTGAATATCAGAACAAAACTACTATGTTTCATTAACTGCTATTCTCGATTTATATATTGTTATATAGCAGATTTTTTTTTATATTGGTTCATCCTTCATTGTACTGTATTGGCTATTTGGCTTTATGTGAATCATATGGCAGTGTGCGCACTGAAGCGGAAGTATTTAGTGCAACTAAAAAACAGTCGTACAATTTAAGTGTTTTATTAAGCTATTAATGAGAAGCGCTGTAATTATAAAAGCAATCTTACTGCCAATGCGATCCATACTTCCTTCGCTATCCATACAGATTGTGCTTCATAAAAACCATTTCTTATACAAATGCTCAAAACATTAAAACATCCTTGACGACAAGGTCAATGACATTCTCAGATTCCACAATTTTTCTCTGGCTTTTAAATGTTTTTGTTTTTTTTATCCATTTTTCACCGTTAAAAACAGGCGACCTCACATAGTCTGAGACCTAAATTTTACTTTTAAAAAATGACCAGCATAAGAGCCGAAAATCACGTATAAAAATAAAAACACAGCGACGGAAGCCTGTCATTTGCACAATCGAGTGCCTCTGTGTACGCAATTACCTCAGTACGAGTACACACAATTACAAACGCATTTTTTTATTCAAGATGATTTTTTACCTGGTCAAAGATATACGCATTAGAGGATGCTAGTAAGACGCAGTACTTAATATTTTAACATTGCGTGCGATACAAGGAAGTGGATGTGGACTAGAGCATAATTAAGTACACATACCTAATTACTAGGCAGTTTGAAATGTAATTTATGCCCGCAATGAAAATTGTCGTACACATTTCCTTTTGCATCCAAATGAACCGAAGTTGCCTAACAAGTTTGCCATGTCTCAGTTTAGTATGCCATGGTGCGACTGAACAATCCTGGCCAAAATAAGAACAACTGCAGCAGCGGGCGTTCACTCTACACAACTGTCCTGAGCGATCACCATCATCATTTGAGTTTTTTATTTGTTGTATCTAACAATCCAGTACCATGGTCCACCTTGCTGATTTTCTTATAGTCCTTCTTGCTTATTCTCATTTCGTCCAAGGTAACATGTGGGTAAACTGATAAGGGATCCTTCTGTGTTGACTGCTTATTTATAATCAAAACCAACGTTTCGCATAGGTCAAATAAGCCACGGCTTCGTTTACGGTGCTGGAGCAGCATCCAGCGTAGGAAACGTGCAGGTCAACAGTAACAGTCAGGTCCAAAACACGTTCGGCAACGGGCTGCCGTCGGTGTACAGAAAATAACGATAATGTTTGGATTGGTAAAACGTCAAAATATGCCTATCGAAACGGCAGCCGGTTTGGCGACTGTTCTAATGGGTAATGTTAAACATCAGGCGGATGATGCAAAAGTGAATACGCGGATCTACTTTCTCCCGAGCGCACAGTCGGTATTCGCTCAACAAGGCATTGTGTACCTCAGCATATCGCTGTGGACCAGCCCCAATCCAAGCATTCTTGCCAGTTGTCACGCTGGTTCCGGGCGACAAACGGATTACCAGGCCTGATAAGGAGGCGAACGGTTGTTGCGGTGTTATTGAAAACCGAGCAGTAGAGTCGCACCTGATTAGTCAACATTATCATTCTTACGTAAAGTTCAACTGACCAGAAAAGCTAAGTCCTGTACTGTACCATGTTGCCTGGCCCCCATGGTGTGCAGCACGTTAATCCGCCACTCAAATTGCGCAATATGAGCCGCAATTTTTTCAACTTATGGTAAAAGTTAAGTAAACAATTGCACAAAAATGATATTTTTCGTCAAGTATCGGGAATAATCAACTGTGCAGTCATTTTATTACCACGAGATATGTGTTGCTTCGATTAGCTGTACAGTCTATACTTACCATTTATACTTAGAGCAGTCGCTCAATTAAAGATTGCTTAGTCAATTGTTCGATGTTGCAATATCGATGAATCGGCAAATTGCAGGCTACAGCTGCTGGAACTTATCGTGATTCGCTGGGCTGTAGTGTAGAAAACCCACCTTTGCCGTAGTACGTATTTGTGACTCGTGCATCAATGAGTGATCAAGTGCTGTGTGCATTGGAAACAACTACTGCAGTCCCGATAGTGTAGCTTTTGACCTCCGTGTCAATAGATCAATACAAATTATTTGTCCTACCTTTAGCTGTCCTGCCGTGTTGCTTTCCGACAAATACCTTCAGCGACGCCGTCACAGGGTTTATCGATGCAAATGTCAACAGCGAAGTACTGATCAACCTTGCTCAGGAATCATCTTGCTCTTTGACATATCCATCTTCCCGCAAAACTTGGCAGAATACAAAAGTAATATTGACATACTGCGCTTGTGGCTCAGCAGCTGCCTGTGATATTTCCAAGACTCACAGATGGTAGTAGTGTGTACCTTCGTTTGTACCTGGTTGTGGTCTTAATGCTGAGATATTCCTAACAATTTGTAAGCACGAGGACGGAGTGCTTTAATGCAACTGCCTCGCCAACAAAGTTCGTTAGCTGAAAGTTTGTGTTGTTGGTAATACCGATGAGAAAATACGTCGACACGGATGCCATTGATTTTCGCCATTTATTATTTGCCACCTTGGACATGAGCTTATGTGGTGCAGTTGTTGGAAACAGTATTGGAGGATAAGCACATTGTCAGGTTGAGAAGTACGTATTTACAGTCATCTATGCACTGAACTGTCATAAATAACACCTATCTGTACATACGTTAACATTTAAATGCTCTTTGACTGACCCACGCAGTTCCGATTGGTCAGGTTGACAAATGGAGAAACCTTTCAATTCTTCGGTCCGTCGCCGTACGTGGACACTCGGATCCCAGAATGATGTTAAGCCCGTACCCACACCGTCAACAGTCACAACGGCCCCCGCCCGGTGTTTTCCAGGTGCTTTCCCACGATTACACCCTAATAACTGGCGGTTCTGGAAACATCGATATTTCCTTTTTCTCGGCGCTCTGGCCCTGATCGCAATAGTTGTGATGCTGGAGATGGCCTTTGTGATTGCCGATTCGGAAAAAGCCAAAAAGGTTACGCTACGTAAAGCGACGACGGTGCAATACAGTCACTGCGAAAGAATGGAATTACTGGGATATTTAGCCACGATGGCTGGGCAGTGGAATCTGGCAGGCGCATCTGATAAAAATCAGGTCAAAGCGTTCCACCTCCATTTCACAAGGTGAAAAATAAAAATTAAGTAACAGAACTGTCAGAACATAAAGGCGTATCTGGTAGGACGTAATTGTTAGCATTTCAAAATTCCTTTCTGTCCATCGATTTGACTAAAGGTTTAACGTACCGCTTAACGTACCGTTTGCACTTCAGCTAAACGTTTTTTACTTTCACGGTATAAATATAAATTAATTTTGTTCCGATCGTTGACAGCACTGCATGCACGACATTGCGTAACGTAACCACTGATGAGGCTTATTTCGAGGCTTTTAATTCCGATCAGCTGCATCGGTATTAGGAGTGTCAAATAGACTTTAATTATACGGTATCTCATAAGTGTTGTCTTGTTTTATAAGGTACGGGTAATTTATAGTTGCTGGTACTGAATCCAGTCTGCACTGTATAATTTCTATTGCATGCTTATGCAGCATACTGTACACCTTGCAAATTGCAGGTACAGAAATGCCAGCTCCAAATTGCGTGTAAATTCGTGCCTCAAGGCTAGCCCGTAAAAAACTCACTAACATATGTTTAATATCATAAACAGAAAACAAGCTAAAAGTTTGAATTCAAATAATTTGTATTTGAATTCGTACCACTGCCGAGAATTATTTCGAGTAATCTGTAACATTGCAGACCTAGCGGTGCCGATGGTTCCCGTTCAGTAGCTAATCCTGGATTACATGGACCCCATTCAAACCGTTCGGAGACACTAAACAGCTGTCCATCGTCGTTTACTGAATCTCTTCAAGCTTTCACGGAAACATGCGGCCCGGTACATCGGACTGTACCTAATACCGCAAAACCGTACCTAGTACCGCAAAATGGCAACTACAGCACAACTCCACCACCGATTAATGCTGACCTTTTACGGCTTTGGGATTGCACTGCGCGATACTTACGGATAGACTTCCAGGTGCAGAATTCATCGCAGATGTTCCATCTGACGGGAGTTTGCACTGCACAATACCGAGATTGGTCAAGTTCGTTCGATGCTGTGCTGGGTAAGCTGAAATCCCCCTGATAACGTGCCAAGGCATTGCCCATGTGATTAAGTTGAAGGTGCCCACTGCTCGGCGCTTTCAACTTTTGTGGAGCAATTCATGGTTACAAATTGCGAGGGCTTCATTTTATAAAAGCTTTCTGCTAACTGCAGTTAGTTTAACTGAAGTATCTGCTAATCAAAAACGTTCGGGGGAAACGTTCTTGCCGTGTCACCTCTCACCATGACATGAAGGACCGGAAAGCTGATTTTTCGATCAATAGATGAAATATAGAGACTTTACTGTTAAAGAAGGATTTGGTAAACGAAATTGATTCCATATTAAAGGACTTACTTGACAAATGCAGCTTTTGACTGCATTTTTTGTTAATTAAGTGCTTGCTTTAGATATCAATTTAGCGTTGCCGGTCACGTAACGTCCCGAGCAAAATGCAAATTTTATGTCTGCAAACGAGTTTGATCAGAGGAAACTGTATTTTCGCGGTAGAGCTGTTTGACTGAACAAAATTTTTCAATATATCGATCTCCTGACTTGTAGAGCACCTAACGGTAACAAGGGAGCACACGGAACTGCTCTTGCACAACGCATCTGTATTTGATCTACCGCCCAGTTCCACCAGTCCTGAATACTTCAGCCGCTTATCCGCTCGGTTGCTGGCAGTCCAGTCTCGGGAAGGGCATTTGCTGTTTTGCCAACTTCAGCAACTGGAAGGCGCCAGACTGTCGTCCGGTGGTAGTGCCGTGCGCATCATTATCCTCGTGATGGTACTTCTGATTCTTCTTCCGGTGCTGTCCTATTGGAACTGGAAACGCTTGCGAGAGGAGACCGTTAAATTAACAAACCAGCTCCAAGAGGCAATCGCTTCCCGGCGAGCCTTGAAGGCGGAGAAGATGTGCGCGGACAACCTGCTCTTGAAGCTTTATCCGGAGTCCGTAGCGCAGAGTTTGATCAAATTCATCCCCATTCAACCGGAAACATTCGACTCGGTTACGGTTTATTTCTCCGATATTGTCGGTTTCAAAGAACAGATATCAGCAATATCAACTCCGCTTGAGGTTAGAGACAGTTGGACAATAAACAACAGAAACTGAAAACATTTTTTATAAAGGACACGACGTTTTTGGCATCCGGGCATTTTCACAATATGGATTGCATGGATTCCGAACACGGTATTCTCCGCGTTGTTCCCCATGGCATTTTTTTTCAAAAATTAATTACCTGATAATAATTTCACCGTTTTTATGTAAGCTTGTACAACAGTAGATTAATAAAAAATTATCAAGTTTTCTAATGTGGAACAACGCATAGAACTCCGTGTCGCTGGTACCGGTGCACGAATTCAAAACTGAGAAAATGTCCGGAATGAGAAAAACGTCGGAATACTTACGGATCAGCTTCTGGTGATAATTGGAGTCACGGAACTGGAATTTTGACCATGCTTACATAAAAGCAGAAACGAGATTGCTGTAATGTATTTCAGGTGGTGGCTTTCCTGAACGCACTGTACACAAAGTAAGCAATCTCGTCGTGCGGTGTAACTGTAGGCTGATTTAGCAGAACCATATGTTGAGACATTCAGCAAAGACATGAACTGTAACTAGCGTTGAGCTCTCTAGGTTTGACAACAGAATTGATTTCTACGACGTGTACAAAGTGGAAACAATAGGTAACCTCATTGTTTGAATATGGAATATGGAATATATGGATGCTCACATTCTATTGACATTATTATGTCGTTGTCTAATGCAGGTGATGCGTACATGTTGGTATCGGGTCTTCCAAGGCGCAATGGCCGACGACATGCCGGTAAGCAAGAATTCGTACTTTTTAAAACCAAGATATACATGTATCGATCTGAACCAATTGCCAGCTTTCAGTACGACTGTACGAGTGCTGTGCTTTATAGGAGAAATCGCCACGTTAGCACTGGATTTTCAGCACCTTGTTTGGGATTTTCAAATTCCCCATATGCCTGGTCAAAAATTACTGCTACGGATAGGATTCCATTCGGGGATGGTGATGGCGGGGGTACGGTAATGTTTCTTTATCCGATCACGTCCTTATAGGCTGCCTCGGTCACGCCTTGGTCCACAGAGTGTCATTTGTTGACCTTCGTTTCGCTCCAATCAGCCACTACTTTAAAGTTGAGAAAACTTGTGAATGACGTTCCAGGTTGTGGGGTTGAAGATGCCGCGGTATTGTTTATTTGGGGACGCTGTGAATACGGCCAGCAGAATGGAGTCTACGGGAGAAGGTACTCGTAGTGAATGTTGCCATCTAGCTAATATTCCTGTTAATTTTTTTGAATGCATTTGCCATAAATTATTTTGCATCCAGCTCGATATTGAAGATTTATAGTCATAAATTGCTACCGGTCATCTCTCGAGACCAACATGAATTTTCTCAGTCGCTGTGCGTTAATATATGTAATTTTTCACTAAATAATGGTTTTAACTGAATAGTTAAGACCACCCTACACCATTATCTGGCGTACTTGGTGACTAATGTCAGAGTTCACATTTTCCGGTTATTCTCCGCAGAGCTGAAAATTCATCTGAGCGAAGCTTCGAAGGTACTGCTAGATGAACTGGGCGGCTACTACGTGGAGTACAGAGGGGAAACGCAAGTTAAGGTATCAATGTTAATTACCTGAAGACTGAAGTTGATATATATTCAATTTTTTCTCTCTTACGCGTTCATTATCTGACAGAAGGAAGCAGCGTTTCCTTTCAGTCGTTGTGAGCATATGAATTGAAGCAAGTAGCACCCCAGTTCTTATTTTATGCTTACGAAGAAAGCATAAATGCACGAAGAAAGTATAATGTACAGATAGTCGCATTTGACTATGCGCGTCGCATGCAAGCTTGTCACACTCGCGGCGCTCAGACTGTAGCGAACCTCTCGGAGGCTTAGATTTAAATTGTCAAGACCTAAAATTGTTTTCACTCTTCAAAACTTTTTCTTTCTTTACAGGGAAAAAATGTAATGAAGACTTACTGGCTGACTGGAAAAGAAGATCTTCACTTCGATACTGAGAAGGAGGGTTTTTGCACTTACCGAGAAAGATGAATCGAAGCGGCGGATCGAGTGGAGATTTATTTATATGTGCTCCGAATCACACTATATGTAACGATAAACCTAAATTTGACTAATGGAATAACCCGCCGTGCATGTACAGTTCATACGCACAACGAAGATGGTAGACTGCCGAAAAAACGTATGCTTATTTCTTGCACCCCGTCGTAATACTCGTAAAAGCTGATATGAACGTTTTGACTTTTGGACCACCTGATTTTGCGGCTAAAGAAACCAGTGTTAGTAATCTGACTAATATGTAAGTTTTAAATACAGAAGATTCTGTCTCTCTCCGCGTTCGAGTGCGGAACACAATATCTGATTAACAACGCTGTCGAATAACAGTCCTCCATATACGATTACATTCGATTCGTAATTCCTGTATTTACTTATATGGCATTCTGAGTACCGTACTTCAGCTGTGATGCTGTGCGTGGCGCGCTAAACATGATTAGTCTGTCATGTCATAGCTCGCCAACTAATTACTGCCTTGGAGCCATTAGAAGTGGTTTTACAGAGAACTACGAGGCGCCGTACTGTACCGCTTCTTTGATCCAACGATGTTTGGTGATGAAAACTGAACGCAGCATATATATGCACATCCTTAGCTATCCCTGAATAATCGCGGAACACCCATGCGTCCAGTATGGGCGTCCCGGGTTAGAATTAGACACGTCCTTAAAGATAATTGGTGAAGGAGCGGGCAAGCGCAACCTTTATAAAATCAGTATAACTCTAGCAGATTGCGGTGATCAGATTTCTGATCATGCCGCTGTTTCTTTGAATTTCGAAAGCAGAAGCACGGTAAGAATGTATATATAAAGCTGAGCACGGATGAATATCGGCTTACGACTATTAGCATTTGGTTTGCTTTTGCGTTTTCTTATGCATTATTATGCGTTTTCTTATGCATTGTTATGCATTATTTTGCTGCATCTGTGCCGGATCAATTTGTGATTTCGGAGAAAAGTTTAATTTTAAACGGAAATGGTATTTTGCAGCTTCCCCAATGAATTGTTTTCCGCCCTTCTAATAATCTAGAGCTTAACTGTCAAATTTGCCGCCAGTAAATGCCGCGCCAATTTATTACTTTTTCCAAAGACTGTAGTTGCAACTCACTTTACTGTATCAAATAAAGGGCAAAAAGCTCGTACTCTAACAAGCTGTGTCTTGTCACAGTACGAGAGAGTATAGCAAGTACAGTGTGACCGTGGTAACAAACCAGCCCATGTTAGCCTTATGACATCCATGGTAACAAGATTTTGAGTGACCACTAGCCACAGGATTCTTAAGACAGCAAAAGGTTATTAGTTTCACAACACCCGCCGCCCTGAGAGGATTCTAAAATATTTTGAAGCAGGAAAATCGGATTAGTAGGAGCTGAAATGAGGCGGGACAATGAAGAGAGGCCGAACACCTGCTAGAGATGTTTAGTATTGATATAAATAATTATGGGAATGACTGAACATTCACATACAGATTGAAACAATCAGCTACCATCACTACTTGCCGATTACGCTCGAAGTCATAAATCTGAAACGTATGTAACCGCATACCACAAGAAACGGGGAGGAGAAGCCGAAGCTGTTTCCTGCATTATTATAGGTTACAGCCCTATGAAAATACAGATATACTATAATTATAAGGATAGGCATAACCACTGCAGCAGGTTGAAAGCAAGCATCGCCGCCGGGCATAATTACAATTCTGCATCTATCCAGGTAAGGTGAGATTTGTTGCATCACCATATGTAATTTGCGAAGTAGATGTCAGAGTTTCGACTTTGAACATCAGCGTCTCCATATCTATTTTCATATCGTGCGTCTGGTAGATGAGCACTCCATAACCCAAAGCGATTCCGGCCAACTAATAATATCATGTGACCAAATGACGACATCCATTAATTTCCTCATTGGAGAGTTATGCACGTTACTTACCGCGGGTACAAATTGCTTGTCGATTCGCAAAAATCCGCCGATGGTAACGGCGCGATCGTGCATGCTGCATAGCTCCAGCAGACGATCAAATTTGGCTTGCAATGGTTTACCGTAGAAATGGGTCCCGGTCTCGAAAAGCTGCTCTTGAAATAACGATGCCTACATTTCCAAAGAAAATATGCGATCGTCAAGACATATTTCACTGGCACTTCAGCTTGCACATTTACACCACGAATCTGTTCGTTAGGCGTCACATAGTTCATATACACCAGACTACCTCATCATAAACGAGTGGTAAATCTGTACTTCGATCACGATAAAATCGCTCTTTGCGGCGACCTTTCAGATATACGAGTATTATTACGTTGTCATACATCATACCTCTTCGCTACAAGAAATCCCGATCCAGTACTTCATAATGGCGTTGGCAACCCCGACGCCGCCTACAATGTGCACGACACTTTCATCGACGATTTCGGTTAGACTCCGTTTCCCGGTATCCAAAAGCGTGACTAAGTAGCCAAATACAGCCGCCACACTAATGAGTTCCTTAATGAAAGTGATCAACAGAAACCAGGAAAATGCTCTGTCAGTGGCGCTGATTAGTAGCTGCAGGTGTCGATATTTCAACTCGATATTATCCAGTCCCGTTAAGGTGTTATCGGCTCGTTGGGCTAACTGGCGCACCTCCTTCCGTAGTCGATGGAACAGTCGTCGAACGCGCAACAGAGTGGCCAAAAACAAGCTTTGCGGGACAATTTCCGCATTGGCTGCCAATGCCATAGCGGCGAACATCGTGGCAGTGACTTGATAATTCTTCAGACGCACAACCGATAACATCGTCGATGTGGTGGACCAATCATAGTCGCGTTTCAAACGCATAAGATGGGTGTTCATCATATAAACTGTTACGATAAACGCAGCTATGTACAGCACATTCCATGTAATCAAAATAACGTTTCCTAAGCTGAGTTTGCGGTCTGAAAAATAAGACGCCAGTGGAAGGAGTTTCTGCTGCAGTTTGGCTGTTTTTCTCGAGTTGCGGTTCAGTACGATGATCAAGAGCACGGGCTGAAGAAACAAGTTAACCATAAATATTACGCGAATCAACGTGAAGAATTCCAGGTCTCGCAGATCGCTGCTATTGTTAGTGGTATACGCCACAATGGTGTTGACAACCCATATAAGTGGGACGCAACACAAGCAAAGGGACCAGCAGACCAGAAAGCGGCTTCTCTTGATCTTACAGAGTGGGACGTCTTTTTGAAGATCACCGAAGAGATATGGAAACAATCCCGACACTTGCATCCAGCGGAAGAAAAGCTTCAAGAACGGCATTTTCTTCAAGTACAGCACTTCTGCTAACGAAGTCCTCGACTACTGAAACAGGTTTCAGTGTGTTGCTAATAATGCCGCAAAGCAACCCTGCAAAATACTTTGTAATTCACTACGATAATAAGCGGTAACGTTTGCGCAGATTAAGTACTTCATGCAATATTAAATACCTGTCATGCGACGCACGTCAATAAATGGCGACCGCCTGTGTCCATAATATGAGAAATCGAATGCTTATCGAAACTGATCGATATTAGCAGCAATTAGCTGCCAATGTCAATCTTGGCTGAACACTGCGACATATACTGCAGACCGTAATAGAGCGATACATGAAATTTCTCGTTACTAGTTGATACTGACCATGGTGAGAGTGTACTTGTGGGCGAGATCCTGCTTTCGTACTGCTTAACTGCTCGACAGCCGGCAGACCCGATTGAGCCGGCTGTCGAGGAGATTATTTTTGATTGGCTGTCTGTAACTTTGTCATGACAGCTGCGTTTTTGTATTGCACGGAAAACTTCCTCTACTTACCGCTTTTCTCGAGAATCTTACTGCTTCTATCCGGAACCAGAAATGATTAAGTATTCATGACATCGTCGCATCGATTACTGTAGTTGGCAATGTCAATCTCGGTGGAAAAGGGCGGCAGAGCACTGCATAAAATTATAAAAACGATACGGTTTCTCGTTGCTGCTGTGGATTATGCACCAATCAATAGTGAAAATGCAGGCATTTTTTGCAGCTTCTTTATTTTTAACAGCACTGTCGGTTTTCCATCAGCCGGCTCTTTTCACGGTACCGGCAGTACTTATACTCGGTATGTGAACTTAGCGCTGGCAGAAGCTAATTGTCACCCAGGCGGTAATTGTCTTCGAAACAGTTCTTTTTGACATATTATCATCAGTTTATCCGAAGGAAACCATAAGAGTCATGCACTACAAGGATCACGCTGAATGCAGTAAAAAATTTCAGTGTAGTCAGGTCGCTCTTGTTGGTGCTATGTTGGTGTAATGCAATGTGCTGTGGTAACTGTAGACGTTGATGGTTTGATAATAATACTGCGCATCCTACTCGAACACCAACCAAATCGGCATATTCCGACATCTTAAGAGTCAAAATCGTTCGTTATTTCACAAACACATAGGTTACGTTATTGGGCAGACAATGCAGTCAACGGCTAATTTCTTTCTAGCTCGTAAAGGAAGACAATAAATCCACTGCAGCTTAGCAGAATCTGTGTGACAGAATAGCTGGTTTATGTATTATTGGTTGAGGTCATTCAAATATTGAAATGCTCTTTCACAGTAACTGTCTAGGACGTTGCAGTAGGCCACGAGTAATTCTTCATGCACCTGCACAGCTTGTCAGCCTAAAACCGAATTTAAAGCTGTTTCGCAATGCCAAAGTACATGTACAAATTTTATCTGTATCCATTTAGAAATTTATCAGTACAGCAGTATGCGTAAAAAAGTACCGTTTTAGTTACTGTAATCGTAAGTGGAGATTAATAATATGAGATCCCATATAAACCCGTGAACTTCATACATGCAGGCACGAATCAACTCTTCGAAGCGTCCCACATATGTTAGCCAAGTGCACCAAGATATCACATGCAAGGAACGTACGCCAGAACAAAATGATAACCGTATTGTTGTATTCACTGAATGCACTGCATATCCGTGTGCGCAGCTCGCGAAATTTCCAAATCTTCTCCGCATATGGTGATGATATCAGACGTTTCTTTTCTAGTTCCCCAACAGCATTGTCCACGCTTAACGCAGCACTGAAGAGCGGTAGTGAGTGCGTATACGGTATACCACACGCACCCTGCAGATAACAGCTATCGATGCAATCTGCAGAAATTTCCCGGAGGTGTACGAAGGAAATGCGATGATTATGCCAGAGGCGATCTTGTTCTTACCGGCATTATCCATTGCGGCACATGAAATGGTTTTAGCGTAATACTTGCATACCGTTCTAAATCCTCGTTATCACGGTTAAGGCCTAACACTCGGAACCAAAAATAGCGTAGGGAAATAAAGAGCACCATGGTTAGGTAAAAGGCACGTTTGATTCAAAAGGTCAATGGTACTTTTGCTAACTCTTCGTATTTCTTGCTGTTGATTTGCTTGGTGAAATCGCTAATGATCTCTTTTAGCCACGGAGCGTTACGGTCCACTAGATAAACGAGTGCACATCCAGCAACGCTTTCGACTATCCAACGGTGATGATAGATAATCTGACAAACGGCACCGCGTTCGACTACCCAAAGCGAAAAAAAGTTGATAGATAATCTGTAGAACCGGCGACCCCGGAAAAACCTTTTGTAGCGGACACATGGCTGATCATAGCGGCGACATCGTCGTTTACCAGCACGGAAACAGATGCGAGAAAAAGCAGCAAAAGCGCAACCGAGCAGCTGTTAAAGCTCTCTGGTTGGCGCACGTCAGTTCCTATTACCGCCTGTGTCCATAATACGAAATCGAAACCAACTGATCGACATTAGCGGCAAGAAACTGCCAGTGTCAAACTTGGAGACACTGCGACGTATCTTTGATGCAGAAATTCTATACTCAGCAGAGATGCGGCTTCCTGTTTCTGTTGTTTCTAGTTCATACTGCAAATTCAGGAGTTTAAAGCTTGGTTATTTTCAACGATAACCGGCTGTAGCGCAAATTATTCAGTGTGATTCGCTGTCCCTATCTTTGTCATAACAGCTGCTTGATGGTATCAGTACTGAACAGTGCCTGGCATTGTTTCTAGAAATTAGTTAGACCGATTGGCGGGATTGTGGAAGAGGCAATGGTGAAAATATGAAACCAGAAAACATAACGTAATGCCTAATACGTATACGAACTATCAAAACTATGTATTCGATCTAATGTGGGAAAGGGCTTCTGCTCCAGTTTAAAATGTCCGGCACAAATCGAATCACGCCGACGATAGCGATGTCCGTCATACTAATTTTATAAAGCGCTAACCACGGTAAGATTTCCTAGCCGTGATACGAACGCTGTGAAATCAGCGCTGGAAAGCAACGCCCGCATATCCGCTTTCATATCATGCGTCTGATAGATGAGAATTCCGTAGCCCAGAAGGAGCCCGGCAACCTACACACCAAGTAATACAAGACAAATTCAGTTCTATTTTATTTTACTGTGTCTCCGTGGTCCAGGATGAACTCGTTTGCACGCTTACCGTTGGCACAAACTGTTTGTCAATGCTGAAAAATCCTCCAGTTGTTATAACGCAATCATGCTCGGTGCACAGTGACAGCAGCCGGTCAAATTTCCCTTGCAGAGAAGTTCCGTAAAATTGGTGAAAATGAGTTCCACTGCGAAAAGTTGTTGTCGCAGCAATATTACCTGGATGGCGGAGAATTCGGAAAAATTTAATAGTCAGTTTTGGTTGCTTATCGTAACAGTCAGCGGTCACAGCATACACTACTAAAAAACACTGAAAATGTTACTGTAGATACCTCTTCATTGCACCGAATGACGGTCCAGTATTTCAGGAAGGCATTCAAAATCACAACGCTGCCCACAATGCGCACGACATTCTCATCCACCGCCTCCGTCATGGTCTTCTGTCCGACATCCAGCAGCGTGAACAAGTAGCCCATCAATGCCGCAAACGCGACCAGTTCTTTCACAAAGACCAACAACAAAAATCCCGAAAATGCCTTATCAGCGTCCGTTATTAGTAACTGCAACCGGCGATACTCTAGTTCCACATCTATCAACTGAACTGTGACTTTTTCTGTGTCCGTTTTCTCCTGCACCATGCGTTGGAGTTGATGTCTTAACGTGCAAAATCCCGCGCGAACGTCCTGAAGAACCGCTAGCAAAATTGTCTGTGGGATAATTTCGCAGCAGGATGCATATCCCGCTGCCACCATGTACAGAGCGCATCCTGCATATGGCGGAATTTCCAGAGGAGTAAACAGTGTGAGCGTTATAGGTGAGGCCCAGCTAAATCTGTTAAAACTGACGATAGTACTAAACAAAGCATGAACAGCCCCAAAGGAAACCAGTACCAACAACCCATCCCAGATGAACAGTAAGCGGTAGCGGCTAACAGGAACTGCCACCCAGCCAGCAGCTGTTCTCGGTGTCATCAGGTTTTGGTAAAAAACCATCAGCTGAGTAGAAGAGAGATTAAAGACAACAACAAGGAGCGCAGGCTGAAGGTACAGGCTAAGCATGAAGATCATGCGGATCAGTGTAAAGAACTCCAGCGTGGCCAAATCGCTCCCGCTGAAGCTAATGCACACACTGATGCTATTGATCAAGGGAGCGAGGGAAATGCAGCCCAGGCCGATCGACCACAGAGTCAGCAGGCGGCTTCGTTTAGCATTTAGTCGAAGCGAGTGCAAGCGATATGGAAACAATCCGACAAGCTGCATCCAACGAAACAACGCCCGGAATAACGACATTATTGTGGCCGTTCGATTATCGACTGGTTAACACCGACTCAACAGGAAGTTGCCGTTTCAGACTAACAGTAAAATTCCCTAGTTTACATGGATGTGAATACCTGCAGGAGATCCGGTGGGCAGGTGGTTGTCATACATCCGAAGCAAATCCAGACAACAATAGCAACGCGTTTATATATACAATATCACCTGTCAAGTAAACAATATGACGGAAAGCTGCATAGATATACTGTACTTAATAGCCTTCCGCGAGGTGATTTCATCCGTTGATCAATTCGGTCGTTGAATATTGCCGTACGTCAGATAATCACTGGCTTTTGTAGAAGATGCGTCCCTGATACCTTCTAATCTCAATAGAAAGGTCAAGCATGATGCATCCATATTGTAAATGATTTTTTGCTACAGTACTCTGTAAGTACTTGAAAGACGTTACAAAACACAAGACATGCAAAATTAGCACTCCCATTTAACAATTTCCAAGGTCACGCAAATGTAGAGAATTGAACCTTGGCCATGCGTTAACTGTGACGACATGCTGGTACATTTCCAGTATAACGATGGGGATTCTATAACAAACACTGTCAACAGACTGTCACTGAAATATTATTGGTCGACCGCGTGCGTTACGTGTTTCTGCCCAGAATACGAAACTGAATACCGAACCATGGCATCAACCACTCTAACTGCCATGCCGGCAGCGAACTGCATAAACATCATGAAACCGATTTGGTGTTTTGCTACTTCTGTTGAATATGTACATATCGATACTGGAAACGTAGACATTTCTTTCGAGCCACCAGTTCTTTCACGGTAGTTTATTCTTTCATGTTCTACATGCTCACTTAAGGAAAGTATCCCGGTACACGGTACCAAATTCGTGTACAGATACATGCACAAATATGTAGATGACATTCTGCAGCTACTGTAGATGATTTGTATACATTAGCGTGAAAATCGTTTGTGCGCGCAACATCCGGTTCGGGAGTCATGACAGCAAGAAATTGAGTTACGTATAAGTGGAACTGTGGAAGTGTACTGTAGATGACTCATCTGTATTCTGTCCATTATCTAGTGCTAGCGTCCAGTGCTACACTTTAATGCTCAGATATATTTAATTATGTTCAGCTGCCATACTCATTCTAGACGGCCGAATTATGTACAGCATTCTGTCATAAACGACCATTTAAACTCGTGGAGAGAATAATGTGGTTGAGGAACAGAACTGTTAACCACAAGCGCATCGCACCGCAAGCGCAGTTTGAAATTTAAGTTGCACGAGGGATATCAGACAATGCTTCGAACAACATGATTCGGATTATAGTCATATTGGTCTTGTTATTGACGAGGGCTAATGAAACATATTACGCGTTATTTTTCTGGCTTTATGCGCTATAACTACCTTATTATCATCAGTGTCATACACGAAAAATGCAGGAAATGTTTCCGTATTAAGTTGTTAAATCAAAACTTGAGGTGGCCTAACCTTTTGCCACAATTACTGTCCGAGACAGGGTATATAAAAATGTTCTGTTGGCTACGCTATAAAATTGCTTTCGCACCCAGTGAATTGGCAATGAAATAATTGGAATCTCCTAAATTCTACAACCCAAGGGAACTGTATTTGAAATTATTCGTTGCGCTAATAGGTTTTCAACGTTTGAGCAAAAAAAGATTTCTAGCAATTCATGAAAAATTTTAATTGTGAGCATCAGAAAGGTACGCTTGAGTCGAGCGTTTACCGGCAAAAACGCGTCTGCCTACATTGAAATCCACTCCAGTCGGTGGCGGCAAGCTGCAGTCCAAGCAAAAAGCAGATTTTTTGTGATTCCTGTAGGTGGTGTTACCAGTGAAATCATTTCCATTCCGCTCTTCTGCGAAGGTTAAATATCAAGTGCTTTTAGAAGGTATATCGGTGCAATGCTACCGTGCTCAATCAACAAAAATTACCGATTCTTCTCAGTAAGCACTAAGCTGGATAAGGCATTTTACCGGAAAATATTTCGAGTGGTTCGAGGGAATTTCGAGTGGTTTGAGGAAATAGTGTCATGACTGCAAGATCTACGATCTGAAAAGCTATATAAGCATCAATATTTTCCTTTAGTAACAGTAACAAAAGTTCTGCTTTAACAAGCCCCACGATTGATTCTGTACTTTATCCATATTCAACCTTTTTTTCTCTAAAATGGCCGCTCGTTTTCTTTTCGCCGTTGCTGTGTTTGCAGGTTTGTGTGCGGTTGCACTGAGTTTCCAGGGTAAAGCGACGTTCTACCTTCCGGCGATGGGAGCCTGCGGAAAGGTCAACCACGAAGACGAGATGGTGATGGCCGTCAGCAAGCATCAGTACGGAGAGCACAAGAATCCCAACAAGGCACCCGTCTGCGGCAAGTGCGCCCTGGTCAAAGATGTGGAGTCCGGAAAGCAGGTCAAGGTCAAGGTGGTCGACCGCTGCGAGGGATGTGCCAGTGGCGCCATCGATCTGTCCCCGGCTGCCTTTGAGTCGCTGGCTCCCAAGGACCTCGGTGTCACCCAGGTCACCTGGAATTACGTGAAATGCTAGGTTCGCTGTGATTTGCCACGTTTCTTCCATGTTTTTTTATTCTTCTGCTAGATGCGTGTTATGTTCCAATGTGGCTACTCTGCCGCTTTTAATACTAGCGCTTTTTCCGTTTTTCCGCCCTTATAATTTTTTTATTTTTTGCATTCTAGATAGCATGCGAAGATTAAGAACTGGCAAACAGTAACAAAATATTAGAAACGAAACGCCTCCATTTATGCTTCTATCGGGCAAGGTATCCAGTACCCAACATAATAAGTAGCAAAGAGAAGTGTCTCCCCAAGATGCATTCAAATAAAAACCCAGGCTGTTGGGCTGGTAAAAACTAGAGATATATTAAGTATTGGTTTACGTAAACTTCAGGGTACGCGCAAGACAGAAAACATAATTCTGTTAAACGTTTAAACTGCAAGATGTCAACTCAGTATCAACCAACGGTCTATGTAATCGAACAAGAGTTTTCAGCAGCCCAAATGTCCACTTTCCTGCCGCAAGGCAAACATTGTGACTAGTGTTTCCTTCAAAAGTAGAGAAAACCCAGACACGGAAGCTATGACAAGCTAGAGGTTTGCAGTAGCATAAAGAAACCGATGCTGTCGAGCTGTAATTAATGATGCAAATAAGGGCATAGTAAATGTCTACTTGCATGACGCGAAGCAGGCAGTGCTACGTATTAATTCGTTCAAACGATAGTAAAAACAACGGAAGCTATAAAAAGTGCATAAAAGAACAAAGAAAACGAAAGTAGTGCAGTGTGCATGCCATGTATTAAACAGCATTGGTATAATATATTATCGTAACTTTATTGTGTCTTGTTGGTCAAAAAACTACTGGCTGCATGGAAGCTGAGGAATCGTTACTAGCGAGAACATGGATAACAGAAGAAGGTTGATAAGAAGACAATGACAAAAGACAAAAAAAGGAAATTATTGGAAGGGCAGGATACACATTACTTCATGTACTATAAACCTTCATTCAGGTTACAAGAGAAGGCGCTGATTCGTTCTTGTACGAATACACTAAGTAGCCTTTCTGTATTTGTTACACGAACTGCAGCTAATATAGTGAAATTGCAAATTATGAGTAGCAGTACTGCATGACCGCTGTAGCTACATGGATGTACAGAGTATTAGGTTACGAATTACGAATCTTCAGTACAATAAAAGAACAATAGTTCTATATCTGTCCCGATAGGGTGAGATTTGCACCGACGCCTTGTGCCAATTGCGACGCAGAAGACAGGGATTTCATTTGGATCATCAGGGTCTGCATATCCACTTTCATATCGTGCGTCTGGTAGATGAGCACTCCATAACCCAGAACGATGCCGGCCAGCTAGTACAGTCAAATCAATATCAAAGAATCCAATTTAATACATACATATTTCGGTTGTATAGAGTTTTCGATTGAGACATACCGCGGGTATGAACAGCTTGTCGATTCTTCGAAATCCTCCTATTGTAACGGCGCCATCATGAGCGCTGCACATCTCCCTCAGACGATCGAATTTGGCCTGCAGCGGCCTACCGTAGAAGTGGGTTCCGGTCTTGAAAAGCTGCTTTTGGAGTAACGTCATCTAAATTTGGGAGGAAACATTTATGTATAGACACATAAGTGTGGTCAAATACATATATGTGCTTGACAACTTTATACATATGTCGGTAAATTAATTCTTCCTCCCTAAATATGTATTAGCAAAATAAGCTGACAAGTAAAAGCCCTTGAATCACCCGTTAATATAACACTTTTGGCGATGCTTTACCTCTTCGTGACAAGAAATTCCAGTCCAGTACTTTGCCATCGCATTGCAATTCCGACCCCACCGATAATCTGCACGACACTCTGATCGATAACTTCGGTCAAGCTCCGCGTGTCGGCATCAAACAGCGTAAATAAGTAGCCAAAAATAGCTTCCAGACTTACGATATCTTTAATGAATGTTATTAGCAGGAACCCGGCGAAAGCTTTATCTGTAGCGTTCAACAGTAGCTGCAGGCGCCGGTATTCCAACTCGATTTTATCCAGTTCTACTACAGCATGATCGTCGGAGCCTTTGACTAACTGACGAATGCCCTTCCGTAATCGAAGTAATAACCGTCGAACATGGAGCAAAATCCGTAATAACAGGCTCTGCGCGACGATTTCCGCGTTGGCTGCCAGTCCCATAGCGATAAACATAGTGACAGCGACCTGATAAATCTGCAGACTTGCAACGCCAAAAAACGGCACTATGGTGAACCAGTCATTGTCTTGTTTCAAGTGAATAATGCGGACGTTCATAATGTAAGCCGTCACAAAAAATGCCGTAATGTACAACAAGTTCCAGATAAATAAGAAAACGTTTGCTAAGCGAAATCGGTCTGACAACTCCGACGAGAAGGCAGTGGGCGCGTGCGCGCAGAGCTTCTGACCCAGCTTCATCAGTTTTTTAGAGCCAAAGTTCAATACGGTGGTAAGGAGCACTGGTTGTAAAAACACATTAACCATAAATATTATGCGAATCAACGTGAAGAATTCCAAGTTTTGTAGATTTCGTTGATTGTTCGTGGTATATGCCAGAATGGTATTGATGACCAATGTCAGCGACACACAGCACAAGAAAATGGACCAGAGGATCAGAAGGCGACTTCTTTCTATTTTACAGATTGTGCCTCCTTCTTGAACGACGCTAAATCGATAAGGAAACAACCCAGATATTTGCATCCAGCGATAGAGCAACCGCAAGAATGACATTCTGGCCGTTTATCGCAGAACCCAAATGCTTTGCGGTAACCTTTTGCAGGCCGTTTCGGTGTCTGGCAAGTAAGTCAGCAGAAAATAAGCCCTCGTTTAAAAAAATTCATTAGTTGCACACCAATCGCATCTGCAACAACTTCCTGCCAGGAAAAAAACTTGAATGAAAGAATGATAAGGAGGAACGTCAAAGCCATGAAAATAATATGCTTCCTCCTACGAAGTTCTGTAAAACGGTTCTCCTTCTCTGTGTCTGATGCTCGGAAGGCTGCATGCAGAGAAGCGCTTGTTATGTGCTTACGAACTTCCTCGTTCCGATCTCTCCTATCACATAAAACAAATATGGTGTATTTAACTGCGTATTTATTTAACAAATGTCCAAATGTCTGCTGAGATGACTTGCAATGAAACTTTAGTAAATGACTGCTCCATAACCTGAACGCTGCCCAGTGGATTTAACACTAGTCGTCCGGCGTGGGTAAATATTCCCGCCTGCGTCCATAATATGATATGGCATACTAAACTTTGGTATTGGTTAGGTGCCACTACAAATGTCAATTCTGAGAGAGCACTGAGGCAGCTCACTACTCTGTAGACTGGTCGTAACAGCGGCGAACAAAATGGCGCGCAATTCGCTGGAAACGATTTTGTCATTGTTTCTCAAAATCTTCTGGCGGTAGTTGTCTCACTTGTGTGTGTATGGTAGAATCGATATGTACCGCTGGTTATTTAGGTTAGTTAATTTACGAAGTGCTTGTCGACGCTGAAACATCCTCTGATTGCCATACTGCATTCAAGCTCTTTGCAGTAATCGAAGTTGAACAAATTTTTACTACAGAGAAGTGTCAATGGGAAATGTGTAGATGTTCCCTTCCAAGTAATGGAAAAATGGAAACGAAGCGTCTGCTTCGTCTTGCCGCTGCAGCGGATCGCCCTTTGTAGGTTCACTTTAAAAAACACTTTAGGCATTTGACATTTGTTCGGGTTGAATACACGGTATCGAAGCAGATCAGAATAACGCTGTGAGCTAAAGAATGTTTGACCGTAGTGCGGCAGAGCCAAACAACAGCCTTCATCTATTCTTGACGTCGTGTTGGAATAATCACCGCCCGTTGCTAAGGTGTAGCGTTACTTACCAAGGGGCGGCGGTACATTTGGTTTGAAAGCGCATGACGAGAAAGTACTGTAAAGTGTAAAATGCGAGATGCTTTCTGGTTTGTTTGGCTCCTTGCAGTCCATGTTTTCTTATTTGACTGAGACCACGTTAACTCTTCTTCGTTTTGTCAAACAACGCTTTCGCAGCTCTGAGATTGATTCAGTCACTTCGTTCATTAAAATGGCTGAAAAACCAGCGAACCGTTTTGTCGAAGTTCCCTGCTACTTTCACGCTCTTCCCCAGGAATCAGTGCTGCATATTTTCTCGTTCCTGGACGTCCTTGATGTCACAAACTGTTCAGTGTAAGTAGCACCTTTTTGTTCTGGTTTTCAAGCTCACATTTAATGTTGATCGCAAGGTTTTGTAAGCTTCGCGTACGCTTTATTTGGCCTTACGAGATTTAAATTGGTTATCTTCACCACAGGGTCTGTCGACGATGGAAGCGTATCACGGAGACCGATATACAGCAGAAATCCACCATCGTCGACCTGCAGAAATGGGCCACTTACCGCCCTCGGGAACTTACAATGGGGGACATTTGGAAACACCATATAGCACTGCTTCAGCGCTTCCTGACGCGAAGAACCCGCTGTCTGATCGTACGTCGACCAGCCGGCTCACCGCCACCTCGTGCTGACTGGGCCCTAACCGAGATCGCATGGGCCTCCTGTTGGGATTATCGATGGTCGGATGTCGGAGAGGAGCTGGGCAGAGTACTGGGCGACTGCTCCATCGGCTTGTGTTCCCGGGCTGATCGAGATCTGCCGCAGCCCGAGCCGCAGAAGCCGCGGCGGGATGTGGTATTGACGCTGCAGAATGTCCATCTCTGTGCGGACTCGTTGCGCGATCTGGGGTGGCACTTTGCCCGGCTGCCGTTCACCATCACCGCCGTTCGAATGGAGAATGTGACAATGCGCTGCCACTTTTCGACGGGACGGTTTGGTTATCAGTCTCCGCCCCAAGTGGTTCTCGAGGTCGCTGTGGAGAAAGCCGTGATTTTGCCGGAGAATGGTAGCTGGCCGTTTGATATACGGCTACGGGATCTCCTGGGCAACGTACCAAAACACTCCTTCGCGTTTTTTGAGCGATTCTTGCCAGCTGATTTTTCGAATGCCGAAAAGGACTTCATCAGCGCGAAGCTGTTGTCGGACGATCCCGTGGGTGCAACGCTAGCATCTTACTTCGGAAGGTACTCGCGTTTCTAGATTATCAAGAAATTTGAGATTATCTTACTAGAAAATTTGTTCACTTAATTATAAGTCGAAGTGTAACGGTTCGGTCCTGGATGACAGTGGTACAACCAAAATCTGTTAGGAGATCGTCACTACTACTAGAAAGTAAAACATTCTCTTTCCATCGGGCGGTTCGGGCCCTCTAACAGAGTTCTAAGCAGTATCCAGGTGATCATCATGTTAATGGGTATCCAAGAAGCACCTCGATGATACGATAAAATTTTATTTTCTCGGTCCCTACTCAGAACACCGATTTTGCACGTTTCTGCTTTGTAAAGCTTTGTTGCGCTTAAATGATATGCAGCGGATAGAATCTGCCCTGACTTCAGTTAACTGCTTGGTTACGTTTATCCGTAGCCAGCGTAAAGGGGCTCTCATTAATCTTGTCCACGGAGAACAGGCTAGACTGGTCCCGTCGCCTCACTTCGTTATGACGCCATTAGACAAGTAATACAAGCAGTTACAAATGCAGAAACATTTTATGTTTGTATCACTGGACAGGAGAAGCTTAGAATAATTATTACTGCGTAACTGTTACGGACTTTGCGCTCTGTCATGCATAGGGCAAAGACAGTATCTGCGCGCTATACATGTACGCTTAGTCGATAAATAAAGCTAACAAACAACACTGACTGTGTGTGCTATAGGTGGGTTAGTTTGCCCGGGATTGTTGGCGTGTGCGCAGCATCTACGCTTGGCTCCTTGGGACTGACGCTGAACGATATTCTTTCGCTCCCGAAATGGTTGCGTCAGCTAGTGGTTGAGCTGCTGAAGAATCCTTCCATTGGAATAGTTCCGATTGCTACTACATATAGCGACTGCTCCTGGTACGCCTAAAGATTAGGCGTACCGCAGTTGCTATGGTTTTGCAAAATAAGTATTGCGGTAATGGCAGCAATTTGGTTCGTTTTTTAAAATAATGACCTTTAAAGTATTTTTTGCATGTCTTTAGTTTGTATGGATTTTTGAACGTATGAATTTTCGTTTTTATGGATTTGTGTATGCATGGAGTATTGCCGCAAGGACAAGTGAGCGATTGCTTTTTTAGCGTTCTAAAGCAAAGCTGAACGCCGATTGGTTGATTGGTACACTATTTGTATAATCTTTTCTTTTCAGTAGATTGCTGTGTGTTTTTATCACACTTACGCACTACACAGCTACTTGTCTGAAATCTGCCATTTCTTTAATGTTACTTCAAGGAAATCCCAAATGCAACTGGATTATTGTAAGAAATCCCGAAAATACCTTATCCATGTCACTGATTATCCAGCGCAACCGGCGATACTTCAGTTCTACGTCCATCAACTGCACTGTAACCTTTTCACTTTCCGCCGTCGTATCCTTTTCCAGTCGACGGAGTTGCTCTCGTAACTGGCCAAATGCTGCGCGAATATCCAAAAGAATGACAATGAAAATTGTCTGCGGGATGATTTGGCAGGAGACCGCAAAGACCGCTGCCAGCATGTAAAAACAGCGCCCGGCATATATCGGCATCTCCATAGCGGTGAAAAGCGTCAGTGTTATCGGTGAAGTCCAGCAAATTCCGTTAATTGCGACAATCGTGCTAAACATAGCGTAAACAGAAACCGTAACAAAAAGCACAATCCAACTCAACAGTAAACGAGCGTGTCTGCCAGAAATTGCGACCCATGCAGCACTTTCCTGTTGTGCGATTAGTCTTCGGTAAATACCCATCACTTAGCCAAAGAGATATTAAAGACTACAACGAGAAGCGCTGCTTACAGGTTTGTATTAACCATGAACACCATTCGGATTAGCGTGAAGAATTCCAGCCTACTTAAATCGTTCCTGTTGAAGCTAGTGTACACACTGATGGTATTGGCCAAGGGAGCGAGGAAGATGCCACCCAGGCCGATCGACCACAGAGTCAGTAAACGACTTCGTGTCGGGTTACGTTAAAGTGGATCTAAACGATATGGAAATAGTCCCAGAAGTTGCATCGCGCGGAATAACACCCGGAAGAACGACATTTGTGCGGTTAATATGTATATAATCCGGATGCGCCTTCTCGAAGTAAAGATTCAAGCAGCAAACCCTCCTATAATACTATATCCGAAGAACGCACGAAAGTTACCGCATCTTGCGTTGCCTGCCAAGTTAGCGCCGCTCTAGGAAGGGGAACAGGATCTGTTTGTTTTTCGCTGAACGACAGGCAGAGGCCGCATGAATGCGAATCGATCCGATCTTTTTCGATTAGCTAAAGTGAGTGTAAAGATAACTAACCGTACATTCTATTGATTTCAGTACTTCTTTGCTGGGTAGCCATCGGCCAGGCAATTGTATGCTTCGGCAATACCATCATAATGTGCTTGTGCCATCTTTGTACCTCGGACTGGATTTTTAACAGTAACCTGCTGTCGCGCAAATTCAATGTTCCTCCCTATCATGGTCAGAACAGCTGCTTGCTTGAATCAGTAGGTTCCCAACAATTCTGAACGATGCATGACATTATTATTTGAAAATACAGTTAGTTAGTTAGACTGAAGGGCAGAATTGTGGAAGATTCGACAATGGTGCAGACATTAAATTAGAAAACGAAATTTAGTGCTTAATATGTATACGAACTATCAAAGTTATGTGTTTTAATCTGATATGGGAAAGTCCTACCGTTCCAGGTTAGCATCCGGCGCAGATCGAGTCACAATAACGATAACGGTTCCATCATAATATTTTTATAAAGCGTTAGCCACAGTAGAATTTCCTAGACGTGATACGAACGCTGTGAAGTCAGCGCTGGAAAGCAGCGCCCGCATATCCGCTTTCATATCATGCGTCTGGTAGATGAGAATTCCGTAGCCCAGAAGGAGTCCGGCAACCTGCATCAGGCCAAGTATTACAAGTTCAGTTATGTTTGACCTTCCTGTTCTTCCACGGTCCGGATTACGCTGTTTGCAAACCTACCATTGGCACAAACTGCTTGTCAATGCTGAAAAATCCTCCAATTGTCACAACGCAGTCATGCTCGCTGCAAAGTAACAGCAGCCGGTCAAAGGTCCCTTGCAGAGAAGTTCCGTAAAAGTGGGTCCCAGTACGAAAAACGTGCTGTCGCAACAATATTACCTAAAAGAAGGAACATTCGATAAAATTGAGCGTTATCGGTATGTTTGGTTATTATTACACCCATTGACCCACAGAATAAACTATGTATGACAAGGTGCTGAACGTGTTACTACAGATAAATATTCTGCGCGTTGCTTGTACCTCTTCATGGCATCCAATCACGATCCAGTATTTCAGGAAGGCATTCAGAATCACGGCGCTGCCGACAATACGCACCACATTCTCATCCACCGCCTCCGTCATGTTCATCTGCTCGGCATCCAAAAGGGTAAACAAATAGCCCACCAACGCCGCAAACGCGATCAACTCTTTCACAAAGACCACCAACAAAAAGCTCGAAAATGCCTTATCAACATCCGTTATTAACATCCGCAACCTGCGATACTGCGGTTCAATGTTTGCCAACTGCACTGTGACCTTTTCCCTTTCCGGTATCTCCTGCTCCATGAGCTGGATTTGCTGTCCTAAGTTGCAAAATCTCGCGTGAACATCCTGAAGAATGGCTAGCAAAATCGTCTGCGGGATGATTTCGCAGCACACTGAATATCCCGCTGCCAACATGAAGAGAATCCATCCCGCATATATCGGAATCTCCACAGCCCTGAACAGCGTCAGCGGTATTGGTTTGGCCCAGTTAGATCCATATATAGTGGCGATAGTACCAAACAAAGCATAAACAGCCACAAAGGAAACCAAGAACAACAACACATTCCAGATGACCAGTAAACGTCTGAAGCGACTGAAAGGGACTGCCAGCCACCTAGGATCTGTTGTCGGTGTCATGAGTTGCTGGTAAACCACCATCAAGTGAGTCGATGAGAGATTGAAAATAAGAACAAAGAGCACAGGCTGCATATAACAGTTAACCATGAAGATCATGCGGATTAGAGTGAAGAACTCCAGCCTGGCCAAATCGTTCCCGCTGAAGCGAATGTACGCACTGATGCTGTTCACAACAGGAGCGAGGGAAATGCAGCCCAGGCTGATCGCCCACAGAGTCAGTAGGAGATTTCGTTTGGCATACATTCGAAGCGAGTGCAAGCGATATGGAAACAGTCCGAGTACCTGCATCCAGCGGAACAACACCCGGAACAACGACATATTTGTGGTTGTTAAAGAATTCGGTTATTGTCAACACGGAGGTGAGAATTTGTAGAGGACAGCCGGTACCATGATATAAGCGGTTGTTCTTGAGCTGACTGCTGGCTGATTTCAACAAATACGAAAACTATAAAACGTCCACATTTCCACGATCGACTGGTGCTGATACCCAACAGCAGCAGCAAAAACCATATCGCTTTTGATGCTTAGGCAGCTGCTTTGCCGCATGACAACTAGAATATTTAATGCCTGATTCGGTTTCATGTTTTCAACAGAAGCGGTAATATTACCACACGCGGCCCAACAATAATATTCGGACTTCTGACAGAATCTGGAATTCACATCATGTACTGGAAAATGTACCAAGAGTGTCACAATAAACAACAAAATGAAGCAGTAAGCAGCGGCACACCGACAACTCGCTGACGGTCATCTTGCTGACCGACAAAATGTTGACCCGACAGTTTGTTGAAACAACAAATCGCTGAACGACATTTTGCTGACTGACAGAATGCTTACCCGACAATTTGCTTACTTACTAAACTGTTGACCGACATTTTACTGACGGAAGTTTAATGAAAATACCGACAACTCGCTGACCACAAATTTATTCCCTTACCCATCAAATCCTTGATAAACACAATTTTTTTATCACGCGTTTTTTTTCAAAACTTCACCTAACTACGTTTTAAGAACATTTAAAGAAACAAACGTTCAGTAAAAATTTCCGCTCTTTCAACGGTACCCTCAATTTGGGTGATTATGATCGGATACCATAACCACTTCTCCTGCTATTAACAGCTGCCGGCCAATGCAGCGATCTGATAATTCCAGTCGTCCATTTCTCCTTTTTTTCTGCAAGCGCGTACGAGTGAATTTCATAAAACATCTATGAAACCAAAGAAAACTAAGAAACCTAAGAAACCTAAGAAACCTAAAAAACCTAAGAAAACTAAGAAACCTAAGAAACCTGAGAAACCGGTGTAATTATTAAAACATTTTTAACAGTTAATAATAAATAATTAATATTGGATGAGACAATGACATACTCGTGAACTTAATACGGGGTAATAAATGGCAAAAGCTATATTTCAATCATAACTGTCATAGTATTGCTTCCTTTTTATGAAACCAACGAAGATTCTAGTTCTGGCGTAAATATCGCTAATGTGCGTTGAACTGGTCAGCAAATTGTCGGTCAGCAAGTTTTCGTCTTCTACAAGTTGTCGGTCAGCGAGTTGTCGATTTCCGACATTTCGCTGACCGACAAGTAAGCTGTCGTTCAGCAAATTAGTTTCAGCAAGATGTCGGTCAGCCAGTTTGTGAAAAAGCGAACTGTCGGTAAGCGATTTGTCGGTCAGCAAGTTGTGGTAGTCAGCAACAAAGTCGGTCATCAAATTGTCGGTCAGCGAAATGAAGGTCATAGAGTTGTCGTGCTACCGTAAGCAGCAGGCGCGATACTGCCGAGTAAACCCAAACCTAAGGCGTTCGTTTGAGGGCCAAATTTCCGGCCGGATGATTTTATCGTTGTAATCTTATTCGAACCCGAGTACACGGTTTAACACCCTGTACGGCCTTCGTTGATGGCATTGCGTCACATGGCAAAGCACAACGTCACATTCCAAAAATTAAAACGGAAGACAGTTATTCTTCAA